GGTTCGATCCCCAGCTCCTGGTGCCACATGTCGAAGTATCCTCGAGCAAGATACTGAACCCCAAATTGCTCCCGATGCCGTGCGTGTGTGAATTTGAATGAATGTTAGTTTCTGTTCAAAGGACTTTGCCATCACTGAGTGAATGTGTGTGAAAGGGTGAATGTGGCACATAGTGTAAAAGCGCTTTGAGTAGTTGGAAGACTAGAAAGGCACTATACAAGTACAGGTCCATTTACCATTTTTTACAACACCTGCATGCACCTGTCCCTTTCACCTTGCACAGTATGTTTGTGTAATATCTCCCCCTCTCTGCACCTCCCCTTCAACACTCCCTCACAGTTTAAAAACCTCCACTCAAAAGCAATTGATCGATATGTGTCACCATTCACTGTTAAACACTCTCATAATGTCTTCTATAACCAGAAAACAATGATGAAATCTATTGAAGGTGGTGCCATCTAGCTGCTGTTTCCCCTGGGAGTCAATAACGTGGTTAATTAACGATTAATTATGATATTTCTGCATATTTCTATAGCTCTCATTTGATCAGAGCGCACACTGTATCTCCTGTGTGGACATCCTGTTGCTTCACATTAAGCTTCTGGATGCGGCCGTATAGATTTACCTGTCAGCCTTTGAGCCGTCACAAACCTTGCCAGCGAGGCTTGGGCAGTGACGAGCCGGTTGTCACGGCAACAGGTGAATCTCGTGTTGGGATTGGCTATGAGGGTCACGCAGGAGGGATGCTTCATTCATGCATTATATGAGCATTTGAGAAACCTGGCATCAATACGACTGTCAGTCTCACGTGGTTGTTACAGCATTATTGATGCCTTTATGTTGCACTCAACAGCTTGTTTTTCTATTTCTGTAACAGATATTGTACAATATGTGCACATATTTCAAACCATCAACCTCATGTGAGCTCTGGGGAAAAATCCTGGGAAGTACGTGTAATAAATTATTTTATGTTATTCTCTGACATTCTAGGGCTGACCTCTCATCCGACCCAATTAGAAGATTTCATTAACTTTTCCATCAGCCAATCAATTGGTTGAAGGGTAGGTAGAATTTCAGTCGACCAAGTTTTTCTTTGCTACAGCTTTAGAAATTACAAATACTGATCTTTATTTACCAAATCCTCTTTATTCAGATTCAGATCTCTTAGCATTTAGACAAAAATGCATTCCAGAGAGCTATTTTCTGTGTTTACCTTCAATTTAAATCCTTCTCACTCTTGTTTACCCAAATCTCTTCAACAGAGGTGCAGAGGTGCTTAATTTGCATCAACCATAGAGCCATACTGGCCACATTTAAAAGAAATTTGCCCATTTATCCCTTTTTATTTGTATTAAAAACATTTTTTAAAACCTTGCATTTCAAGAGTTTTAAGGGATTTCATTGGCCTTCTGATACTCAAGTTAACAATTTGATATCCAAAATAGTGTTTTGGCAACTATTTTGGGATACAGTTGGCGCAGTTAAATTTAATTTAGCACCACAAAGGCGAGTCTGTCCCCGTCATGGAGTCACGTAAAGGCCCTTATACCACATCTCACATTTGATTCATCATTCCAACACCAGACAGAGTTAATCTAATCTGTCCAGCCAAGCACAGCTGCATGGCCACTTTTTCAACCCTTAAACAATTTGATCAAGTAATGACACATGATGTTTAATTAAATTGCATAATTCTTGTCATTCACGAAGGAAAATACATTTATTTGATCCATGCAGGCTCGGTATGTCTTGTGCAGAATATTTTCTCAAAATGACTTTGACCTAATTTAAGGTCAGTGTAGCAAAGTGTCATCATAACGTTTATATAGTACGCTCCGGTTGCAGCTATAACCATTCAGTATCCAGTTCCACATGTACTAAACATGTGGAATCTGGCACATATCACGTTCGACAGATGTAACATGACACAACAGACTCTGTGTTACACCTCATTCTGTGTCGTCACTGATTACTGATTTTACTGCAGCTCATGGACTTTTACATGTGATAAAAAGTTGCTTAGATGACTTTAACCTGAAATAAATCAACCATCTGAGAGCGCACACAGTCAACTGCACATCACTGTAAACCATCAGGTGTTTGAGTACTTTGTGCTTTAGATATACAGACCAATAAAACAGCCCATAAATGCATCTCAGTCAATCAGTAACCACAAGGGCAAACAATTTGTCTAGCTGGATGTTATTGAGGTTATTCCTCAAGTAATTATGGAATTAAATGACACGTTAAACTTCACACTTCACACACGTTCCTCTGGGGTGTTTTTAGGCCGTACAGTGACACTGAGAGAGGCTTTCTCGTGGTCCGAGGGGTCACACGAGCGCTGGACTTCCTCCTCCACTTAGATCCTTTTGCGAGAGAGATAGGAATAAGATGATAACCCGGAGGTGAAGTTTCAAAGCCTGCATGTGATCTTCCTCATTTCCTAAATGAAATGTCACATTTGGTCAAATTTTTAATTTTACTACACTCAACATTTTGGATAGAGTCTAATTATTCTACTCTCAAAATGACATGTATCCGAGTATGGCTGAATACATTTTCCTACTTAAACTGTCAGAATTTGAAATCATTTTCAACCAGGCTTGACTTCCACACTATTTGTACCTCAAAGCAAATGTATGTCAATATATAGAGAAATGGGGGTGTGGCAGTATATTACATGCACATATTGGTGAATGAGACCCGGTGTGGCCTGTGCAGTGTCAGGGTGAGCTGAGGTTTCCAGATAAAACCCAACAAGGCCTTGTTTTTAATCCTTCCCTTGTGCAAGCTCAAGGCAGGGATTATTCACTGTGATTGTTGTCTTTGAGCCCGAGGATCGCCTGCTGCTGCAGCAACTGCTGTTATACGTCACTTCTGTCACCCTTCCCCTCATAAGATCAGACTTTAAAACCTCTAAGCTCCCATGTGACTTCATTACCATTTGCAGTTCAAATAATCTTGATGTTGATTGTTTGCATAAGGATGATATTTTATTGTTTTATCATGTTCTCTTATGGTGTTTCTGACCCTGGTTGGCACCCAAGTAGATGAAAAAATATCCTATTCATTTCTGCCAATGTGGTAAACTAATGTTGAAAAATGTGTTCTTACCTTATCCCGAATGTTTCCAACAGTGTTTTCAGGTATTCAGGTAACGCTGCGTGTCATATCCCCTTTGTGCCTGCATCAGCGTTGTGGTTGTCTGTCAGAAGCTGTCATACATTGACTGTTGATCCAGTCTGCAGCCACATTGTTACCATCCACTGTTTAGATCTTGGTGCTTTTTAACTCTAGATTTGAACCGGATGAAGGATTTTGGTCATCGGACGTCTGGATCTTAAGTTATCAGAGAAACAAGCTGAGCTAATGTTAGCAGCAGCTCGGCTCGCAGCCCCTCCGCGACGTCCATTGTCTGTCCAACAGCGTGGGAGAAGCAGTGATTGTTAAGGTGGAACTGCTTTGTTCAGAATAGCCACTACATCACCAAGCCTCTAGGACCAAAGATTTTGCACCCGGCTCCAGATGTTCAAATAGATGCTCTAAACGAGACCTGCAGATATGAATGCCAAGACACCGGTCCCTAAATAGAGAACTGCCTTCATTGTTTCTGGACCATCAGAAAGTCGTATAGGAGATCTAAATTAAGACCAGGCCTCTTCAGGTCCAGGATCCTGGGATCGCTCTGGTGGTGGAATACGGTTTTTCATGGTCAATTTAGCTGACTCATGGCAGGTGAACTGCGGTTCGTGGGTTCTTCCTAAAAAAGTGTAGCTATTCTGGTTGATTAAATGAGACAGATAATGACATTTTGATTTAAGGACAACCAATTGAAATGACTTGCATCTAATTTATGTCATTTTACAGTGCATTAGATGCATTGTTTGTCAGTGATTTCAGACTACCTAACAGGACGACATGGATGTGACAGAAAAGTTTGGTGGTGTTTTTTTCTGATCTAAAGGAAGCTGATATGAGGAAACCCTTTATATTGTCAATCAATTCCTTGAAAACCAAATACTTGAACCAATACAATTAAAACCACTTGTATGACTCACAGTGCATTTCCACGACAGTCTGACTTCCTCCACGAAGTCCTGCATTGCACTAAGCTGATTAGAGTAATGAGCTTTCAGCAAACCCTTAAAAGCCCAAAGACGTATAACTGTTGTTTAAGTTGATGGTCTGTATGAAAAAATAAAATAAGAAATAAAATAAAACAAAAATAATTTCATATCAGGAAAACTAATCTCTGATCAATATTCACACGAAACAATCTGCTCAAAATTCATCTCAACTCACTTCTTTACACAAACGTCCTGCTGTTATTGTGTTCACTGTTTAGGTTCATTGTGCAGTATATCAGCTGTTCTCTACTCTTATTGTTAATATAATATAAATTAGTCACTTGGTCAGGGGTCCCTTGAAGGAGAGGGTCATACATCATGTGCACACAAATGGAAAATTACATTACTTGATTTCATTTTAACATTGGCAGCCATAGACTTCCGAACAAAATGTCACTTTTTTTTGTCGTATTGATACTTTTGCACACAGGAAAAGACTAATTTGAGCAATTTGAACCCTGCTGCCTGGTGCTACAACCCTGGGCATCGAGTGGGAGGAAGTCCCACCAGTAAACTTAAATGAATCTTTCTATTATCCACTTTGTTTCGGAGAAAACGGATGGTATAATTTTTAGGGGAAGTTTGTTGAGGCAGTGGTGCCCTAGCAGAGGACTGATTATATGAGGTTGTCTCATGACTCGGAGGAAGTGACGCTTCTTCACTGCTGCTTAGTGTTAGGACCCAAAGAGCCGCAGGGCGATCCTCCTACTGCCCTTTGAAATATAAATGTCCAGTTGTCTTTGGGTCACATGTTCCTGCTGGTGGACTTCATCACATGGAAACCTTCCCACGGTGTGGGATCTTGAGGTGTTGCGTGGGGGTTTCTCCATCCTGAGCTTGTGTGTTCATATAGCTTGTTTGTGTTAACAGGTTGGCAGAAGGCGGCAGGATGCTGTGGCTGCTGATGATCTGTCTACTTCCTGCAGTGGGCTGCAACAGAATCGCCGCCCAGGACGTTTATAAAGAAAGACACAGCCACGGTGAGTTCAAGGACATGAATGTTGCTTTATTTTTAGACAGTCTGGGCAAATTTGGTTTTTTTCTGTGCCAGAAAATTAACATAGCACTGTACAAAATCATAGCCTTTGGTCTTTTTAGGAGACTTGTGAATTATTATTATTATTATTCAGTCTTAGAAGTTTGTTGCATCTTCTGCTTCTCTCGAGGCAAACATCTTAGTTGATTCAATTTGACATCTGAGCGGAGTGTCTTTGGGGTTAATTACTTTGCAAATTTGGCTCCCAGACGTCGTTGAATGTGTTAATTATGTTCTCATGATGCCTTGAATCAAAACCAAATCACCAGCTCCAGATGTTGCTCCCGAACCGGCACTGATCCTCCATCATGCCCGGCTGAAGCTCGACTAGGTTCCCTGTGGTCTCTCTCACTTTCAGAAGCTCATAATTGAGTTCTCACAGCTGAAGGATCGTCAGAAACACGTACGGATGTCTTTCCCCCAATTTTTCAGTATTGTCTTTGTGACAATCATAGCTCACAGATGCCAGCAAACTCTCTGTGTCTTCTGTCCATACATCATTTTATTTAATCTCACCAGAATGTATCTTATTCATTTTAGATGAAAGACATTCACAAGGCAGCCAGTATGTTTTAGATTGAAAGAATGGAAGACAGGAAGCCGTCAAAGGGGTCACAGGATGCACAAAAACAAGTAGACAAAAATACTTTCTAGTTATTGTATGAAGTACTTAGTTAAATTTTTTGTTTTTACATTTATCTGATTGCTTGACTTACTTTTGCATCGTGTAAATATCTCAAAAATCTTTGTGTCTAATATTAAGTGCTAAACGTCTTATATTCAAAGTTGAGTGTGTCATTAAGCATCCACAAATGGTTTGTCCGTTCGGGGCTACCGTAGAAACATGGCGGACTCTGCCAAGTCTTATATTCAGGTGATTATACACTAATGAAAACATAGCTATTCATCTCTTTCAGAGAGTTTTATGAGCATTTTAAAAATAAGTGTTACAGCTGGGATCTGTCAGACAGGACTGGATGCAGACAGACAGCAACCAGCTGTGTCGGCTGCTTTATTTCCGGCAGCTTATCAATACCTCCCCGCTGAGCTCACAACACTGCTGCTTTCATTTCAGAGCATCACTGTTGACTTTTATCCACAACCAGTGTAGACCTGCACAAACATGCCTTTTCTGGATTTTTGCTCAATTTTTTGAAAGAAGTGTGTCGATAGAAACCAAATTAATCACTGAAAATGAATTTGAGTATTGAGAGAGACTTTAATTAGATTTCTCTGCGATCTCAGCACCCATTCCTATATCTGCTTGAGGTTCAAAGTGGAAAATCATCTATTATTTCATAGATTAATCAAGATTAGAGAAAAGTCGGATAAATCTTTCTCCTTCATTGGTTATTGCTTTTGTAAATGTGAAACACATCAACAGTGACCTTTTTAAAAAAACCCAAAGGGACATTTTCACATGGATTCACTGCCCACACACTGGAGCAAAATAGACATTTTTATCAATCTGTCACATTTACCGTTTAATCTTGATCTTATTGAGATTTGTATGGTTTTGTTCCACATGAAAGGTTATTTATGCTTTTGACAGGGACAACAATTGTGACAGATGTCACAATGAATGAGTTTGAGTGTTTGGTGCTTTCTGTGTTTGTGTCATCTGCATCCAATCAGTCAACCCAACACGTTGCAGATTGTATGCAGGTGCCTTCCTGTTTGTTTTTTGACATCGAGATATTGTTGCCTAAACGCTCATCCTCCCAACTCTGCAAGCTACAAAGCTACAGCTGTCTGAACCATGCAGCAGGATTTCCCAAATCACAAATGTAACAAAAACAGTCTTCTGACAAACAGCAGCAGCATCACGTGACTTTATATTTATCTTTAATTTGTTTTGGTCTCATTTCTCAGTCGTTTAGTAGTCGTTTTGTGTCTTTGTAGTCATTTTATATTTCATTGTGTTCGTTTTGTGTCACTTTGTTGACATCATGTGTCTCTGTGTAGTTGTTTGCATCTCTCTCTCCATCTCCATCTCAGGCCTTTCTTTCTTTCTTTCTTTCTTTCTTTCTTTCTTTCTTTCTTTCTTTCTTTCTGAGAAGTGGACGTTGTTGATTAGAAAGTTCCTGCAGTGTGGCTCTCTGAGCTGAGCTCCTAACACAATGCACAAAAGCCCTTTGTCTCCCCGCTGCCCTCAGATTGCAGGTTCATGCATTCCCTGATGGATTACTCGCCTCTCACTGCTATGATCTGTGAAGGGCACATAATGTCTCGCTGCTTCATTGCACTCTTAAATTTTTTTTCCTTTTACATGATACCCAGGATATAAAGTCTTTTTGTGAGTCAGTTTTCCTAATTTTACACATCTTAAAATGTCCAACTTTACAGCAGAAATAAACATGTTTAATAAAGCATACAAAGTATGATCTTGTCTTTCTGTAAGGTTTTATTCAAGTCATCCATGAATGGTCTCAATGCAGCCGTCACACACTCTTGTATGTGAATGTTTGAAAGAGCCCGGATTGTAAGAAGCAGTGTGGTTTTATCCCTGTTGGAGTGTCACTCTAACACAGTTACACATTTCTCAGTTCTGTGGCAGTAAACAGATTGTGTTCTGAGATGATCTTGTCCTTGGCTGTTTACTTGGACATAGAGTGTAGGTAGAAACAGGACTAAAGGTTATATGTATATAACAGCCTCTTTAACAGTTGTGTATGGTTTTACAAGGATCAGGTCATAGGTTGTGTAGGTTCTTAAATATTGGCATTACAGTCTCTAGAGTTAACTTCCCTGTTCATTACAACTTTACGGGGGGGGCAGTTTGAGTGACAGGTGGGTGCCGTCTCAGGTCTCAGCTCCATCTCTTTGCCATTTTTGTATTAGCCGGGAGCCGGCGCAGTCAGGACTGCCAAGATGGCAACAGCCTGAGCCGACGACACTGAGCTTTACAACGGCTCTTCACAAACCTGTGGGGGACTTCACAGACACTATGTCCATGTTTAATTGTACAGTCTCTTCCTGTAACCTTAAATGTTCATGCAAAACCACAAATTTCAACCTGCTGGTGGCACTAGAGGTGAAGTCGGTAGGTTTCATTCTCTCTCAAAGGTTGCTGAGATATTTCAGTCCAAACCAAAGTGGTGGACTGACAGACATGCCTTAAAACTTGATACATTAACAGACAAGCTTTTATTTTGTGAATGAAAAACAGATTTAAGTGCATCCACCTCCTTTAATTCATTGCACCAAATATTAAGCAGGAAAAGAAATGTCTCTGTTGGAACAGAAATGTTCAGAGATCAGTCTCACTTCCACTTCTCCGCCTCTAATGGTGTGTGTGTGTGTCTTTGTATTGGCCTGTGACGGCAGGCTGTTCTGACTCCCTGCTGTTCAGTCACCGATCAATATTGCACTGCTGGTCTAAACCTCAGTCTCGGGACCAACAGTCTATCAGATGGATTGGATAATAGAGTTGATTATGTGTGTGTAGGTATCTGTGTTTGAGGCAAAAACCGATTAAATTAGGAGATGGATTTTGTGGAATTGAGTGAGAGGAGAGCTGACTGTTGACCTGACTGTTGACCTGTGTGTGTGTGTGTGTGCATGTGTGTGTGTGTTGTGTGTGTGTGTGTGTGTGTGTGCGTGCGTGCGTGCGTGTGTCCTAATATTGTAACTGAATGGCCATTTCATTACCTCCTCCATTATCCAGTCTGTACTCTCATTAGAGATTTTCCTGTATTCATTTTTGGACGAGGATCGTCATTTTGAGTCTCTGTGGTTGTTTTGAGTCTTTTTATGGTCATGTTGTGTCTCTTCATGATCGTTATGAGTCTTATTCTTGCATATCTTTGTGGTCGTTTTGAGGAGAGGAGTTTGAGTTTTTTACATGTTCTCTCTGACTGTCAAAATAATCTAAGTATGTTGGTGTTTAATACGTTTTTTTTCTACTTTTCTATTCAGTAAACATATTTTGACCCGTCAGATTTATCTCGTGAGCAAACTACTGTTAATAGCGATTATTTATTTGCTCATTTTGATCCAGTATCTAGTATAGAGCCAGAGGAAACTGTGCACCTCACTAAAAGCTGAAGAGCTTTAGAATAAAAGGACTGAACGAAGACAAACAGATGCAGTTTGTGTTTTATTTTTTAAAACTTGAACTTTTAAAGCTAAGAAATAAGAGTGTGTGAGAGTCCGCAGCCCAGAAAACGTGAGTGATGAACAAAAAGAGATCAATAAACAAACTCACCTGTCTGAGTCTACCTGAACCTGTTCACGCATGAAAATACACATTGACTATTCAGCGCTACTGTTGCCGTGGCACGCCGCACACCGTGTCCATGGCGATGGGCACCTGCTGATTCGACTTTGTGATTTTTCACAGAGGAGGTTGCCGTGACGATGAGGCCTCACATCTACTACTGCCGCTCGCCCAACATGGAGGACTTCACCTGCTGGTGGCATCCACTCGACAACCTGACAGACGGAGAGCAGGTCACCTACGTCCTTACCTACTCCAAAGAGTGTGTACTGCACGCACGCACGCACGCACTCACTCACACACACACACACACACACACACACACACACACACACACAAACTTTCCTCCTAACCTTTCTCCCTCCTTTTCTCACATTCTATCTTTTCCTCACTCCTTCTTTCCCTCCCTTCCTTTTAATTCATGCTTTCCCTTTTCTTGTCCTTCCTTCCTCTTTAATTTCTCTCCATCTTTTCTTCTATACTAATTTTATTCTACTCATTTCCCTCTTTGTCCTCCTTTTTTTCTCCACTCTGCTTCAATATTTCCTTCCTCTTGTTCTTTGTTTTTCACTTTCTCCAACTTCTCTTTCTTCCTACGTTTACTTTCGTTCCTTCCTTTCATTACTATTATTGTTTACATTTCAGAGGGAAATAGTGCCTTTTTTTACCACTCTACATTTATTTAACAGCTGTACTTACGTACTGTTATACAGTATGATACACATATATATATAATACACTCACATAGTACAATGACATACCTAAATTTATTGCAGTAGTAGCAGCACAGTGTCATTAACTTGCCTTAAAATGAAGTATCTAAGAATATCTTCAATTTAGATTTTTTGTTTTATAATAACAGAATCAGATGTTTGTTAAAACAGGAACAGGATGAACACAAAGTTGAACACTATTGTCTAAAATATGCTGGAGCATTAAGATTTCCCTTCATTTGAATGAACCAGGAAAAATGGCCCCAGATTAAAAGTTTCCGGGTTGTATGAATTCGGCTATTTAAATCCAGTTCGATTTTTCATGCTCTACTTCAGCGTGAAGCTTTCAACGTGTCGATATTTCAGAGCAGCCTCACGTGGACTCAGACTGATGCCAGACTGCCCTGAGCAGAGAATCTGCTCCCAGTAATCAGGACAAATTGGATTGTGCCTTTGGCCCAATGTGGCACCGCTCACAGCCCCATTGATTTTCTTGTTCTCTTGCAGAAGTTTGTTTTTGTTTGTTTGTTTTCTGGCTGCTCCACATATTTGATTTAGCATAGGCTGCAGACGACCTGCTCCACCACCTGAGCCACAAGTGTAAATCTGGGATTATGTGATAGAAATGTTTCTGAGAAATTGAGTTTAAATTCAACAGATTAGATAGAATAAATAATAAAGGACTGTTTAGACCATTATAAGAATACTGAGATCAAATTTACAGAAAGATATAACTGCATACACATACAGATAAATTAATAACATGAGAACATTTAAATATCAGAATATTAGGACCTGCTTCAAAGTAAAAGCTGTGGCTCTTCATGTGTTCAGTTTCTACCTGGTCCCAGGTTTATTGTTTATTTGATTATTCATTTGGGAATATGCAACATATATACACACAAAACAGTTTTAAAACTAGATTTTGACACAATCCTTTAAGATGGGTTCTCAAGGTCAAGTATTATTAAGCATTGAAATAGAGCTTCAATTGTATTTCACAAAATAATAAACAATGAAATCAGAGCGGAGGCATTGCAGCAACAAAGTGGACATTTAGGAGGATCTATTGTGAGAAATGTAATACAATATTCATAGGTATGTTTTCATTAGTGTATAATCACCTGAATATAGGAATTGTTGGGTTTTTCAATGAGCCGAGGAAGTTGCAACTACACCACTAGATGCCTGTGACAACCCACTCCACCCTGTCTACCTGTTCCTGTTTATGTGGCTGTTTTCTGTGCCGGTACTTTGAGTGGGCGTGGCAGAGGGTTGTCAGTAAATTGGCCACACCTGAGGCCTCTGTGCCATGCTCCTTTAAAAAACCCTCTGGGAGCTCAGTATTGGCTCTCTCTCCTCCCTGAGACAACTATTTGGTTTTGGGTTTGACGGTTTGATTGTGTTGCTGCATCTTAATACAACACAGCGCTCATTCACTTACTCCACTGATCCCACATACTACTGTTAGTTTAGTTTAATTATTTCCCTTAATAAATCATGTGTTAATTGGCTTTGTTGTGTGCGTCTCTCTCCTATTGTCATGGACGTATGGCCCGGTTCTTGACAATGCCACTAAATCCTACAAACTTGTCCTTTAAGTTTGAAAATTGCAAACTTCTCTTTAATGTTCACAGTAAGGGCCCCAAACATGAATGTCCAGACTACGTGACTGCCGGCAGCAACAGCTGCCACTTTGACAGCAGCCACACGAGCATCTGGAAGATCTACTGTATGAATGTGACGGCCATCACCGCCAATGGAAACTACACCTCCCAGGAGCACTGCCTGGACGTGGCGGAGATCGGTAAGGATGTACAGGAGGCGATGTACAGGCTCGATCTGCTCAAACCTTCCCAGACATAGATAAATAGAACAGATGTGTTAATCATGAAGTTTAAAAAGTTGTGTAATGTTATGTCTATTACCCTCCACCAACAGGCTATAAACTCAGCATTGTGCTTATTTGTTATTTAGCACGACATCTCAAAAATTACATTTATATCAATGACGTTTGGTGCAAAATCAAAAAAAAAGTTATTTTGGTGCAAATTTCTCTTAATGTGACAGGGTTCCACGCTGAATATAAGTTTAGGAGAAAGGGTCACAGGAAGGCAAACGTATAAAACTGAGTTTTAAGAAGAGACTTGAATGAAGTGATAGAATTTGCCGTCCTGATCTCCTCTAGAATGCTGTTCCTCAGTTTGGGGGCTTTGATGGCAAAATGCTCTGTCACCTTTGTTTTTAATCTGCTTTGAGGAACCACCAGGAGAGCTGCATATGAGAACCTTGGGTCCGAGGAGGCTCATGAGGGGTTAAAAGGTCTGAGATATAGCTTGGGAACAACCCATTCTATGCCTTAAGGGTGCTTCATAGACGAGATGGATGACCTCCAGTGAAACGCAATTGAGTGTAAAATACATGCAGAATGCCCTCAGGCCTCACAGATGAGCTAAGAATAGCGTGGAACCTCTGATACCAATTTAAAATACCAATATAATAACTTTACCATGTCAAATAGTAACATGCTTTTTTTGTAGCTTCTTATTTTTATGGAGTCTATGCATCCGGTCTGGAGTCTCTCCACTTTAAAGCCTCATCAGGGTCACCACATTGATCCAGCCCACTGTTAATGGCCTTTTAAAACTAGTTCACTACAGACGCAAACCAATGGCCATGCAAGGCAGTAATCCACACAGTAATCTGTTGGGAGGGTTACTTTAAAAATGTAATCCAATTACTGTTTGTTAAAAAATGTATTCAGTAACCTAATCCGAGTATCAAATATTAAAGACTTGATTTTTTTTGCGTTAAGATGTTTTTAAAGGTTCTACATCTAACCTTCAACAGTGACACCGGTGGCCGTTGAGTGAACTGCAGCCAGGAGATGAACGCATGAATTCAAAACACTTAAACTGTGCTCTTATTTTGGAGGAGATTTTGTGTTAAAACGACATGGCAGCAGTTGACCTCATTTATTGGGGACTGAGTGTGTGTTATTATCCAGACGCTGCCTGTTTGGACTCAGCCAGTCCATTTCCTGAGCTGGTTAGAGATGCAACAGACTGGAGGTCTGCTGTGTGTCATGTGAAGAAGCACAGGCGTATGATTTATCAGAGCTAATGTGTGTGAAGCAGACACATGTGGGTACATGTGATGCGCCGTAGTGATCTTTTTTTGGTCTGAGATGTCAGGGACGTGGCTCTTATCAAGGGCCTGCAGGGAATTCAGCCCCCCCGCCTGCAGTTAGAGTGCAGTAAGGGATGTGACCTCGCCATCAGATGGACAGAAAGGTTGCAAGCTCAGTGTCAGAAACCATAAAAACATCAATGTAATGTCACTGACGTTACACCAGTAAAGAAGAATACCACCACAGTTTCTCAACGGCCAAAGTGACGTCTTTAAATGTCCGAACAACCGTCGAAAAAGATTTAAATTCTAATTAAACAGATCACACAAGACGAAAGAATATAATCAGTTATCATTAAACTGTAACGAATGCCAGTGATATCGGTACTACTACTACTACTACTACTACTAACTACTGTCAGCCATTTCACAGTATCCCATTATGTACTGTAGAAAATCACATTAACCAGTTTTGTAAAATGTTTCAATTGTTTTCTGGAAACATAAAAAAAAAGATATTTAAATATAACATATATTATAAAGATGTAAAACAGAGAAAAGCAGCAAATGATCACATAAGAAGGTAAAATGTTTAGTTATAAACTGTTGTTAGAAAATAGAAAATATATTGTCGTTTTACAACATGGGATTACATAATGACTTCACCAGCTAACGTGATCCATTTACTGACGTATTGTGACAAACGGTGTACGTTAGCTCTCTTTCTGTCACCAGTCAGGCTTCAAGGTCTATGATTCTCACACGTAAATAGTAATATAAAGATCTATATTGGTGACATTTAAGCATTTAAATGATTCCTCTGAACCAGTGGTTCCCAAACACTGACTTTGTCCAAAAAGAATCCTGTTAAGTCTGTATGATTGTTAGAAATGATAAAAATGCATAATCCAGTCAGAGGGAACTAATTATAGAAAAGGGCTCCCTTAAGGAAAAAGGTTGCTGCTCTAAATCACTTCTGTTTATCGGTCTTAAATGTGGATCACATGGTATCGACATGTTGAGGGAGAGATAGGCTACTGCGTATTTTAGCCCAAATTGTACCTGATTTACACGACTGAGAGATGAAATGAAAAGGAAGATGGGCCCTATCAGCTTCAGAGTGACAACCACTGAGATCAGCTCTGTAGAGAACTGTTTAAAATGTAAAAAGTGGATCAAATACGCAGACATTAAGGTTTCCCTGCTGCATGAATAATGCAGGGTATTATCTTAAGATTACAGCCTGCTGTATGAATTAATAATGATGACATGAATGTCCAGATCCTTTCTGTCTGTTTCACAAGATGTCTCCCCGTGTCGTCCACAGTTCAGACCGAAGCTCCGGTTAACCTGACCCACGAGCTGGCCGATGCCGGCGGGGACGAGATGGGCCACGACGCACTGCTATCCTGGACGTACCCGGTGCCCTCTGACCTGAAGTACGGGTGGATCACGCTGGTGTACGAGCTGCAGTACAGACGCATTACCGAACCCGACAACTGGAAGGTAAACAGCCTCACATGGTGCCAGATTAAGTAACAACATTTACTCAGGACACTGTAAAATAAATCTGTAAGTTTACAGCGCTTTTCCAGCTTATGTTACAATATTTACTGTTTATTTAAAAGATTAAACGGTTCAACTCAAGTAAATACAGTTAATAGACATTTCTAAAATTGTGTAAAATGAGTGACAATTGTTTTGTAATTTTACATGGATTTGCAAATTAATTATCCAATTAAAATCCCTGTATTAGGCTACATCACTATGGCAGACTACGTCAATGGGACTTTAAGTTCAAAAACATGAAAGGGTCCATAAATACTAACTGCCTTCGACTGCTGGTCAGAACTCTTTATAGAACAGTTTAATCTACTCAGCGCTGCACAGTGGCTCAACATAAATCTAAATGATGTCATTTGTGGTTGTTTGTTGTCGTCAGGTGAAGTACCCTCTGCGGGAGCCTCACGTGGAGCTGCTCGGCCTCCCCGTCGGCGACTACCAGGTCCGGGTTCGCTGTCGATCGCACAACTCCGGCCTGTGGAGCAAATGGAGCTCCTCGCTGCTGATGAGCATCCCCGCCAGGCCGCCCGCAGGTACGCCGACTGGGAGGGTATCCATGACAACAGCAACGGCGTGATGATTTCATTCAACAGTTTTTCAGTAGTTGTTCGTATTAGATATTAAAGCTGCAGTAGGTAACTTTCAGGTCATTTTTTTTTACTTTCACTTTATCCTGACAGTAGAACACCTGAAAGTGATAATGCAGCTTTAGTCCTTTTATTGGATTGGCTTTGGATAAAATGTATTTTGTTTTCCCATTGAATGTGTATTCCTAAAGCTGTAGAGGGAGGAGGTGGAACAGAGGGGAGTGGACAGGTGACTTTAATGAACTCTCTCGGTTGGTTGAACCTGTGCAGGTAGACTCCTGGTGTGGATTCTGGTGTCGGGAGTCGGTGTCGTGGCTTTGCTGGTTATCGCCTTTGGCATTATTCCACAGAGCAAGAGGTGAGAACACACACACACACACACACACACACACACACACACACACACACACACACACACACACACACACACAGATTTTAGTCATTGGACATCTGGATCTTAAGTTATCAGGTTATATACAGTTTTAGTTTTATATACATAAACACCCAGGAAATAAGTCTGCAGTGTGTCTTTTGAAAATGGTTTCATCCTCACATCTTTCAGAATAAAAGACTACTTCCTGCCGCCTATTCCAAAACCACGGATCATCGGCATCGACCCGCTGCTCCTGAAGGTAACACACACACACACACACACACACACACACACACACACACACACACACACACACACACACACACACACTTTTCCTCCTAACCTTTCTCCCTCCTTTTCTCACATTCTATCTTTTCCTCACTCCTTCTTTCCCCCTTCCTTTTAATTCATGCTTTCCCTTTTCTTGTCCTTCCTTCCTCTTTAATTTCTCTCCATCTTTTCTTCTATACTAATTTTATTTTCCTCATTTCCCTCTTTGTCCTCCTTTCTTTTTCTCCACTCTGCTTTAATATTTCCTTCCTCTTGTTCTTTGTTTTTCACTTTCTCCAACTCCTCTTTCTTCCTACGTTTACTTTCCCTCCTTCCTTTCATTATCTCGCCACACCTTTCCCTGTTTTCTGTCTCTCCTCCTATTATCCTTTATCCTCCCTCCTTTTCTCCTTACTTGTACTTATCATTCGATCCTTCTCTTGTTGTAAATTGTAACATTTTCCTTTTTCATCTCTCCCTCCTCTGGCTTTTTTCTTTATTTCTTCCCTCTCTGTCTTTTCTTCTCTTCTTCCACCTCTCACTTCCGCCAGCAGAAGGGGAACTTGGATGCAATCAACCGTCACTTCAGTAACTTCCACAGCTACAGACCTCCGAGCTACACTGAGGAGGTCTGGGAACCTGTCAACGCTGACGACATCTATCTCACCCCGGGGAAGGACTGCAGTGTCCCGGTCGACCCAACAGACAGGGAGAAGGAGGCCTTGATGGTTCCATATCACCTGATGCCTATGGCCGGCCATCATCAGATCACAACCCAAAACCCATCATCGTATGTACTGAGCCCGTTGCCCTACTGCTCCTCGCCTCCTGAAGCCTTTGCCTCGTCGCTGGACGTGTCTTCCCTGTGGCCGAGACCAGAGATCGTATCTCTGCCGGGGACGGAGTACAGCGTGATGAGACATCCCGGCCTTCCCAGCGCCGTCCCTGCTCCTGACACTCTCTCCACCAACCGCTCGCCACAGGATTTCTACACCTGCGTCCAGCTCATGAATGAAAGCGGCCAAGTGCATCTGGTGCCGTGCCTCCCGCCGGCGTACAGCCGGGAGTTCCCGCCTCTCCCAAAGCTGGATTTAGATGCAGCGGATAAGGAGGAGAAGAAGAAGCAGTCCGACTACCAGGCCAGGAAAAACACGATGAACCGACCGAATGATGGTGGCGGACCTGAGAGGAACGAGGCGGCTGACCCTTTGCTTCCCGTTGCTGTTGACAACCACGGCTGAGCAGAGATCCACAAAAACACAAATACTGTGAGTGCTGGTGAATGTGCTCAAACATGGAGACTGTCGCCATGTCCAAAGTGAAACCGCAGGACATCAGCCTTTGAAGAGCCTTTTTTATTTTGCAAAAGTGCAAACCTCAAATTGAAAACAAGTTTTTGTGAACAAAAGAAACAGTGCAGACTCTATAGCACACTATTCCTGGTACAATACCCAGCGTTTGTTTTAGGTCACCTCAACTTCTTTCTGTGTTTGGTAACTGGCAACTTTTCTAAAACATTTCGATGCACGTTGTGTTGTTTTTAAGCAAATTAGGCAATGAAAGTGTGGAAGAAAGTGAAAGTTGCAAATATGATTATTTATATATATATTAGGGCTATAACTTTCTATTCGAAAATGTGTGTAATGACCTGTTCCGGGTTAAAAATGTACAGTGTATAAATGCAAGAGATATATGGAAATGATCCGGCAGAGGGCGCTCCACTATCAGCTTGACCTGTGTTTATAGATACGTTTGTTTGAAATTGATTCAGATGTGATTTTTGGATAAAGTGACAGCCCTAATATGGATTAAAAATCAAAGGCAACTTGTTTCAGTGAGAGTAAAAGATCTGAATCCTCAACAACAGCGCCGCTTTCAGGCAGAACATCAGGGAATTTAGCCTCATCACGAGTTGACAGGGATTGGTTGAATTCACATTAATTGTTGTGATCGCATTCCTAGGTATGTTTTCATCCGTGTAAAATCACCTGAAAATAAGAATTGTCGTATTTTGAATTACCTTAGAATTAGCCGTTTTTAGCTACAGACACCGCTGGTCGCCTTTGATGGAGGCCGCCATGTTTAACCACCATGTTTCTACAGTAACCCAGAAAAGACAAACCAAACACTGGCTCCTTGATGCGTTGTTTTAACGCATTTGGTGGCCACCGTAGTTTCACCTTCAATTCAAAACTAAATTGCTGTAAACAGGCGCTCTGTCTAGAATAATATGGACCTGCCAAGGAGTGTAACAGATTTATGGGTAATGAAGTCCATCACCTCGCAGAGTACGCAGCTGCCTCGTGCAGCTTTAAACAGAAAACACAAGAATAAACGCTGACAGAAATGCCACACTGCCACATGCTGCTTCGTCTCGTCACATTCAGGATGTCTTTCTCAGGAAAGAAATAGAAAAACGCAGCGACATTTCATGTCGAGGTGTTGTTTCAGGTCTAAAGTAGAGAGTTGAACTGCTTTTTTAAAATTTATTTGACATTTATTCTAGTTTCTGCATGAATATGTGGTGTAGTTGGGATTTGGCATTTTACGTAAGCTTGTTTGCACATTCTTTAACTTTCCTGCTTTGCTGTTCAACAGACTCAAACCAGATGTGGCAGTGCATATTAATATCATATCCCAGCTTGTTTCTACAGTTTCAGTATTCAGGATATTATACATGCAGTGGTACTTACATGTGCCAACTCATTAAGGTAATATTTGATTATCCTTATCATGAGTGGAATATTATTCTGCACGTAAAGGCTCTGAGTCTCACTCCGAATCTCTCTATTTTGCCCATTCATAACAGTCTGGGCGATATTTGTACAGGGAGATTCAGAGGAGAAACATATTTGAAGCTGCAGTTGGTAACTTTTATAGAAAACAACTTTTTGTCAATATTGCTGAAACTTTCACTGTCCTGACATTCGTACATAAGACAGATAAAAAATGTGGTTCCTCTGGCTCCTTCTAGTGCTCCTAATGACAAGCCACCAATCCAAAGCGTCTTTCTATCTTTCTCGCCTCTGATTGGTTGTTTTCATTCGGGCCCGTGGTTTCTTACAAACGCCATTAGGAGCACTAGGAGGAGCCAGAGGAACCTGATTATTTCACAAATAATCTGTCTCATGTTCTTATGTCAGGATATAGTAAACGTTTCAGCAAATATGACAAAAAATATTTTTGTAAAAATTACCTACTGCAGCTTTAATCTGTAATCCAATATTTTAAACTGATTTATTCCAAAATACTCATTCAAAGAGGTCAGAAATAAACAAAAAGTAACTTTCACACCCTCAGGAAGATGTAAGCTGTGAATTCAAGCTCCCATTTCAAAATATCTGCAGATTTCTGTTCACCATAATAATAATAATATTTTTTTAACAAACTACTTTACTGCTGCTCTGTACTGTAATGTGTGTTGACTCAAAAACAGACTACATCAGACATTTTAAGTAACGCAGTTAAAAAATATTCTTGAAGCCGCTTTTACAAGGAAAAGTGACACTAACGTTACAGAAACGTTAAGTACTTGTACAAAATTAAGTCAGTGTCACTTAAAATGACTAAAGCAACTTGATCAAGAATGTTTTTTTAACTTACAAAATAGTTAGTTAATGTTCTTGTTATCAGTTTCTTATCTGGTTTTAGAGTGATAAAATATAATGTGTCAGGCACTGTGTTGCTTTCTGAACTCTCCAAACTGGACATTTCTTTACTCTCCAGAGAACATACAAAGAGTTTTGTTGAACACTAATTTGGTAGAAGCAAGGCTCCTCTCTGACCATTAATTAAAAATTATATTTCATATATATACATTTTTGTTCATTTTATTCCTGTTTACAAATTTAACACTATTACAATAAGTATGTTGTATATTATAGAGATGTTAAATGACCTCAGGTTGTGTAATCTGTTTTTATTTTATTTTATGTGTTTTGGATTTTGGAAGTAAAAAGAACCTGCATTTAGAATCACCATTTGGCCAACAAACTCAATATTTGCAAACTATATTTATGTTTAAGAATATGAGAACCCCCTCTTCTGTGATGCCTCACATGTACTGATCTCTCTATGTATCCATCCATTTTCTGCCACTTATCCGCATCCAAGTTGTGGTGGCTAAGCAAAGGCAGCACTCCTATAGTCACATCCTCCAGTTCCTCCTGGACGATCCCAAGGCAAATGTGTTTTATGTGTCCTAGGATCTCCCTTGTACTGCCAGTAAACCTAAAAAATACCAAAAAGGACGCCAAAGATGAGCCGCTAGCATTTGACCAGTTGCTTTTTTGACACCAGCAGTTTGGCATCACAGTAATTTTGGACTGAATTTTGCCCTCACCCGGTAGAGCATGCGCCCCATGTACGGTCCTTACTGCAGCAGCCCTTTGCTGCATGCACCCCCGCTCTCCCCAGTTTCTTGTCTTAAAGATGTCACTATCGTAAAGTAAATAAATAAAGAGAGGAATAATAATAATAAATTGTAACCACAGTGTTGATATACCTTCAATGTATCCACTCCCTTATTCTTAAAATGATTGCTTTCTTTAAGTGTCTGACTAGCTGTGTGTGTGTGACCTGTGATCAAGTTGCTCAGAGGTGGATTGCATTGCCAATTGGGGATCAATCAAAAGCAATATTGACCCAGATGGACTTGAAAGAAGTGGACCCCTAACTATAAAACCCATGTCATTGTATTCTGATACCCACAGTGCTTAATCCCCCTCACCTCTGATGTTGGGAACTCAGACAGCGTGCTGTCACTGTATTTTTCTCACTGATGTTGCAGTTAGTTGTTGTGCTGTTTATCTATTTTTGTGCCTGTATGTGCCTTTTTTTCAGAGTAGTAATTGTTTGCTATTCATACTCTGTTGTGTTGAAATCAAATGGCTGGACAAGCCAACGTGCCACTCCTACACGCCTCGAAATGCTGTCATGTTAGGAAGAAGTCCAGGTCTAAAACCAGCTCAGTGTTTTTCAGATTTTCATTTTATTGTGACAAAACCACCAAACAAGGTTAACATGGAACTTCGGGACTTTCCTGTCAGATAAAAGCACTTTCTTTTGTCAATGCAATAAAGGGTGAAAAGGCAACTAAACGTGTGGAGGTGTATCATTTATAACACACACACACACACACACACACACACACACACACACACACACACACACACACACCACACACACCACACACAGCTCAACCATTTGCAAGTAAAAAGCAGGCTAGACCAAGAAAGGAACTGATCAAGAATCTGTATTCTTGCTATTTGAAGGCTATTAAGGAAAAAAAGAAAAGAATATATATTTACAGTGATTTATCTTTTCTGTTTAATAGCTTCGCAGAATTTCCCTGGTTTCAAGAAATGCCAAATTGTATTGTTTGTTTTTTTGCACTATATTTGTCGCTGTGTATTTACCACAATATGACCAGATGAGAAAACGACTAAAAGTCATGTTTAGGTAGTGTAAGAATCTGTATTCTTGCTAGTTAGCTTATGGCTAACTGCCCCCCTGTGTGGAAGGCTATTAAAAAAAATAGCTAAAATAATAAATCTTGTTTTTATTCAGGCTTATCATTTTTTTATGTTAAAACATGGCTTGCTAGCATTAATAGCATTTTCTATCTGGCCTAAATGTTTTTTCACTCCTCCTCCTTTGAGTTTTTAGTTTTGGTTAATTATGATAAACTTGGGGGCTATTTATATTTTTTTCTAATCTGAAGAATTGTGCTGTTAAAGACTTGTTTCTATTATAGTGAATAAAGTCAATTCATATTCCCTTCTTTTTGTTTCACGCAGTAAAAAGTGCCTAAGTGGCTAAAGTGGGTGTTAGTAATGGATTTGGAAATAAAGCTAAGTATATGTTTCAGTCAATTAAATGTATCATTAGTGCCTGGAAATGTAGTGCAGGGGAAAAACATGCATGGAAGTCAGTGAATTAAATATTAAACTCAGTCAGAGGATTTTTCTGGTGCACCACGGTGGTTAAAATGCTGCTTCAGAGGCTTTCCTTTTTCTTGGTGTTTACATGGTCACATCTTATTGCAGATGTGTAATAGCTCTTAACAGTATATACAGCTCATATTCAAACCTCACTGGACTTCATTTTATATGCCTTTCATTACAAATAAACAACACAACATGTGACCTCATGGTGGCCACCCTGTGACTTAAATTAGCTGCATTCTTCGGTTATAAATAACTGCGTCGATTGTCAGCTGACTTTAGATAAACACACAAGCAGCGTTCAAGCTCAAAAGACAAAGTGAGAGATTGAGAGAATATACATATGGTCAGCACACACAGCACAGCAGAGCTTCAACTCCTGAGATATCTGTATTTATCTGTAAATTAATACAATAATGTATTTAAATCACAACATGCATAGAAACTGCAGCCCCTGTGAATTCAAGCAGCATAGATTTTATTAGTTATATTTATTATTTTATATCAAAGTAAATAAAAACTCCAACCAAAGTCAGTCACCATTCTCTTTAAGTATCGGTTTATAATCATAATATTAATAATACACTAATAAACTACAACATTGTCACATAAATAAACATTTCCATACAATAAACATCAAAGATCAGTTGTAAACTGCTCACTTTAAAGATTTTATAGTTTGCAGATCACCAGAGAAGACAAATCTCAAATCCACTTAATAAGTATCAATATTTGCTTTAAAAGTCCCCAAATGAAGATATTTGAGCTCCAAAACATTACACTGCTGTGGCACATTAGTAAAGCATTGAACTATCTGCAGGTGGCATTAGAAATCAATAAACTGTATTATTTACAAATCATTCATATACATTTAAAAACTTAAGCCTTAATCACTTGTTCTTAAATGTGCACTTCACAGATCATTAAATTATTTGTGTTACTTTCTGCCTTTTAACCCATTATTTGAAAAACGAAGCATTAATTTGCTAGAAACAAATGCTGAAAGTGATAATATCAAAAGCTGTGAGCAAAACAAACTCATATTTGGAAGATAACGTTCTGGATCAAGTAGCTTTAGTAATTTTAAGTAACACTGACTTCATTTTGTCATTTTCATTTGTTTGTTGTTCTTCATCAAGCGTGTGTAAAATGTAATTAAAATGTTTTGATGTAATCCATTTCAACAACAGATTTAATTACAGTTTTACTTGAGTAAATGTACTCCATTACCTGCAGCTGATGGTGTCGGGTGTCTCTACAGGCCTGGTTAGGGGGAGGTGGGTGAGAGACTCTCTCTAACTTTAGTGTCATTCTGGCGGCCATCAGCTTCAGACCCTCAGAGAGACACTGTGAGCGACCGCTGTAGGTAAGAAAACACACACACACACACACACACACACACACACACACACACAGAGTTTCATATAAAGCTGGAGACCTGTTTTCTGGTTCAGGGAGTTTCTTCACTTCTGATGAGTGTTGATGTTTTTGTGTTTTTAAAGCTTGAAGCTGTTCGGCCTTCCAGCGTGCTGCTGATCTCAGGCCTGACAGGCTGTGAGGCAGCTGTCGCTCTGGTTAAAAATAGATCAGCTGGAAAGCCTCAGATCACACACACACACAACCACACACACACACACACACTCACATTATACGTACACATTTACAGAAACATTGATTTGTAGATTTCTGATTTTGGTAAAAACATGACTCGGTTCTCGCATTAAACAGTTCCTCAGTGGCTCCCAACCTTTGTTTCAGACGTACCGTCAGATGAACTCTAGCAGCCCGGTTCATTTGCAGCCTAGTCATATTCCAAATGTGTTCATTGATCTTAACCTGGATGTTATTTAACTCTATATATGCAGGTGGATATTATTAGAATATGTTTTCATACAGTTGAACTGTCACAGGCAGTGACACAAGCTATATGTTTCATCCATTTATAGTTATTTTGTTCCAACTGTTTATCCATTAAACTGTTTATCCATTTATCCATTACTTTAATCTATTCTGAGCATTTATCCACCGTTAGATGATTTTTCTCATCATTAACACGTTTTTTGTTGTTGATAATTTCACGTTTTGCTGTTAAGAGTTTATTATTATTATTATTATTATTATTATTATTATTATTGGCTTACCGTATACCTTTAAAACTAATGACATTCCCATCAGCCTCAGCTGTAAGTGCTAAAATAAGACTATGAACATGGTAAACATTATATCTGCTTAAAACAGCATCTTAGCATTGTCCTTGTGAAGCCTTGATTAAAAGGTTTCCCTGGTTATATACATCCTCAGTCATCCTATAGACCATTCGTGTGTATGTGGAAGTCACATCTCTTATAAAAATGTCCCTTTATCATAAGAATCCAAAGTCATTGATCATATATCACCTTCAGATCCTGAAAACTCGCACATGTCCCATCTTTAAGTGTGATTCATTGAGCAGTGACACATTTCTCTGTCTGCTGGTTGAACCTTAGGTCATTCATCTCTGTTTGAGTTTTGAGTCATATGTGAACCAGCTTAGCACTTTTCTTTCCCTCCTCAAGTGTCGCATTCCTTCAATCAATAAAGAATAACAGCACTCAATAAAAACACAAACTGAGAAAACACTGTTTCATCAATTTGCAGTGAAGAAGAACTGCAGGCAGGATCAGGAAAAGATGAAAACTCGAAATAAGAAAAGCATATACAAAATAATAAAACTGAGTCATAGACAAAGTAATAATTTCACACTTTTTCTTGGACAATCTTTTTTTCTCCTCCACATTTCCTCCTCCCCTGTATGTCATTTAACTTTAACATTATTGTCTGCTATATTCTCCCCAGTTACAAGAGTGCAAATCATAAAATATCAAACCATAAAAATATAAATATACTGTAACTGTTGTTAAATCACATCATGTTTACATGCAACTTCAATCATGTGGTTCTACATGAATATAGCACAGCTGTGATTAATTCCAGTTGATCGCATTGAGTTCAGTCTAACTTACAAACCCGGTTTAGAGATGTTGAATTCATTAATAAGAATATAGTGCATTGTAAACATTCTAATCAAAATACTACAACATGTGTCTCAGTAGCAACATCTGCTAAATAACTACAAAGATAACATAAATGAACATGGTTTTTTTTTCTCAGCGGGAAGGAAGGATCTTGGCTGCCATGGCGTCGGCCAATGAGAGCGGGGAGCGTGATGATCAGACAGTTCCTGGCGGTGAGGGAGAGGAGGAGGAGAGGACGGTCCAAGGAATTCAGTCTCATTACCTCCGCTGTCCATCCCCCAGGTACCTGAACACGCTTCCAACACAACAGATTTATATTTATTTACAAAGAAATTAAGAGATTTTAACAAGTAAAGCTCATCTAGGCTGCTGTATCACAGTAGTTCTTCACCTTTTCCTGAACAGATTATGACTATCATTGAGTAAACAGGCTATATTTTATGGATATTTCATTTGATATTCAATGTGTAACAATAACAGTAGAGAACAGCTCATAAACTGAACAATGAACCCAAACAGTGAACACAATAACTGCAGGAAGTTTGTGTTAAACAAGTGATCTGGATGTATTCTGAGCAGATTGTTCTTTAAATATTACATTAGAGAGTTTTCCTGATGTTTTTGGGCAGTTTTTACACAATTCTCTGTCTGTATTATGTTTTTATCTATTTCATAAGCCATACAGACTTTGTTTTAACTTTTCTCATGTTGTTTATCAGAGAGTAAATGATCTTTGAATAAAACGTAAATTTATCTTACATAATGATTTAAACTTTAAAAATAACAATTTCATCTAGTTTTCTTCACAGAAATAAATGAGGCTTACTTATATATTTATTAAAAGAAGTTTGTTTTTCACCCCTTCAAATCAAGAAGGCCTTGCAGCTCCCTGTGAAAGCTTTGGCGACCACTAGTGTGGAGCCGGGACCAGCTTTGATTTTAAAGGGTTTTTCACTCAAATGTATTTAAATATTCATTAAATCTGTTTCAGAAATATTTTTGTTTTATTGTGTCTGTACCCTTCTCCCTTAATTGCTTTCCACATTATTGTAGGTGTGGCCTATTTAACATAAACTGACATACATTGTTCTTTGATGCAAGTCCAAATAAATAAATCAACATTTTCTGTCATTAAATTTCAAAAAGCTCAGATTTTGTAGCCTTGTAACACACAGTTATTTTCTGTTAAAGCAAAAAATATGTATACAATTGAAAGGATGCAAAAACTATTAAATTACCTTCTGCACTCTTCTAAAAGAGTTTTTAGAACATAAATGCAGAAAAATAGAAGTTTTTTGCATTGATTTGTGATGAGGATGTTTTATTGTATATCAAACTGCTGATATGTCCACTTTCTCCTCTCTCTGTCAGTTTCTCCATGGCATCAGAGTCCAGGTTCTCCATGATCTCAGGCTCTGACGCTGCGAGCATCTTCATGGAGCCCATCCACCTCTCATCAGCCATCGCTGCGAAGAAGATCATCAACGAGGGTGAGACAGGTGAAGAGGAATGACAGCGCTGCAAAGAAAAAAAAAACAGCCTACATTGCTTGTAGTTAGAAAATCGGCTTCTTTTAAAGGTTGTACGTATAATATTCACTTTCCACTGGATGTCGCACTAGCATCTCAGATATTTGCCTTTGTGTGGTAATTCTGAACAAGCAGCTGTTCTCAGTTAATTTAATTCAGCTGTATTTTATAGATAGTTATATAATCAAACCATACAGTGAGATACACTCAAATGGTCTATGCAGTTGTAAAATGCCATTAAGGTCACTGTCACTTAATGAGTACCATATCTGCTTACTTGTGGGTCCTGCTATATATTATACTAATATAAGACTTAAGTCCGTTTATTTTGTGCTCACAAGGTTTCCGAACAGCAGTACTGGTTGTGTTTTTTAGGTCTTTGTGTGTTCTTACTTATACAGAAAATATAGGAGGAGGGGGAAGTAGGGGTTAAATTAACATGAATTTCCTATAGCCTCCTAACAGTTTAGCGCCATGGCTTTACAAGACAGTCTATAATTGTCAAAATTATGACTTAAATCATAAAGCAAGTCAACACGATTATGAATTTGGGTTCAATATCCAACCCAGACTGGACTGCTATCGGACTGATGTTGTGCAGCTTGAACCAATTTAAAATGTAGCACGTCAAATAAGTTATTACTCCAGAGCTGCAACCTTTATTTTAATTATCAATTAATTTTGAAATTTGTAAAATGTCAAATAATAATGTTAAATGTCCATCAGAGCTGTTGTCAAGCTGCTTGTTTGTCTCATTGTCTTTTATGTTTTTAATTTACACTGAAGTGAAAAAAAAGAATCATTTCAATTAATAGACTGAAAAACACTTATTTATTTTCTCCCCCGTTGGATAAAATAGGAAAACTGAGGCATTATTTTGTTCAGGATAAAGCAGAAGAGAACAGATTTATTCACTCCTCATCCAAATGTAGCATTTTAAGTAATGATCTCTAAGTCGACATTCACCAGCTCTAATTTGGTCAAATACTCTTCAATAACAGTGAATCCACGTTTCATTCCCTCAGCTTATTACCGGACACAATCTCGATGGAGGAGCAGAGTCGCACTGATTGAGGAAATTAAGATCATATCACGCATCACAGTATCAGATTTCTCCTCTGACATTACATTACATTAATGGGGGTTTAATGGACAATGCATGTTTCATCAGCAGAGAGGACGATGGTCCCAGATGAATATGGCTGCATTAATGAAGTGTTTGTTTTGAACTGTGAGTAGCTTCAAGAACATGAGTTTTAATATGCATGTCTATATATATATATATATATATATATATATATATATATATATATATAATTGTGAAATAATTGCAGAAAAATAACTACTTTGATGTTTTTCTACCCCACAAATCCTAGCGAGTTCAGTTTTTGGCTCAGTATTTCTAAAACGGTGATTATACACTAATGTAAACATACCTATGAATATTATGCTCAATTTCTGCCAATAGCTCTGCCTAAATGTTACACACTGGACCTTTAAAACTGCAACCACACTGAGAGTTGGACCAATGATCAGTTGGCTACTTGGTTTTCATCTTATAATTTAATTCTTGAGTTATATCCCTTCAAAATTTAAAGGTGAATTCTTCAATGTCATTATTATTACAAACTGTGTCTTCCCTCTGCAGAGCTCCCACCTCGCAGCGTGCGTGCCGAGTCCATCCCGGAGTCCATGCTGGAAACCGCAGAGCAGTTGATGGTGGAAGACCTCTACAACCGTGTCAGGGACATGATTGATGACCGTAGCCCCTACAACACCCCCTGTGTGCTGGACATCCAGAGGGCCATGGTGCAGGACCGTATGGAGGCTCCCATTAACCCTGTGGACGAGGTGTGGCCCAACATCTTCATAGCCGAGAAGTGAGTCCCTGCAAGCCGGGAAACAATACTTGTAGTTGAAATATTCAAAGCAAACAACATCAGTGTCTAATGACCATGGTTTTTAGAAGGATTTATTTCAACAAAATAGAATTTATTTTGAAATTGTACAATACTGATTAATGTATTCAGTATTTTAACCGGACAGCCACAAAAGTTCAGGGTCATCTGCAAAGAAAATAAACCAAAAACCAAAAACCAGTGGGTGGAAATGGAAACAGGGACATTTCAGGTAAAGGTGCATTGTTCAGCATTTCTGTTACACACAATTAGGCTACATTTCCCATGAGTCTGGGTACTTCCTGTCACAAAGAGGATTTTCTTAATAGTGACCTAATGCTGAAACAACTGCAACTAAATTATCCCAGATATATGATCATTACCGTCATTCAAGCCAAAGCCTAGCTGATGTCCCATTGGTGTGACAAACAATCACAAATTGTTCCAGAACTTGCAACCATATAACATGGTCTTCATCTGCTCATTTGTCATGGAAAGATAGATGGTTAAACACTCCAATTATTGAAGTGAACATCGACAGCTCCATAACAACTGAGCAGACTCTATTAGCTGATGATGAAGGTTAGGTTTGAAAGCCTCAGCACAAGCTACTTAAGTGGATTGTGGATTACTTGCTGTAATGTCCATTTTATGCAGGAAATACAGCAGCATAGGCTGACAAGATGGTCTTGAAGTGTTATTTTCTAAAGGTGTATTTAATTTGGGCTGTACATTTTGTTTGACTCCCAAAAGCAACTGATAAGTTTGAGTGCATAATTTTATATATGAGACGAGACTGGCTTATCTTTTTCAGATCTGTTGCGGTCAACAAGGCTCGTCTGAAGCGAATGGGCATCACCCACATCCTTAACACCGCCCACGGCACAGGGGTCTACACCGGCGAGTCTTTCTATGGTGGCATGAACATCCAGTACATGGGCATCGAGGTGGACGACTTCCCTGACGCCGACATCTCGGTGCACTTTCGGCCCACCGCCGAATTCTTGGACGAGGCTCTGCTGACACACAAGGGTGAGAAATGTTTTTGTGTTCTTCTGAGAGTTTCTGTCTCTATTATATTTCTTTATATTTAATCTCTTTGAAAGATTGATAATTATATGAAAAAGACCAGTGTTGGTGGTGAAAGCAAATCAATCTGTCCATGCTTTAAATTTCTTCAGAGACTTTGTTTTGGATTTGGAATCCATAGCTCTCCTATTATTGGCAGACTCAAGACTAGTAGCCACTGCTACAAAGTGTTTTCACAGAAATGCAACAGCACATAAATAAATGAGCTGTTGAAGAGATGAAAATAAATTAAATGAAAAATGTATTAATTAGCCTGGTTAAGACTAGAAAAAAAATCACTATAAATTCAGTTCTTTGTTGTAAGTACATTTCCATTTTTCCTTCAAACTGCATGTTACAGAAGCCCCGAAAAGCATGTGATTAAAAAAATGGTTTTCAGGTTAAAATAATTTCACCTGTATGGTGCCCCTAAAGGGACATGGGGGAGTACTAAAAGAGTACTTCTGGGCAAAACCCAGGGGTCAAAAGAGCTCCGCACACCTGTGAAGTTTGTGTGTTTTCACAGGTTAAAAACAAAAATGTTTTCACAAGTAGAAAAATTGTAAACTTAGAAAATGATGAAGAAATGACAAACTTGAAAATTGTAATGAGAGAAAAAAAATCAAATATAATATGGCTTTCACTGAAATCATTTCCAAGAAAATGTGTTTTTTGAAGCACTAATGTAATACAACAAAACAAACAAAAACAGTACTTAAGTAATAAAAGTTTCTGGTGGAGGATCCATTTTTTAATATACTTTATTGAAGTTGTTTTAATTTATGCAAATCAAAATACACTTTTTTGTCTGTTGAATTTTTTCTTCTCATTGTTTCTTATCTGCAGTTCACAGGGTTTTTTAATGTATTGGTTTATTTTATTGTGTTAACAGGGAGAATACACACAAAACACAAACACATACATTTCAGCACACATAGCCAAAAACAATGAATGAATTTGTCCCTGAGCGGGGTCGATGTTGATGCAGTAAAAGCAGCCCACCAGAAAGCGTCTCCACACTTCCACAACATATCAGTTTCTGAGAAAAGCTTTACAATGGACAATACTGATTACATCTGTGTTCCTGGAAGACAAGATCATGTAAGAGTCACAGTGTTGACTGGCTCTCATTCATCCTTACTGCAGCTGAGTCATAAAGTGTTGCCTGAAGACGTCAGCAGCAACAACTGTAGCTCTCGTTGACTTGTGTAATGAACAACTTGAAGCTGATTTTTATTTGTGAGTAGCACAAATTGTTTCCCTAACATGAAAGAGGAACCCTTCCCTAACATGATCTACCCTAACTCTAAGCCCTAAGTTAATAAACAGTGTTGCTATTGATATGTGGAATATTTTACGTTCGCGACAAGAGCCCGACCAATAAATCCATCCACAATTTTAGTTTAATGTATTTGATCTTGCTAAATGAGGATTACAAATAAAACTACAAATATGTTAACATATTATATATATATATATATATATATATATATATATATATATATATATATATAATTAATTTACTTTAACTTTATCACTTTTTTAAATTGTGGATGTCTGTATTCGGAAAGAAAAAAACATCTAATATCAGGATCTCATCATGCATACAAATTTTATGAGGATGAATGTGTAGAGCCTGTATTATTAATAATGACTTTTAATGGGGTTTTGGTTGCACCACCAAATTTTGAATTATAATACAAAAAAATAAGCACTAGAAAATTAAGCATTTCCTGTAATTCTTTTGTTTCAATGTCAGCCAGTGACGTTCATGCATGTAGTGCACACATACATTCCTTTATTAGTTACAACTTAAAATGTGATGGTAGTAAGTGGAGGTAAAATGAAAGGTTCAAAAACACTGGAATCATGGCGGAGAAGTGAATGAAAATTGTTCAACATACTAAATATTTGTTTGTGTATTTCTGTAAAATATTAAATATAAATATGTGTCAGGTTTTAGTCACTGTTTTGTTTTCTTGCAGGAAAGGTTCTTGTGGTTTCCATGATGGGCGTTAGTCGCTCTGCCGTCCTGGTGGCATCCTACCTGATGATCTTCCAGCACATGACCATCATGGAAGCCCTGACCTCCATGAGGAAAAAGCGTGCCATCAACCCCAATGAAGGCTTCCTGAAGCAGCTGCGAGAGCTCAATGAGAACCTGATGGAGGAGCGCGACGATGACGATGAAACGCTCAGCCAGTGCTCTGTTATTGATACACGCGCACGTGCCCGCATCTTTGGTGACAACAGGGATGATGATGATGATGATGACACTGATAAAGAAGAAGAGCAGAGTATGATTGAAGTGAAAGCACACTCCATCATGTTGGAAGAGGAGGAAGATGGAGAAAGTGTGATGAGCAGCGTCGCCTCCTCAGCAGCTGCTGCAGCGCTCAGGAGTGGACTGATTGGAGCGCGGAACGGGCTGGACAACAAGGGATCGGCTCCCACTCAAGAAGAGATTGCTTTACTTGACCAGGAGGGCAAAGAAGATGGTGAGCATGAGGATGGTCTTGACAGCATGATCCGCGAGTGGCAGCGGAGGAACGAGAAATATCAGAGCGAAGACTGGTGGGAGGCGCAGCTGAACAGCGACAATGAGGATGTGGAATCCGCCACCCAGGGCCGACCAAGGCAGACGCAGGACGGTGTAGACGCTGATGTGGAGAGTGTCACCAGCGAGGATGTACGAGCTTTAAAAGAGCGGTTGAAACGTTGCCATAGACGTCCACCCTCAGACGCGATGTCCACCTCAAGCTGCACAAGTTACTCTGATCTTTGGAAACAGCGGTTGAGGGAAATCGAGGAACAAGCTGCTGCTCGCTACCGCAAGAAAGACGACGACGAAGCTAGTGATACCAGCGCTACTGAAGCTGGTGAAGGAGGAAAGAAGAAGATTGATGACGAAGTGGAGAGCATCCTCTCTGACACCAGCTCTATGTACAACTTTTGCCAGAAGAACAAGGAGAAGATGACGCCTCTGGAGCGTTGGCGCGTGAAAAGGATCCAGTTTGGCTGGAACAAGAAAGATCGAGAGGATGGAGAGAAAAGTTCTGTAGGAGATGGAGAGAAAGGTGACGGCGAGGGAGAGGCCAAGACTCCATCCTTCCAAGATGTCAACCTGACAGCGTATCAGTCATGGAAGATGAGGCAGCAGAAGCGTTACGGGGAGGAAAACCCAGATGAGATTTTGGAGCTGAGTCGAGGTGAGGACTCTGCAACGGTCAAACGGAGGCAAAGGCGTGAGGAGATCCTGGAGCGTTCAAAGAAAAATTTAGAAGAGAGTCAGTCCATGTGCAGCTGGGAGACTGAGAGCTGCATCAGCGGAGGTACGATACCTCTCTCGGCCTTCTGGGCTGGAGCTGGAGTCACCGGTCCGCAGAGCGTCGCCAATGATGACAACATGTCCATGCTCAGTGGCAGGTCGTCTGTCATATCTTCAGTTTCACAGGCTCGCAGTACAAGATCAGCACAATCTGCAGTCCCAGTTAATCCCATGACACCAGTTCCTCCCATCCTTCCAGTTCCCACTGTCCAGGGACCTGGAGGTGAACCAATGGTAAATCTGGCCAGCATCCAAAACTGGATCGCCAATGTCGTCTCTGAAACAATCAAACAGAAGCAAAGCGAGATGAGTCTTCCTCCTCCATCACGCGCTGGATCGGAACTTAGCTTTGGCGGTGCAACAAGTATGATTTCAGGCCGTGGCGTGGACGATGACAAGGCATCCTTGTTGAGCGGAGCTTCCTATTCCAGTGCACTGTCTCAGGGTCGTGGCAGAGCGGCGTCAGTCCTCTCAGGTGGCGCGTCGAGCAGCTTCTCTGGCCTCAGTGGAAGAGGCTCTGCTCTGGGATCCTCCCTTGGCTCCACCCTGGGCTCCAAGAAAAACAAGATCACTACCACCAGTGTCCCTCTTTTCAGCCTCTTCCAAGACCAAGTCAACATGGGCAAACTGGATGCCATGGATAAGGAAATCAAGTCCGAGATGAGGGACAAGATGGCTACCTATGAAAAGAAGAAGATCCTGGAGGACAACAAGCGCAGCACCCTGTACAAGAAAAAGAAACCAAAGGAGGACGAAGACGAGGAGGAGGAGAGAAAGAAGAAAGTAGAGGAGTTTCTTGAAGAAACAAAGAAAAAGGAGAAACCTACAAGGAGTTATGGCCTCTCTGGGTGCCTAAATCTCAACCCTGCTCTGGAGAAAGAAAAGAACACCAGCATCGACGACTGGCTGAAAAGCGTCAGGCCTCCTCCAAAGAAACCAGCCTCCGCAGCAGAAGCCGGTCCCTCAGAGGATCCCTATGACGATCTTGATGCCTCCGCTTCCGAATACGACTTCTCAAGCCGCAGGGCCTCATATGCTGTCGAGGAAGAAGATGAAGAAACATATGGCATTTCGTCCAGATACAGATCAAGGTTACATGAGGATCTATCAAGCGAAGATGCAGAATATTCCTGCAATGGGTTGACGCAATCCCACAGCCGGGCGGGGAGGTCGTACGGCGCTTACGATGAGAGCAACGAGGCGACCGACAGCTACAGCGACCTCTCCTCAAAGAGAAAGTTCACTCATCATTCACGATATGAAAGCAGCGAGACAGAAGGGAGGAGGAGTAGGAGGGAGGAAGCCGCCAAGGAAGAGGAGGATGACATTGCCACTTTCATTGCCCAAACCAGGCAGAGGATTAGAGCTCGGGCCGCTGCCGAGGCCGAAGACGACGAGGTGCTCGAAGCTTGGAGAGCACAGCAGGAAGCAAAATCACAGAGCAGAAGTGAATCTTAGAAGAAACTACTGATGCAGAGAAATAAGAAGTGCCAAATTCAGTGCTGCTGCTAGTTCAAACATGGGTCCTTTTGACTAATTTTGGACTTTAAATTTGTCTAAGATAAATTATCAAATAAATTATTATATGAGGCTTATCTTGAAAAACATGTAAAATCTTTTAGACACAAGTGTTGTGAGGTAGATTAAGGTATGGTTAATCTAAGGTTATGCAATATTGTTCAATAAACACTTTTTTAATTTGTAGATGTATTTGGGAAAGTATCAATATCAGGAAGAAGAAAAAGCACTTTGCCTACTCGTCATGCAGCAAAATGTTTTGGGGATGAATGTTTTGAGCCTGTATTATTAATAATGACTTTAAATGGGGTTTATAAGGATTTAAAGGTTTTGGTTGCACCACCGTTGAATGTAAAACTGATTGTAAAACACATTTAAGGCATATTTTCATAAAAGATGATGTGAAACTCTTGAAAAAGGGAATCAAATCCCATTTTTACTGTTACGTTATTTTATTATTGCAATAAATGTTCTGATAAATGATGACTCATGTTTTTTATATTTAATACCTCCTAACACACCGTAACACTAAATCACAACATACAAACTGGATTAAATAATATTTGAGCGAGTGCTGACTGAAACGACTATATATATATATATATATATATATATATATATATATAGAACTTAATAGTTCTGTAAATAGTTATCTTACTCTTTGGATCAACAACATTGTTCTGAAGCTCACCTCTGCTCAAATATAGCAACTTCTGATCAACCCATAATCAATTTCAGGCTTAAATTAACAGCATTCAGTTAACCCGTTACCCGCTCCAGGTACAAATTTGAATACAGATTATTTTGTTGATTGAAAAGATACAGTTGGTGTAATAATAATAATAATAATAATAATAATAATAATAATAATAATAATAATAATAATAATAATAATAAATACAACATATTCATTACATTATATTTTATTACAATTTATGTTTATTTAAAATAATATGATAAGGAGCTTGAACTGATCTTCCTTGTTTTTACATGGAGGCCAGGTTGGATTTAACCATGGCTTCATACATATAAGTATTTTTCATTGCTTACTCTAAAATCTTTAATATTTTTTACATGCAACAGACAGATGAAGGTTCAGCGTCTGTTTTTAGGGCAGTCTGCTTTTTCATTTTGGAGAATTTAAATCACAAATCTATTTTTCAAGAAGAATATTTCCTGGAATAATAAATACGATTTGGTCAGATTATTGTGTATTAAGTATTTTTGATGCAGTAGGCTGTAAACTTATTACCCTACTGAAATCCAATCCAAGGATACTACAATGAAACGTTATACCACCATCTAGTGGATAAGGGCGGTAGTGCTTTGAGGGGTATTCAGAAACATAAGGATGGTTTGTAAGAAAGCATCACTTGAAGATCATTCAGATACATATGATCTTAAATAAAAATAATTATTTATTTATTTTTATTTTCTAGTTATGTATTATACTTTGACAAGAATAGCTGTACTGCAGTGAGGACGGTAAACGGTGACATAATGCCAACTCGTGAGATTTTAACACTCATTACAGCTTATAGTGAAGCCTTACATGCCACAGTGGGATAAACCACTATGGGAATGTTGATCTTAAAGCTGAAAGAAGAATAAGGAGGAGAGGAAGAAAAAAGCAACGTAATATTAACCCTTTCTCAAACAGCTATTCAAAATCTGTTTTTTTTTTGGGGGGGGCTTATCATCAGCCACTTGGATTAAGGAGCAGAAACTGAGCAGCTCAGGAATATCTCTCCAATCCTTCTGTAGTAAGAGCCCCTGCAGGTCAATTTAAGGTCCTATTTATATTAGTATATTAAAAACACATATATAATCCATAGTTTTACATTGCATTGAACAATTAGTTTAAAGTATAAAGAATACATATTATTTTATATAGGTTTGCATAATATATAATTGTATTAATTGGTTATTAATACACAGTTGAAAACTCAAACGCATGCAGTCCACCCCAGTCAACAAATTAAATTAAATGAAATGTTTTCATGCCTAAAGAGTCATAAAATCCAAAATTCACGCATGAAAGGTTTATAGAACAAGCCAGACGTCATTTATCAAGCATATTGTATTTAACTCATATATACAGTACGTGTACGTATGACATTAATTACAAATACTGCACCCACTTCTAAAGTTACAGTATTTATTTCCAATGTGTGCTTTAGCTCTTTACTGTGTTTTGTTTTTTAAAACCTTAAGTAAAAAATATAATCTTTCAGAACCTTTATGGGAAGGGGTCATTCTGCATTATGAGTCCTTTTACTTTAAATACCTTTCGCTGTTTTTACTTTAGGGATCTGAATACTTCCTCCAGCACTAGTTAAAAAAGTGGTGCTTATAAGAGTCTGGGTGGAGGAGTCCAGTAAAGGAGAGAGATCACACCTGACAGATTAAAGTATTACAAACCCGAGGCTGAAAACGTGGCCTTCGGGTCACCAGACTATGGACTGAGAAATGACGTGCGCTGCGTTTCTGCCAATCGGCATTAATCAAATCCTGCCTGAGTGAGAGTGAATGCTTTCATAACATGGACAAGTGGTTTGGGTGGGACAGATGCAGGTTTATTTCTTTCACTCTGCTTCACAAGTTCCTCAAACGGAGCCATTAAAGAGCAGTTTTCTCTTATTTCCCACATCATGGCGAGCTGGTGGACGACTGCAGACATGCTGGACAGTCTGGACCTCGAGGAAAATTCAGTAATATCTCGGGTTATTCGAGCAGTCGGGCTGTTTGGAGATATTCTGTCTTTGGAGGACACTATTGAGCCGGTTCTGTGTGAAGTCAAAAGAGAGGACAACGCTGAAGGGACGGCTTCAGGTGACAAGAGAAGTGTTCAAGAAGCAGAAACAGTGGAGGAAGACAAAGATGAGCAGGTGGGAAAGGAGGGAGGAAATCATCAAGACTGTAAACATAACAATGAGAGCAAAGAGGGAGAGGAAGAAGAACAGGAGCAAGAGGGTGAGGAGTTGCAACAAGGAGGAGAAGAATCTCAGGAAGACGGCACCAGTGATGGAAACACTGAAGAGGAAAGGACAAGAAAGGTAGAGGAGGAGATGGAAGGAGAGAATGAAGGAAAGGCAAACACAGAGGAGGAAGTGGGGGAGGGTGCACAGGAAGAAAGAACGATTGAAAAAGAGGAAGGTGAAATAGAAGGTGAAGAGTTACAGGAGGAAGGAAAGGAGCTAGAGGATGAGGAAGGGAAGGAAAAGGTGAAAGAAGAAGAGATAGAAGGAAGAGAGGAAGAGCCGGCGCTAGAAAAGGATGTAGAAGAAGAGCAAGAAGAGGCAAAGACAGAAGAAGAAGAGGTAGAGGAAGAGGATGAAGCAAAGACTGAAGAAAGAAGGCAGGCAGATGAAGATGTAGGCGGTTTAAAGGAGAGTGTGGAGGAGGTTATGAACAATCTTGGATGGAGAGAGAATGTAGAAGGAGAGTGGGAGAAAGTGACAGAAAGACAGGATGAAAGAGAGGTGGAGAATAAAGAACAAACAAACAAGGAAATAGAACTTATGAACGAAGGAACTGAGGATGACGGAGAAGGGGAAGAAAAGGAGGAAGAAGAGGAAGATAAAGAAAGAAAAGAACAAGACTTGGTGACAGTGGAAGAAGAGGTAGAAAAAAAGCAGGTAGCGGAGGAAGGAAAGAAGACCCATGACGAAGAAGAGGTCAAAGAAAGAAAAGAACGTAGGGAGATGAAAGAAGAAGAGAAGGAGAGCCATCATGAAGAAGAGGTTGAAGAAAGAGAAGAACAGATGGAAGCAGAGGAAAAAAACAAAAAGGAGGAGGAGGTAGGACAGGATGACAGAGTAGAAAAAAAAGAGGAGGGAGAAGAGGCAGGCGAAGACAGAAAAAAACAAGACAGGGAGAGAGCGATAGAAGGACAAGATAGTCACATTGGAAGAGGAGAAAAGGAGGTAGAGAAAGAAGAACAAGAACAGCAGATGGATGTAAAAGAAGAAAAGATGGAGGAAAGACAAGAAAAGGAGGTAGAGAAAGAACGACAACACGTTAATGAAAAAGAAGAAAATATTGAGGAAAAAGAGGAAAAGGAGGTGGAGATAGAACAAGAAGAACAGGTGGATGGAAAAGAAGAAGGAATAGAGGTAGACAAAGAAAGAAAAGAACGTGACGGGGAGAAAGCGATAGAAAGACAAGAAAGTCACATTGGAAGAGGTGAAAAGGAGGTAGAGAACGAAGAACAAGAACACCAGATTGGAAAAGAAGAACAGAAGGAGGAGAGACAAGAAAAGGAGGTAGAGAAAAACGAACAACAACAACAACATGTTAATGGAAAACAAGAAATGCTGAGTCATGACTCTGCAGAAACAGGAAATGAAGCTCTCCTCGCAGACGGAGAGAAACACTCCGGCGCTGCCAAAACCCCTAATGGGGACATTTATCCCACATCACCGAGTGAGGACAACGAGATGGAGACAGACACAAATCTACCGTCTGTCCAGGCTCCTCTGAGTCTGACAGATCCCACAGAGGTGGGAACACGGAGTCTGGAGGAACACGAGCAATTTGAAACATCATTTCCTGCTCCAGGTGAAACAGCAGAAGACATTACACCTGAACTGCAGACAGGTAAACACCATCTAAACTCTTAAAGGACGACTCTGCTATTACAACTCATAATGCCAGTTTATGCTTTTTTTTCCCAGTGCGCTCACACACTGCAAAAGTGAGCCAGATCATTTGGCTCCCAAACAAGTACCAAAAAAATAAAGAAACAAACGCCACATCACTGTTAATATCCTTAAGCAGGAAAGAATGGCGGACTCCACCACTAACTATGAGATGTACTGTCTAGAGAGTAAATTACAGAATGTACACAGATTGAATAGCTATTGCTGAGGACATGAATGATGAATGTTTGATTTAATTGAAAATCTTATGGATTAAAATATAAAGAAAATGACTGATTCAGTTAAAGTTATGTTTATTATTTTACTTGTTTAACTTATAAAGTTATTATTATGAATCTGAATGAGATAACTAACTAATTTATGTTGATCTGACTTGAAACTGATAAACATTGCATTAAGTTAATGAGAACAGTTTTCTTTTTGCTGAAAGGAACAAAACAAACCCCAATTAGATGATCTGTGTAAAAGACAAAACAATAAGAAAGATTAGTAAGGCAACAAAAGCTGCTGCAGCAGCATTTTCACCTTAAGTTATTTATTGCTATAAGTGCGTAAATGTCTAGCTGGAAGTTGTACACTTTGTTTTAAAGTTTGCAGTGTAGAGAAGATCTTATATAACAGCAGCTATAATTGTCTGGTACACATTTACTGACAGTTGAGATTAAGGCCAGAGAGTTTATTCATTCATTAAAATCAAATTAAAATTCCACAAAGATAACACTCACTCATCTGCCAAAGGCAAATTATACTGAAAAGAGCCAATTAAATCACAAGCTTTAACCTTTAAAAAGTATTTTCATTAAACATAAAGTCACAGCTGATGTTTCCACTTTCAGATCCACAGAAGAAAGCGTCGTTGATGGACGCTGCCGCTCAGTCGTCCTTAGGGGCCGGACCAGGAAGTAAAGAGTCCGGTCCGACCCAAAACTCACCCAGCTCCGAAAACCCTGAAATGAAAGTGAGGGAGGATGAAGGAGACAAAGAGGAAGGAGGTCAAAACTCTGACAAGATAAACGGCGAGGCGGACGCAGCGGACAACAAGAAGAATGGAAGCCGTCAATCGTCAAAGTACAAAACTGTGTCCTACAGGAAGATCCGGAGAGGAAACACCAGGCAGAGGATTGATGAGTTTGAGTCCATTATAAACTCGTGAACAAACCCTAAATATTGACAGAGGATTTGATTCGATCGGCTGAGTAGCTCTTTGGGAGTCTGTGCTTGCAGATGGTAACATATAGAGAAAAGTAGTGGACCCAGGACGGAGCCCTGTGGTACGCCATATTAAATGTCCCAAAAGTGATTGCTAGGACTGAAGCTAGGCTAGGGTTGCCTGACATCCTTACTCATATTTCCCATTTTGTGCACAAAAAAAAAGCAGTAAATAAATAAAGTTTATTATTTAAGTGTAAAGCACAAAGGATTTGAGGTCTCACTTCACAGTTATGTATGTTATCAAAGTGTCCTCAGGAGTTTAACTCTGCTGATGAACTCAGATTTGTGTCGTGGTGTTGCCCCACTGAAATTTAAAAGTGATCAATTTTATACTTTATTTAAAATGTAATGATTATTTTTTCACTGGTGGTATTTTCATTAAGAGATACATTGAACCAGACCCATGTGATTATACATAGTTTGTTAGGAGTCTGTATATGTAGAAAAATCATAACTGAGATGAATAATAATTTAAATAACAATACAATCATTATAACTGAATGTAAGTCCTAGAAAATAGACACGGTGATACTCTTAACAATATCGTTTTGTTGTTTTTGTTGACTGATATATGTTCTAGGTAATATAACAGTCTGATAATCACCATTGTATTATATTGATTATTGAATTTAATTATATTAAACAAGCTTACGCTGCCTCATACAGATTTTTGTTTTGTGTTTGTTATTACTCAGAGGTACTTCTACACAGTAGAATTACACTAATAATATTAATTTAAAAGATATTGGATATATGTGTTTAACCCCCAGAAAGTTAATACAACTGTTTTGTTGACACTTAAATGGAGTTTTTATTTGCATTTATGTACTTCAATCCTTGTGTGCTTTAATTTTTGAGCCATGAAGATCCTCTGACACTACTATGACTTCTATATTATAGATATATAGGATTGTATTTTTTATGTTTTTTGTACTATTACTACATTTTAATGATCTTTATATTATATATATATATTATTTTATTTTATTCTATAGTATTATTTTTTTAAATGTCACAATTAATATGTGTAGATTTATATTATAACTAACTAACCAAACAAAAAAAACATTTCTCTCTGGTTGGGATTACATGTATTATATACAGAATATTATAAACTAGTAAAAATATGAATACACCATAGGTGAGATACAACATGGATAGTATTAAATGTATGTTTTTATTTCATATTATATTATATTATATTATGTATAGTATATTGTTATTCTAAGTTAAGTCATGTAAAAAATAAAGTTACATTTTTTTAAACTTTCTATCTATAATCTATAATATCTATAATCACAGATATACCAGGGAGACTAAAGGTAATTAAAGTAATGAATCAAACAGAACTGAGAGCTTCCTGTCAGATTCTGTGGAGCCACACTGTCCATGGTGAGGACTACACGTCCCACAATCCTCTGCGCCCGTCACTGACGTCACCCGGAGCCCGGACCCGGCGTACCTCTGTCACTAGCGGCGTCCGGTCGGCAACAAAAGACTCTTTTAGAAACAGTTGGCGGTATTTTGTCGACGACAGTGTATCTGGGGACTTTATTACAGGTAAGTTTATGAGCGAAGTGACGCGTAAAAATGTAGTTTTTATTCATTGTTTGTAGTTTAAACGGCTTAATTTCTAAAGTTCACCAGCTAGCTAGGAGGCTAACAAGATGGCTTCGTCTATTTACTGCGGAACAATAACAAAGAATGACTCGGTGTCAACTTTAATGTTATCTAACATCCTGCTGCAGCTGGAAATACACGCAGTTTTCTATGTAGTGGTCTTAAAACAGGTGTAACGCTGTTTTTTAATCGGTGTCTCCGGTTCGAGCAGCAGCTGCGAGCGATGACACCGCCGCTGTTCGTGTCCGTTGGAGGAAGAGGAAGAGGAAGGAGGTGATGATGATGACATGCAGTTAGCTGGCTGCCTGGCTGGCTGACGGACGGACCGACAGACCCTGAGTGCACTGTGTGTGTGTGTGTGTGGTGTCGGGCCCACGACCAGAGCAGGACCCCGGGGACGACGAGAGGCGAAGATGCCGCGGAGAAAACAATCCAACCCCCAGCCGGTGAAAGGTGAGTTTACCTGCTCTCTTCCAGATGTTTGAGTCAGTTTACGTGCTCTCTTCCAGCTGTTTGAGTCAGTTTACGTGCTCTCTTCCAGCTGTTTGAGTCAGTTTACGTGCTCTCTTCCAGATGTTTGAGTCAGTTTACGTGCTCTCTTCCAGCTGTTTGAGTCAGTTTACGTGCTCTCTTCCAGCTGTTTGAGTCAGTTTACGTGCTCTCTTCCAGCTGTTTGAGTCCGTTTACCTGCTCTCTTCCAGCTGTTTGAGTCGTTTACGTGCTCTCTTCCAGATGTTTGAGTCCGTTTACGTGCTCTCTTCCAGATGTTTGAGTCAGTTTACCTGCTCTCTTCCAGCTGTTTGAGTCAGTTTACGTGCTCTCTTCCAGATGTTTGAGTCAGTTTACGTGCTCTCTTCCAGCTGTTTGAGTCAGTTTACGTGCTCTCTTCCAGATGTTTGAGTCAGTTTACGTGCTCTCTTCCAGCTGTTTGAGTCAGTTTACGTGCTCTCTTCCAGCTGTTTGAGTCAGTTTACGTGCTCTCTTCCAGATGTTTGAGTCAGTTTACGTGCTCTCTTCCAGCTGTTTGAGTCAGTTTACGTGCTCTCTTCCAGATGTTTGAGTCAGTTTACGTGCTCTCTTCCAGCTGTTTGAGTCAGTTTACCTGCTCTCTTCCAGCTGTTTGAGTCAGTTTACCTGCTCTCTTCCAGCTGTTTGAGTCAGTTTACGTGCTCTCCTCCAGATGTTTGAGTCCGCAGCTGCTGGAGAATGAGCTGCCTTTCTCTAAACTCACCTTAAGATCACTGTCACAGGTTAAGGAAGTGGGTCTTTGTTGTTGTTTGTCCATTAAAAACTCATTTGAGTGTTCCTCTTTTTATTTAAAGCTTTAAAGTTGAGCCCAGTGAAGAGCGAGCTGAAACGTTGCCTAACTGGTCTGACATATTGACATTGCAGGATCGGTCCCTTCCTCATTGTCTACCAGAGAGGAAGACTGTTGGAGACATGTTGTCCTTTACGTAGATGTGTTTGTGTTTGTTATCTCATCCTGAATGTTCTGGCTCAGTTGGACTCTTCCTCTCTTCCTCCTCTCTGTTTCCTGTCTCCACTTCCTCTTCGCAGACCCGTACCTGACCTTTCCCCCCCCCCTCACCCTCTTTCCTTTCTTCCTGTTTGACTTTTCTCTCATTCCCTTCCTTCTTACACGTGCACCCTCTCCTCCCCTCTGTCTCTCTTACCTCTGTTAGTTATTTCATGTTGTCTGTGCTCTGCCCTTCCCATAAATCACCTGTGTGTTTACGAGGGATGTCTTGATACCTAATTTGATACCACGGTAAAAAACAAAAGCATAAATCCTATTTAAAACATTTGAACATTACAAACAACAACAGTGGTATGCAGCCTTCAAGTAATAAATAAATAAAAGAAACAACTACTCAACATACTCTTTATGCTTCCTGTTGGTCCTGTTTAAGTTTATTGTTTCGCCAGTCGATGTCAGACTACACCACTCTCACATTTTAACGAGTTGTGTCGGAGCTGTCGCTGAAACGCACTTGCGGTCGTCTTCCACGTGTCGTCGTTCTTCCGTGCTGGTAGGCCTGTGGCATTTAGTGGCAAACATGCTGCCAACACAACGTCTGGAGGAATTGCATCCTCGCTGTAAAACAAGTACCGTTTTCAGTTTTCAGAATTCAGCATCGACTGGTTCTAACCAGGCGTCAGTCAGCTTTCCCCAGTAAGACAGTTTTCTTAAAGGTCCAGTGTGTAGGATTTAGTGGCATCCAGCGGTGTGGTTTCAGGTTGCAACCAATTGAATACCCCTCACGCCCCCTTTTGGTTCCAAGCGTTCAGGAGAAACTGTAGAAACATGGCGGACTCCGCTGTGTGGATAAAAACGTCTCATTCTAAGGTAACAAAAACACAAGGATTCATATTTTCAGCTGGTTTTACACGAATGAAACTATAAACGTTATGTTCCATTTCTAAATGTCACACACTGGACCTTTAAATGTCATGTATATGAGAATCCCAGCTTCAGTAATCAGGGTATGGGGTTGGAGGAACCTAATAACTTTCTTATCATGTATACGTCTAACAAGGCTTCTAAATGGCAACTTTGGTTGTGTGCATGACAAAGACATCAGACTGCGAACGCATCGCTGTGGAATAAAAGGAAAGGTCATTGCAACCTTTTATTTAAAGTAGTCTGACTACAACGTAAAGTAACACCAAGGAGGTTCGATACTTCTGAATACGTCCAGTTTTCACACTTCTTCTCTGTGACCTGGTTACTTGTGTATGTGAACATACTTTGTGTGGTTGACAGGGTTACTTTAAAAATGTAACCTGAAAGCATTGTATGAAGCAACAGACCTTTGAAGCTGTTGTATGTGCTGCTGGTATATTGTTGATATGAGTGTGAACAGACCTTTTTCACTGTATATTTTGTGCTGGGAAGCGAAGTGTCATTGCAGCTGAGACACACAACAACAAAACTGCTCTAATCCAAACTATTAGGAAAAAGAATTACTTTTAGTGTGCAGCCTCAAGCTTTGGGCATTCATTTCCAAACTGATTAATCCCTAAAAGCTAGAACTTTCTTGGTGAGAGCCACCAACCAGCAAACACTGGATGTAAGCCGGATCACTGCTGTGTTGTATTGACTCTGATCGTCAGTGCTGTCCCTTCTTTCACTCCTCTTCCTTTTCCTGACTCAGCCTCATTCCTCACCCTCCTCCTTCCTCCTCTGCAGTTATCTCAGCCCCAGTCATTTCCTTTGCATGTCTGCCTCCGTCTTCTCCTCACTTTACGCTCTCGCTTCCTCTCCGCCTCTTGTCCATCTTCTTCTTTTTTATGTTTTCTGAGCACAAATCTTGATTATCGCTCTGCTTTCTGTCCTGTTTCTTTTCCTTCTCAAAACTCTTTCTACACACCACTCAGTTCTATATGCTAAAATACAACTTTTGAAGCTTTCTTAATTTGTTGTCATTTGAAATGCATGTTTGTTTTACTCAAAACTTCAAAAGTAGGCCAAGAAATATTTAGAAAATGTGTATTTTTGCTTTGATTAAAACATTTCTGTGCTCTGTAATACATGACGTGTACTAAGCTCCCTGTTCTTATCAGGAAAATGAGTTGTGTAAAGGTTAGGAAATGCTTAGGTAAAGTGTATTTTGACTTGAAGTAATCATGAGAATTTTGTGTTCTTGTTCAGTGGAGTCGGAGGACGGGGCAGAGGTGTGTGAGCCGGGCTGCCTGGTTCTGGAGAGCGACTTCCTGCTGAGTGGAGAGCTGGAGTTTGGAGACTCCGAGATCATGGGGCTGGATAGAGAGTCCGGTAAGTCTCTCTTTCTCACACTCAGACTCACACTTACACCCACACACACACACACACACACACACACACACACACACACACACACATTGGCTTGTACGTTAGTAAATGACTTTAAAGTGCTGACTCTCTGGTTGTCTTCAACCTGACACATAATGACTAATAGATTCCTTTACTCCTCAGACAAACATATTTTCTCTTCTGTTTACTTTATTGAATTATGTGAACACCGTTTTCATTAGGGAGGAAATACTGAACGCATGTCAGAATACATTTTCCAAATACCCTCATGGTTTGATGTCTCTTATAATTTATAATATTAGGGTTCTGAATTTTCTCCACTCAACAGAGCGTTTTTTGTCTCCATTTGTTAAAGGAGTTTTTACTTGTGTTCTTCTGCAGGTATGACGGTCTTCTCTCTGAGCGTTGAGGACGACCCTTCAGTGCCAACAGACTCCACCTTCCCAGCTTTCCTGTCCTGTAAAGGATGTGGTCAACTTCTGGGAGACATGCCTCTGGGGGCAGGATTAGATCTCGGTAACTGTTGGACTTTGTTTTTCACCATCTCACGTTATCAAAATACAGTCTTTAAAAGATGTAAAGTTCTTTGGGCTTGAACAGTGTACCAACAACGAGTGGCTCACTGGTGAGTCAGAGCAGTGGTTTTCAAACTTTTTCAAGGATCGCTAAACTGACACAAATTGGGGGGCCTGGATCGCTCTCCTGGTGGAGCTGGGGCCCGTGTACCGAGGCTGAGTTCTTGCTGCAGCTGCTGTGGCTTCGACTCCGACCTGTGGCCCTTCACTGTGTGTCGTCCCCTCTCTCCCCCCTTTCCTGTCCCTCTTCAGCAATCCCTATCCGTTAAAGGCAATCAAATTAAAATAACTGAGGCAAATTACAGTAGACCACAGACCCCCATTTTATAATATATTTGATAGGTTCCCCCATCTGGTAGGGTTTCTGCTTTTAGATGTGTTTACAGGAAGTGACTTAAACCTTCAACCAAAATATATTACATTCTTTATTTGAGTTATTTATAGAATTATAGTGAAAATAAATGATTCCCCTTTCTGCTGGGGACACCCTGGAACCCTCTTGAGTAAAACCACTGGGTTAGAGATTAATGTCACTGAGGTGTTTTTATTTTGTTCCAGGCCTGGACCTGGGGGCGGAGCTTTACTGTCTGACCTGTGAAGAAGGCCTCCAGCATGAAGCCTTGATCGACTCCCCTGAGCTGGAGGGGTCAAACTTGGCTGACAGATCCATCAGTGGTGACTCCGACAGGAAGAGGAGGAGCGTAGGTAAGGTGGGCGGAGCCGGTGACCTCCCTTCTAAACTGTACTCCTGCTCGCTCTGCCCATTCACCTCGCGCTACTCCAACCATCTGAAGCGCCACATGAGGACCCACGACGGCCAGAAGCCGTACCGCTGCCCCGTCTGCCCGTACGCCTCGGCCCAGCTCGTCAATCTGCAGCGCCACACCCGCACCCACACCGGGGAGAAACCATACCGCTGCCACCAGTGCAGCTACGCCTGCAGCTCCCTCGGCAACCTGCGGAGACACCAGCGCATGCACACGCAGGAGAGACCGCAGAGGAGGGAGAAGGAGAAGAGACGAGGGAGACGGAAAAAATCAAATGCTGAAACTGAAGAAGGTAACCTCGCCTCGCCTGGTCACACACAATCTCATATTCCAGATAAATAGATCAGCACTGTTTGACACTTTGATCTGAGTTTGGTGCGTTGAGCTGGACAGACTCACTGAGAATGAGCTGTCAATCACAAGGTAGCCCCGCCCTAAAGCATACCCTGCTTTATGGTCTGTTTTACTCTAAATGGGACCATCAGTTACTAAATGAACATCATGCTGTATGGAAGAAGACTGAAACTAGAAACTGAGACCAGAAACTCATCAGGAAACTGTTTACTGAGCTCATTAATTAAGTGAGACTCTGTTACTCAATACTTTCAGATTGATTTGCAGCCAGTAGAGCTGCCCCCTGCTGGCTGTTGGAACCAATGCAGGTTTAAGACATTGAAATTCAAAGGTCATATTCTGTCAATAGTAACTGTTTATTTTCACAATCTTGTTACCCAGAAACAATGACGTTCATACTGGTTGCAGGTAGTTCTGGGCAGACAGCACACACAACAAACACAGGTTGCTTATCATGTTCAAAGTGTCAGAAAAGAGTAGGATGACATTGAAGTGAAAGGATGGATGCAGAGGAATGAATAAGAATATTCCAATGGGAGTTGATGTGAGTACAGTTGATTTTACAGTTGAATAATGAACTCTGTTTGTTCCCTGCTGGGGATAATGTTTAATTTTGGATGCACTGAGCTGAAAAGAGGAACCAACAAGTTGAAACTGAAAGAGTTTAAAAAATGAGGAAGAGAAGCTCTCTCTAGTTGAGTGCTTACAGACCTGAAGATAACCTCTGGTGAATTCACCTGCTTCAGGACATTTAAAGGAACATTTTACACTGAATCCTTCACAGTTTAGATGATTCATATCCAGACATACACTGCCGTTTACAAACCAGTTGTCAGTAAGGAAGTCAAACCATCAGAGGAAATAAGAACCAGAGGGGATTTTTGTATATTTAAAGATGAGTTTATGAGAAGTAGAAGAAGGAAGTTTGAAGTGAAGATGTAAGATAAGTTTCTTATTAGCAGTAAAAACTGCAGGGTGTCACTTTCAGGAATGCTTTTCAGGGTTAAAGTAAAGTAAAGTTAAGAGATCAGACTGATTCATTTGAATTGTTTTTTCTCTCTCCATCTTCTTCATGCAGTAGTATCAGACCTGACCCTCCGAGTGTCCCAGGACTCAGATTACCTCCAGACGCTGGGGGGCCTCGGCTCTCCCTCCGGCCCGCTCCCCGTCCTCCTCTTCCCCCTTTGCTGCCGGTTGTGCGGCCTCACCCTGGAGGAGGCCGACCTGGACGGGGACAAGGCCGACGGGGAGGGAGAGGGGGAGGGCGACGGAGGGCAGGTACGTTTCCTAAAACTCTGATTCGCTGATTCTGTTTTTCTTCTTCCTGTTAAAGCATACTGTGGTTTCATCAACAGAAAAAATGATTTCATAATGTCAATGATTGATGTTGAGAAAAACCTTGTTGTGCAATGTTTAGTTTCCATGGTGATAAGTTGTATGTGAACATACAGAAGCTCCATAAACTTCGACATCACAACCGTCACGTTCCCAATATATTTCGATTTATATGAAAGTGATACGTGTTGCTGATGACAGCGACCAGAGAGACGTCACGGGCAGAAATCAAACCGCTGACTGTGTACTCTGTTGGTATTTTTAGGTGTGTCGTCGTTGCTCGTTGGACCTGCTGTCCAAAGATGGATCCGGGCCTCCCTGCAGCCCGACCGTGTCTCGTGGATCCCGACGGGGTCAACGCAGCACCAAGCTGTACCGCTGCCCTCACTGCCCCTTCCTGTCCCACTACCCCAACCACCTGGCCCGCCACGCCCACACCCACTCTGAGGAGAAACCCCACCGCTGCCCGCACTGCCCCTACACTTCCTCGCACCTTGACAACCTCAAACGCCACCTGCGCGTACACACGGGAGAGAAGCCTTACCAGTGCCCTTCCTGCAGCTACGCCTGCGGAAACCTGGCCAACCTGCGGCGACACGAGCGCATCCACTCGGGCGCCAAGCCGTTCCACTGTGGTGTGTGCGGCTACTCCTGCAACCAGAGCATGAACCTGAAGCGGCACATGCTGCGGCACACAGGCGAGAAGCCGTACGCCTGCGCCGAGTGCGACTACACCACGGGTCACTGGGACAACTACAAACGCCACCAGAGAAAACACGGTCACAACACAGACAGCTGGGACAAACACGCACCCACCAACGGCCTCAGCTGGGGCAAAGACACTCAGGAGAGCGAGAGTCAGGGACGGGAACACAGTTAGATACACTGTGTGTGTGTGTGTGTGTGTGTGTGTGTTATACACTGGTGAACCTCCAGCTCAGGGAGGTTGGAGCTAATCTCAGGTGCCTTTAGACAGACTGAATGACTGTAATGCTGCACTGACTTTCTCAAGGGGCATTAGTGTGTGTGTGTGTGTGTATGCAGCACACACTTGTGTGTAAATGCAGTCTATAGACTCATGTGCTCATCTCAGTCAGAATGTGACTTTTTCTAACTGTATGTGTGTGTGTGTGTGTGTGTGTGTGTGTGTGTGTGTGTGTCATGAAGCCAATGTGATGAATTGAAATGTTTATTTTTCTCTCTAGATGATCTATATTTTGTAACTGTGGATGGACTTGCTTTTTCTTTTTCGTAATAGCAGGATGGATCATTATCTCACAAGCTTTAAGTCTGAGTGGGGGTTTAATCTCGGACTCATGCAGTTTGTCAGTGGGGGGGTTCCTGTGCAGCTCCAAACCTCTTCATCTCGACAACATATGGAACATAGCTCTAGTGTTTGTAGCCATTAAAGATTGTGAGAGAAATGACAATTAAAGTGTTGACGAGAGAGAAAATAACTGAAATCACCGACGTTAAATCAGTCCCCCGCTGTAAGGGAGAGTTAGGGCCACAGCAGTGGGGGAGGTATAATATTGTAGGGAGGACTAAATGAAAAACAGTGGCCCTCAAATTGTGTTGCATGTAACACTCAAACAACACTTGAATCCAGAATGTTAAATATTGGATAATCAGTGGTTGCTGTGCTGCATCGAGCCACAGAAAAGCACAGGAGCCCCCACTGCACAGATTTCTCTCTGGAGCGAACTGATGCCGGTGTTCAGGAGGAATCTCGGCACGTGAGACGGTCGGCCTTTACCTCTCAGACGACAACAATTCAGGGAAGAGCAGAAATAATTTAGTCATGAAAGAACTCTAATTTTATTAAATCGTGAACATTTAGCAATGTTGTATCTGGTCTTTATTCCACTAATGATGTAATCCAATAAGAAGATGAGGGCTCAGACGCTGTGAAGCTCTGCAGGTGATACAGGGGGCATTGATCCCAACAGACAGTTCATTCAGGCATTATTACTGTGTGTGTGTGTGTGTGTGTGTGTGTGTCTGTGTGTGTGTGTGTCTCCGCCTTATTTTAAATCCAATCTGTGGAAACTGAATTTGTCGGGCTGAGCGTATGAAGGAATATGTGAGTGTTTAAAAACCAGATGTACGTCACAAACTGGCTTTTTGCTTTTATAAATGACGGCTGGTGTTCAGCATGCAGTGACTCTGATGCACCTCCAGATTTTCAAATTAGACAGGAAGTCAGCGTGTGGTTAGCCTAGCTTAGCATTAAGACTGGCAGCAGGGGGGAAAGCTAGCCTGACTCAAACCTGTGAAGCTCACTGACACTGTTTTGTATTTTGTTTGTCGGACCTCGAGCAGAACTAGGAATGTGTAAGCGTGTTGACAGCGAGGCTGCCAGGTTTGTTGTTCACAGTGCCTTCACATCTCGAATAAAAGAAGTCTGACTGAAGCTGGATTGAAGCTACTTCCTCTTTCACTCTCTGTTTAGGAAACACCTGCTTCACACACCCAGAGGTAGAGGGACGAGGACAGAGGGACTCACGGTCCCCCGAAAAAACACCCCGACCCACAAAAACACAGCTGCTGTAAAGCTAAGACACACTACAACGCAGAATAGAAGATCCATACATACACACACATATAAATAGAAGTATACACACACATTATGTTGTGAAGTGGAGGTGTGATAAAGCGTGATGGGGGGGCGAGGTCAGTCTGCTGTGACTGTGACAGACGGTATGTAAAGCAGATGGGGTTGCTGTGTGTGTGTGTGTGTTGTTGGGTTTGTTTCACAAACGAGTGAAGAGAGCCGCAGTGAATACCTCAACCCATGGGCCTGGTGAGTACAGTGTGGTTTCTAAATGTTAATAATGGGGTTAGTGAGGACACTGTTGGGGTTGATGAACACTTAAATTCAGCGATTAACCTCATTTTAAAGCTTTGAACTGACAGTCGAGTGGTTGAAGGAGTGTTTTTAAAAGAAAAGGCACAGCGACTTCCTGCGCCTCCTCTGGGTCTTTGAACTTCGACTGACACTGAAGGAAAGTGCCTCAGAACTCAATTCTCATTTATTGCTCAGATTTGATTTTTAAAGATCTAGAGCAGTGTTAATCATTTTTTTACACTACATACCACCTCAGGGAATATTAGCCTCTCCCAGTAGCACCATTACGACAGTTCAGGCAGGAAGCAGATTTATTCCTAATAAGAATATTATTTCCTAAAATATTACAGACAATTCAAATTTATTATTATTTTAAATTACATTCCAGCGATCTCCTAGTTTCTATGTTTTTATTCTGTAGTAAACTTTGATACTATAAAATGTTTATAAATTAAGTTTCAATGTCCCACTATAAGTTTTAGAACTGGTGGTTCTCCACCTTTTATATCGTTATATTCTGTAGATATTAAATTCATAACTGTACAATGAACCCAAACAAGAAGTTTGTGTAAAACCAGAGATTTGGATGAATTTTGAGCAGATTATTTCCTGTTGAGGGAACTTTTTATACAATCCTCCGTCTGTATTCTGTATTTTTATCATTTTTACCAATCCTACAGACTTAATAGGATTATTTTTGGCCTACTGTGTATATTTTTGTTCTTAAACCCCAAATGTTAGATAGCAGTGTTGGAAACTGAGGCCTGTGATGTTGGATGCAAATCTCACTGTTGTGGTTTCATAAAAAAAGGAAGTAAAAGTGCAGATTTGAAGCACATGGTGGTGGTGTGCCTTCAGTGTATCGCACTATATCGAACTATAACCCCTGTATGGTGATATTTATCCTATTGCCAAGTTCTACACACCCCTGCTGTCGAAAGACCTTCGCAGTAGTCGACCCTAGGTTCACTGTTAACAGAAGGATACTTAATAGAAAGTGACACCATGTGATGATGAGTGACTCTGACTGAGGGCAGTTTGAGGAAGATGCTTCTCATTTTGTTGTAGTTGAATAAAAACCACATATTGTTGGACAGAACTCAGATCTCGGTGTCGGTACTGTTGGAGGACGGCTTCCTGTTGCTGCGACTGGAAACACTAATAAACATTTTGTCCTCCATAAACTGCCATGAACAGTGATGAGTGTAAAAGTCTGTTGGCTCTGCAGAAACATTCCCAGCCCCAGCTGTTCCCGGGAGACATCGTGGAGTATCCCAGGAACAAATACTTCTCTCATTTCGCGGTGTACTACGGAGAGAGGGAGGGTGTACCCTACGTGGCTCACCTGACATGCCGAGGTTGGTTTACCTGCTGTACTTCCTCTGTGTTCGAGCCCTAAGAGTCCAAATATTAAGAAAGTTTCTCTTTTGTTTCCTCCTCACATTGGCAGAAGTAGGCTTCCATACAATTGTGATCTCAATTCAGAGATCAATTAATTTATGAGAAAGAAAAATAAGACCTCTGATGGACAATATGAACTGGAAGACACACTGACAGGAGTCGGTTGAGGTTTGTGTTCACTGCTGCGATCACACTTTCTGTCATCAAAGCAGAATTTTAAAACATTGCATCGATGTGTTTGTCAGATTCAGACTCCAAGCTGCCGCTCTTTGGCCGAGCTCTGAGGTCAGAGGTCAAACTGGATCCACTGGAGCTGCTGGGGAGAAAGTACAAGGTAAACCTTAAACCTTAAATATTAAATCTCATGGTTGTACTGGGAAACTCTAATGACTTTAATGAATGTGCCTGTCGCAGGTCAACAACATGTTGGACGACGCGTACCCAGCCAGAGACTTCCACGGCGTGGTGAAGCCGGCGATCGATGACTTGATGGGACGAGAGGTGACGTTCGATATCTTGTTTCATAACAGCGAGCACCAGGCGACGCTCCTCAGATACGGAGTGAAGAAATCCTCACAGGTCAGAGGACGGAGAATCAGTTCTTCATCCAATCTCCAACTAATGGTTGAGTTTACCTCTAACACATCTTCTGTGTGTGTGTGTGTGTGTGTGTGTGTGTTACAGATAGAGAGGATTTATGAACACATCATGCCGGCCTGGAAGAAACTGTTTGAGAAGAAAAAACTGTAAAACCTTCTACGTGTTCAGTTCTCCTGTCAACCACTGGAGGGCGATATCTTGTTTCTTTAATCCGTCGTTGGGAATAAAAGTTAAAATGTCTCAGATAAAAAAGTTGGAATATTTCCAGAAGAAAGAGAAAATAAAATGTTATAATAATAATAATAAAAAGATTTAATCATTTATTTTATATTTTTATCTTTAATCAAAATGTTTTTAACCAAACCTTTTCATGTATTATTTTTTAAATCGTTTTAATTATTATTTTCTGATTCTTTTGTCTTTATTTGTTTTGTCGTCTTTTTCTAACAAATAATCTCACATTGCTTTAAATATAAATAAATCTGTGTACCAATCAAATCCATCTTTAACAGCAATAACAATAAACTGAATTTCCTGCTTTATTGTCCTTTCGTATCCTTTATTATTATTATTATTGTTATTGTTATTATATTTATTGTTATTATTGTTATTATATTTGTTGTTATTATTATGTGTTTCCTTCTAATAAAACTATCTGTTGTACTAACTGAAATTAAACTGAAATGAACTCACCTTTGGGCCTGTAAACAGGTAAACAGGTAAACAGTATCTGTTCCATCAACATTAAACACAGGGACAACAACAACAACAACAACAACAACAACAACAGATCAGAGTTAATGTGAGAGATCAATAAAGTTCTAAAGTAAATAAAGAATAAAGTAAATAAAGAATAAAGTAAATAAAGAATAAAGTAAATAAAGACTGATCAGGTGACTCAATCAGGTTAATGACGACGATGAGGACACACCGGAAGTGAGGTAGACGGAAACCGGAACAGACCGGATACAAGAATAAAAGTTTCATGAAAACAAGAAGAAGAAGTTCGTTGTGAGTTATAAGGTCAGTCACACAAACAAACAAACAAACAAACAAACACAGGGTCGCTGCTAGCTAACAGCTACCGTTGTTGTTGTTGTTGTTGTTGTTGTTTTCCTGCTGTTGTTGTTGTCACAATAATTGGTCCGTTTTTCTAAAGAAACTGGTTAAATTATCACATCTGAAGTGCAATTAAAAAATTGCGAGTACGATATAAAAATGATTAATGGTTTACTACAACAGAACAATTGATTGTTAATTTCTGATTGTGTTTGATAGATTTATTTTGAAAGCGTTAACAGGAAGTTGTAGCATTGTAGTCATGTTATAATGTCTAACTTAACTTAATCACCGGGGTGTAGTTCCTCATTATGACCACTGGAGGGCAGCAAACATATCCATAGTACTTTATTGGCAGTGTGGACATGAAATAGGTTTTGAATTGCAAACATAATGATCTTAAAACCTGCAGAAACACTGATAGTGACTGAAGTTGCAGCTGTAAATCCACTAACATCAGTTACATTTTAATGGTGTTATTCTGGCTGTAAAACAACTTTTCCTTTGATTTTTAAAGACAGACATCATTTTTCTGAATCCTTTAAATCATTTATTGCGGTAGCTGTAGATTCTGTAAATTAGTGCTGCACAGTTCTTTAAATATATGTAGAAATCACAGTAGTTCTGCAGAGATGTCCCGAGCTACAAAGCTCGTTCTTACAGACCATGTAACCATTCCCACTAACTGAACACCAACAGATTTTACAATTGCAATAAGATTAAATACACAATCAGATGTTTCAGCCACATCATGCAGCTCTAGAATGAATGCAACTCAAAGTAGTGATGATTTATTGTGTGTTTGATGGTTGCAGGAGGACTGCTGCTGAGGCTCTGTGGGAACTATGGAAGAGTCTTTCCAGTCTTACTGTTGACTATAAATGTAACTGAATCCTATAAATGTATATTGTTGTTGTATGATTTTTACTTTCTCATGTTAAGACTTTAATTTGTCTCACACTCGTAGATCTGCAGCGTCAGTGGAGGACATCATCTCCTCTGGTAGGATATTTTTCTATTTGGCAGAAAACATTTGCACAGAAGTAAAGTTTATACTTTATCTGGACTGAGACATCTTTGGAAATGTATTTTGTTTGTTGTTGGGTCAGTGGTTCAGTGTTTGCAGGAGTTTAAGTCCTGATTGCAGTAGAGATATTTTCAGTAGCAGAACTGTTACCTTCTTTATGGAAGAAGTGAACACAAAGCTAAATGTGAAATGTTTCAGAGAATTTGAACTGAAGCTGAACGCTCTGTGAGCTCAAACTGTTTCAGGATGTTAGTAAGCTGTCAGAGAGGCTCTGTGGTCCAGTGGTGTTGTCAGATGTCTGTGAATGTGCGGCTGCTGGTTTGATCCTCCCTTGTGTTTTTCATTTAAAGACAGACGTCCTCAGCAGTGGACTGAAAGTCCGTCAGAGCAGCTGCACAATATTTTAATAATCCTACTTATTCATTACTGCTAATCCTTCTGACTGATTGGCTGCTGATACATGATCAATTATTCTAATATTTAACTCTGGTACATTGTCAGTTATGTGATGTTGTTATTAAGTTCAGTGACTTTGTGTCACTAGTGTTCACTGTGTGTGTTTAATGGTTGTGGAGCGTCTCACAGGAGTCAGGAACGATCAGATCAGAATCCGACACGGACTCGAACTCACAGATCCAGGTTCAGGTTGCAGACCTGTCAGTGTCTTATCTCACTGAGCTATTTATGGGACAATAGAGTTTAACCTGTTGTTGCTTTTTCTTCAAACACAGAAAAGTGTCATCAGAAGACATTTTGGATTTGATCCCCCTCCCCTTGGATCATCAGGTAACATCACCTTATCTCACTGAGCTACACCTGAGGAATACAGGTCACTGCTTCATTGTTGTATTTATTGTTCATGTTGCTGAAGGGAAACCTGAAAGTTTGAAGATTCAAACCTTCCACCTCAAGTATCAACATCAGCAGATTATCTCACTGAACTATTTCTACTACTACTGTCTCTTTTTTTTAAAAGCACTAACAGCTGTGACGTCCATAAATGTTACACCTGAGACACAAAGAGCTCCATTAGAGCTCATATAACCCCCCAGGTTGTAGCAGGAATAGCTCAGCAAGATAAGCAGCTGGTGGTGTTGATACCTGAGGTTGAGGGTTCAAATCCAAGCTCCTGTGTGTGAGACTTTTAAAGGTTTCTCCTCAGTAATGTGAACAATAAATACAACTACGAAGCAGCAAACCAGCAGCCTGAGGTGTAGCTCAGTGAGATAAGGTGCTGCTAAAGGATGATCCAACGTTACGTTTTGTGTGTTCTCTCCTCAAAGAGGTCAAGAAAAGTAACAACTAACGTGGACTCTACTGAGTGTCAGTGGACTCTACTGTGTGTCAGTGGACTGTACTGTGTGTCAGTGGACTCTACTGAGTGTCAGTGGTACACTGTGTGTCTCAGTGAATAAGCAGATGATTGTCTGATTGATTATGAAGTCCAATGTTCAAAGAAACAAGTGAAAAGGTGTTAGAAATATAGATAAAGTGTCTCAGATCAAACAGTGCTGAGGGTTAGAAGAGTGGTCAGGAGACCAGAGGTTGTGTGTTCGATTCTCTTATGAGGCTCAGTGTGTTTTGTGCTCCAGCGGCCAAAGTAAAAAGATAAAAGCGCCCGGAGAAGATGTTCTAGTGTGAAGGGAGCATGGTGGCGCAGTGTGCGTGGGAGCGGCCAGAATGCAGAAGTGTCTGGTTCGAGGCTCGCTCGGTGCCCGGTTCCTGGAGCCTCACCCCGCTGCAGAGGGAGAGGAGGGGGCCGTGTCCCCTCCCGGGTTTCCAGAGAGGTAAAAGCAGGCGGTTATGGATTTTAAAATCATTTTATTGAATATTAACATGTATAACACTGGCAACACCACCATAACAACCCCCTCTCCCCCCAGTCCTCTTTGTGGAAAACGTCCGCTGCTCCCAACTTCATCAGCCGCTCACTGAAAGAGAGAGAGAGAAAAAAGTTAGTACAGGTACCAAGATACCATCCAGTACACAACACTATTACATTATATTTAATTTAATTACATTTAATTAAATTAAACTAAATTAAATTAAATTAAACACTACTATATTAATTACATTAAATTAGACGATTATATTATATTATATTAAATTAAATTACATTACATTAGACACTACTATATAATATTAAATTAAATTAGCCACTATTATATTAAATTTAATTAAATTAGACACTATTATATTATATTAAATTAAACACTACTATTTTATATTATGTTATATCATATTAAATTAAATTAGACACTGTTATATTAAATTAAACACTATTACATGACATTAAATTAAATTAGACAATATTATATTATATTATATTAAATTAGACACTATTATATTATATTTAATTAAACACTACTATTTTATATTATATTATGTTATATTATATTATATCATTAAATGAAATTAGACACTATTATATTAAATTAAACACTACTATTTTATATTATATTATGTTATATTATATCATATTAAATTAAATTAGACACTATTATATTATATTATATTAAATTATATTAAATTAGACACTATTATATTATATTAAACACTACTATTTTATATTATATTATGTTATATCATATTAAATTAAATTAGACACTGTTATATTATATTAAATTAAATTAGACACTATTATATTAAATTAAATTAGACACTATTATATTATATTAAATTAAACACTACTATTTTATATTATATTATGTTATATTATATTATATTAAATTAAATTAGACACTATTATATTAAATTAAATTAGATTATATTAAATTAAATTGGACACTATTATATTATATTAAATTAAATTAGACACTATTATATAAAATTAAATTAAATTAGACACCATTATATCAAATTAAATTAAATTAAACACTATTATATTATATTAAATTACATTAGACACTATTATGTTAAATTAAATTAAATTAGACACTATTATATTATATATATATTGAATTAAATTAAATTAAATCAAGATACATACCACAGTGTGTGTGAGAGTCTGGGGCTCTGGATGGGAGCGATGGGATTTGGGGTACAGGAGCCTGAAGGTCCAGATAATTTCTGTGAAAACAACCAAATGAAAGAGTTATTTTTAAAGTTTAGATGAATATGTATTATATAAGAGTTAAAACAATCCAATATGTGTAATTTACATACAGTCAATAGATCCACAACAGTTAGTGTTTAATCCGTTAGTGATGTGAGACAATGACAGGAATGTGAATAATAACAGAAACTCTGGAAAGTGAACTTACTTGAAGACTCTTGTGTGTTTCCTGCAGACCGTGTCAACAGCAGTCCTCCTGTAACTCTGGACATCAGCCTTCAACCTGGAAGAAATGAACATTTTAAAAGATTGTCAGACAATTGTCAAACCAGAGAAAGATCAACTTTTAGATGTAGGGTGAATCTTTAAAATATCCTACCAGAGGAGATGATGTCCTCCACTGACGCTGCAGATCTACGAGTGTGAGACAAATTAAAGTCTTAACAACACAGCTGACAGAGAAAGTAAAAATCATACAACAATAATAAACATTTATAGGATTGAGTTACATTTCTAATCAACCTGAAGACTCTTCCATAGTTCCCACAGAGCCTCAGCAGCAGTCCTCCTGCAACCATCAAACACACAATAAAGTCTAATTATTGACAGAGCAACAAACAAACCATCAATATATCCAAAGATCCAGAAACAGACACAATGTTAGTCTTTGTTGTTCGAGAGGCTGTTCGCTTGTCGCTTTCACTGAACGCTCATCAACAGGTGGCGTTGATTTCCTCTGACAATAACAGCAAAAAAAACAACAACAACAACAACAACAACTCTCACAATAAGCTCTCATTTTTACCTTAATGTAACTCGAGTGAATCTAAACGATTGTTTGTTTGTTTATAGTCACCAACTGTGAAGACGTTAGCGACCCTGTTTGTTTGTTTGTGTTTGTTTGTGTTTGTTTGTGTGGCCGTTCAGCCTCTGACTGACCTTCTAACTCACAACAAACTCCAGTTCTTCGTCTTATGTCCTCTTTTCTTCTTCCTCTCGTCCTCCAAACGTCTCCATGAAGCAGATATTCCCAGTATTCCCTCTCTAGTCCACAATGACTCTCCACCAGGGAACAGACTCTCCACCGGGCTGCTCAGGCGAACTGACGCCATGACGGAAAGTTCGCGGTCGCTCCGGATACTTGAACCTGTTTCATGAAGACGTTTGGAGGACGAGAGGAAGAAGGAGAGACAATAAAAGAAGGAACTGGAGTTTCCTGTGAGTTATAAGGTCAGTCAGAGGCGGAACAGCCACACAAACAAACAAACAAACACAAACAAACAAACACAGGGTCGCCGCGTCTGTAGTTAACGACGTCAGCTAGCGAACACATACGCTAACAGTTGTTGACTATAAACAAACAAACAAACAAACAAACATCGGTCAAACTCCTGAGAATGAACATTACCTTTTAAACAGTCGTTGTTGTTGTTGTTTTCTTGTTGTTATTGTCAGAGGAAATCAACGCCACCTGTTGATAAGCGTTCAGTGAAAGCGACAAGCGAACAGCCTCTCGAACAACAAAGACTAACATTGTGATAATGAAGCTGCTGGTAGTTCAATGGCTGCTGTTTGTTTGTTTGTTTGTTGTTTCCTCGCTGTGTGAGAATATCAGAGATCGATTAAGGTCATTATCCACTGTCATTGTCTCACTAACTGATCAAACAGTGTAACGTTGCTCTTGTGGAGCAGTACCGGCAGTAACACTGAAACCGAGCCAGCTGTGTGTGATTGACCTATATTGGATCCAATACGATCTGCTACCACTAGAGGGTCTGATTATTATTGATTATTGTTATTCCAATAATTGTACAGATTCTAGACACCAACAGCTTTTCCTTCTTTGATTTTTAAAGACTTTATTAGATATTAAATGTCACTATTTCTGTAATTCTTTTTACAATCAAATGTTTCATTTGAGCTTTCAGCTACTTTAGTTACTCAGTGATCAAGAAAGATAAGCCAATGAAAATTGGGATGCAAAAATGATAATTCCCACTAACTGTTCCTATTGCAATTGTAAAATCTGTTGCAATCAATACAATCAATATAATATAATATATCATGAATGTGCCCTTTAGTGAATGCAACCTGATGCTTTATTGTGTGTTTGATGGTTGCAGGAGGACTGCTGCTGACACGCTCTGTGGGACCTATGGAAACTATAGGCTCTATTATATTATTATATATCTTAGGCTGTAACTGAATCCTATAAAAGTTTGTTGTCCTTACAAATCTCTTTTATTCCATAACCCTCTGCTTCTAATCCAGATCAGCCAAGAACCGGCAGACACCGTTGTCCACTTCTTGGCTCAAGGGACTCGAGTGTTTGTGAACTACTAAAGAGTCTTCAGGTATATACAGTATATTTACTTTTCATATCAGTACTAGTAACCATTCATGAGCGAGACAGATTTAAAAAAGTCTTTATTTTCTCTATGAATAAATGAAATAATTAAATAAATAACTGACTCCACTTGCTTTCTTGTCAAGAGTTATGAGTTATACGTGAACGTTGATCAATAATCAACAATAAGTTATTGAACTTCTTTGATATTAACTCATGTTAAGTGCTGTATAGTGTTGCAGTTCATTTATTTTGTATGTGTAAACATTACATACAACATGTTTTACACAAACAAATGTTCATATATATCAGCTACAAAATTAGAATTTTTACATTTATAAATAATATAATAAAACATTTTTGAGCTACTTAAGTGTATGAATAAAAAAAACTTTAAGAATGATTATTATATCCAAAATAAATAATACTGGAGGGCACTCACTAAAAAATACTTAACATGTATCTTTGCATATAAACATATTGGTAATAACTTTTTTACTTTAGAATAAAACTCTGCACCGAGTGGTCTGCGAACCGGGCTCTGTGTCCCATTGGTATCGACCAACCCACCGCGCCACCAAGCTCTATCTTCGCTTTTATCTTTTTACTTCAGCCGCTGGACCACAAAACCCACTTGGTGTCATAAGAGAATCAAACACATGACTCATAAATCCTGACATGTGTGAAGGTTTCCTCTCAGTGATGTGTTACACCTGCACTCTTCATATCACATTAAACACATTGTTGTTCCCAAACTTATGTAATATCTGGTTGGATAGACGTCAGGGTTGGGGTCTACAAGGCTGGTGGTTCAATCAGTTACTGATACAGTTAAACTCCACGAGGACAGTCGGATTAAAACCCACGCTCCCAGTCTTTGGAGACACTATACTATACTATATATATATATATACACTAAACTGTGATGATTTTAAAGTGCAGAAAGTCACAGAAGTCACACGACTGATTGCAGCACTTAAACACGAAAAGATTTATTTAAGGTCTCACAGATACAAAATAGCTTTTCATATTTTCATAGAACAGCATTTCTTGTTTTGTTTTTTTGTATTTTTTTTATTCATTTTCTGACTTGCGTGAGGTATACAACAATATAACAATCTGAATGGCACACAAAGAGACGGACGCTGTACGTTTGTCTTTTCTGGAGGTGTTAGTGGAGAGGAAGGGAAGCTACGGAGCGAGCAGGATGTGTGAACAATCATTCCCCAACCGCCTTGTAAAACATCTGGCACTTCATCAGTATCTTTCCAATGGTGATATTTCTTATCACTTGACATTTTAGAAATATAATTTTTTAAGCCTTTTTTGGCTTTCAAATATATATTTTTTAATAATTTAGCTTCCTCGTTGAGACCAAAACCAACATGACGACTCAACAGCGACACAATGTCAAACACATATAAGAGGAAAAATTACATTTCTGCTTCAATCTGGCCTAAATCGAACCTTAAGTCCCGCCCCCTTTTGGCTCCAATAGAAACTGAGCACACCTCCTTCAAGCATAGGTTAGCCTAGCACGTAGCATATCTAAGTACAGGAAAGGAGGAAGTTGACTGTTATTGGAGCTCAAAGCAAAAAGGGGCTTAGGAAGGGTTAATCGGAGCATAGCTCCCAGAACTTCAGACTGGATCTCCACAAGTGAAATCTGATGTTTAAAACTTGTTCACATGCAGTCAGATGGTTCAGAAAATACATTCAGGGTGGGAAAGTAGTCAGGTGAATTAAGTGTTTGTGTTTTTAATTTATGAGGCATGACAGAAACATTTTATAAACCCTCTGGAGTCTGCTGGTTCATCAGTGAATACACTGTTTTATTCATAGTAACTGTATTTAAATGTCCTGTAGAGACAAACTGAAAGTGCTGACGATCAGCTTTCACAAAGCATCTCATTTACGTCTGTAGACCATAACATTTCTTTAAATCTGTGAATTATTAATATTTATTATTATTATTATTTACAAGCCTATACAGACTTAATAAAATCACTTTACCTGTAAATTAACTGTATTTTGGTTTTATTTCTTAAACCTTTCTTCTGTATTTTATAATTTATAGAAATAGTGAAATAATATTCTTTACATCCTTGAACTGCTCCATGGCAACATTTTGAGTTATTATCACAATATATATATAAATATATATATATATATATATATATATATATATAAATGTGCCTAGGTGTCTTTAATGTTTTGTGTTTTGGGTTCCTGACAGCTTTAAAGTTTGTTAAATTGACAAAACAACTATTTTTACCTTCTTATATTATATGCTTTTATTAAAACAGCTTCTTTTTTTTATCTTCCTGATTTAATTTTCATTTCAACTTTTTCCCTCTGAGTGTCCCTGAACACATCATAAACGTGCCACAAATACTTAAAAATCAGATTAGAAGTATCGCGGTGACGGTGTAAATCCTTCCCAACCTTAAAGTCGTCTGATAGTAATGTGTTCTTTTTTTGGGCTTTTTTGACATCACCATTATATTTGAAGGGATCACCCGACAGGCAGAGAGAGAAGCATAACATCTTTCTTCATCATCATCGTCACAGACAAAAAAGGCAAAGTAACATAGGAGAATGCGTGCGAGAGTCAGGGGGCAGCGTCAGTGCGTCAGACAGGAGGCTGGTCTGGGTCGTACTGGTTTCACTGGGGCAGAGCTTTGAGGATGGCGTTGACCTCCTCAGCGACGGCAGTCAGGGCGAACTCAAACTGGTCCTGGGAACAAGAAGGAAGACGATTACATCTGATACCCAGAGGAAAGACTCTGAAACTCTGCTCATGAAACATTTCACCAAAAAAAGCGTAATAAATACGTTAAATCAAAGAATTACGACTTGTTTACCACCTCCTGATCGTCCTGCACAGTTATTTCTCAGACTGTCACCAAAGCTTTTAGTCAGAGGTTTCTTGGTTCTGTTGACAAGTACTTGGCATGACTGTGACATCCATATGGACCATCCTGGTCTGCCAGTTGTACCAAGTCTCCCAAAGTCAGCAGTCGCTGTTATTTTACACGTTTTATTAAGTTCAGCGTCACACTGACTGACCTTGGTGCGAACCATCCCAGGCCTCTGGTCTCGGACGTGCTCCAGCGTAGCAGCGATGTCGATCTCTTTCACACCTGCAGGAGGACAGGTAACACACATTCGCTGGGTGAACGCACAAAACCAAAAACTCTGGAGGGACCAGTCAGTTCACATTGTTTTAGATTATATTTATTTTATGACTTTTATTAGTTTTGTGTGTTTTTATTAATAATACAAAGTAGATAAAATGCAAATATTGTAGAGAAAACAAAGGTAAACCTTGACGACAGGTTTATCTGTGATAAAACCTTTTCCCTTGTTGTTGATGCACCAATAACCCATACTAAGAGTCTGATCCACTATTTCTCTCTATTTCTCGCAGTGTGTGGAAACAGTTTTTCCTCAGAGCATTTGAGGAGTTTTTTGACAGCTGGTAAAACAAAAGATCAGAAATGATTTGGACTTTAAACCGATCCATCAAAAAACTACAGAACTGGCCCGACACATCCGGATTCTGCAGATCAACCTGGGACATCCCTCATCAATAATTCATGTTTCTGTTGCCACATTGAATAAAAGAAACACTTTAACTGGGTGACATTACACCTTACAGGCAGGAAATGAACTTAATACTAACACACATAAACTTCACCTTTAGCCATGCGATTGAGAACCATGTCGATCAGGATGTAAGTCCCAGTCCGGCCTGTACCGTCACTATGGAAACGACACAAAACAAACGTTATTAAATAAAAGCAATTTATTAGAGATTAACTTTATAATAAACTGTGCAGTACTTTTAAAAAAAAAGTGTTTTACAATGCAAACTAAACACAAAAGCAGCATTACACAACAACAGGCCTCATTATTTTACACTTTTTCTCAGATGTTTGTGGGAAATAATACAATAATGCTGAAAGCATACCTGAATAAAAATCTCATATTGTATTATTATTTTATTTCAAATCTTACACTCTACAGAACTAGAGTCTGTGCTTACTATTGATTCAAATCAAATTTTTGATGCTGTATTGTTTTGTGCTGCCAAAATGTTGCATAAGTCTGCCACCAAGTGGATTTATGTGGTACTACAATGCAGTGCATGTACTTATGTGTACTGTCTGTGTGTTGATAACTGCACAACTTGATTTTTTTAGTCTACATTAAACTTTTTGTAGTGGTTGTTGTTGATTATTGAAGAATGAGGACGTTGGAGGTTTACCTGCAGTGCACGATGATGGGGCAGGATCGTCCTCTGTAGCACTTGTTCACCTTCCTGAAGAGAAAACAAATGCAAAACATGACAAGCTGAAGATAATATGAAAACATATGTGACGTTTCTGTTTACACGACCTTCATCGGGTATATTAATAAGCATTCCAGCAATTCCATATTTATAGTATATAGGAGAGGATGAGAAAAAATCAATTTAATCTTTACTTTTCTATCTATCTAATGACAAACATAACACTGTCAAAAGTTTAGAAAGGGACGAGTGAAAAATGATTCCTATCGTATTTAATCATACACTAAAAGAGACACATAACTCCAGACTAAGTTAAAAGATAATGACATGATATAATTCACACAGCATCTACATTCACACATAGAACTGATGCTTGTTCATTTATCTAATAACTGTTGTGTAGACCGAAAGTAAAAAATAATACACAAGCAGTAAACGATAGATGTAGGCAACACTGACTTCTGCTGCCACTGTGCTGTGACAAAAAACAGATTAATTATTATTTCTGTCCACAAACTAACACTTCAAAATGTTACAGGAAACAACTTGTTCCTAGAATTTTCAAGAGATTATTGTCCGAGTCTCGAAACACAAAATACTTGTTTTACAAAAAATGTAAATACAAGTTTTTTGTTTAAGCCAGACAAGCACATAGATAGATAGATAGATAGATAGATAGATAGATAGATAGATAGATAGATAGATAGATAGATAGATAGATAGATAGATAGATAGATAGATAAGGGGGGTAAAAAGGGGGGGTTTCGGCGATGGACCTCCTGCTGCAGCCACATCAGTCCATGATCATTTTTGTGACTATGCAACTGGACCCAGACTACTAGCTGCAAACCACAAGAATGACACAGACAGATATGTTCAAAATTAAACCAAGGGCCCCGCTGACCTCCATCGCACAGGGTGGGAGGACGGGAAGAGAGGAGGGACAGGAGGGGCGAGGGGGCAGGAGGAGAATAATGGTGGAAAGACAGAAGGAGGGAGGGTAACAACATTGTTTCTTCAGTGTGTTACTATAGAGCTGGGTTTCACTTTCAGGATGCAGACACGTCAAGTCTATTTATGTCGATGTTCATTTAACGGTATCAGAATGCATAATCACCTCGGTAATGCAGCATCATTTCACTTCTGTTTCGTTAGTTTGTGCATTTTTTTGTTTGTGGAGAAATACAATCTGACCAAAGACAATAAGTGTTCCTGTTTTAATTCCAGATTTGTGAATTTTAAATCACATTTTGAGTTTTTTAAATCAACTGGCTTGAAAAAAACACAGCACCAAGTTTCTCATTTAAGTTTCTGTTGTTTGTTTGTTATATGTAATATATAACTCTTAGAATGAAAACATGGAAAGTATTTCCACTGGATTGAATGGTTTTCTTACATCACCTGGTTGTGTTTCTTTGTGTGTATAAAGGTAGCAGCAGTACCTGCGAAAGTCCAGCAGGGGGCGCGTGGAGGTGGGGATGCCCTGAGCCGGCCAGCTGAGGAAGTGGAACTGAGTGAGCGTCCTGGTCTCCTGAGTCTGCACGTTCTTCAGGTAGAAGCTTCGCACCAGGAAGTCGTTACACCAGATGTGCTCTGACACCAAGTTCACCTGGATGGGGGGAAGAAATACAGCTGCTGAAGGACTGAAACAGATCAGACATGTCTCTCTCTCTCGCTCTCTCGCTCTCTCTCGCTCTCTCCCCTCTCCCCCTCTCTCCCCCTCCGTGTTCTCACCTCGTAGATGTGGTAGAGGGATGAGCCCTCATCAGGCCAGTAGCGGTCACACTGTTTCTCTCCATCTTCCACCAGAGCAGTCATCATCACGATCACAGTGCAGCCATTCTCCCACACCATCTGCACCACCACAACAACAACAACAACAACAGCAAACAGGAGTGATTAACAAACAATCACTGAGAAGGTGTCACTTTGGACAAAGGAAACAATCAGTTGAACTAACCAATCAGGTTTTACAGTGAAACCAATAAAACAATACATCTAATCAATACATCTACATCAGACGTGAAACACCGACCTGCCAGAAGTCGGAGATGGTGTGCGACAGGGGGCCCTGGGTGGCGATGTAGGCTGGCATCCGGGGGTCGTGCTCAATCTGAAGGTAGGCGGGGAGGGAAAGGTTACACTGGGGCAAAGGTCAAAGGTTACCTCAAGGGGGGGGCAAACAAGTCTCTGAAGTAACTGCATTCTTTCAGAAAACTGACTAATGGAGCCCAAAATGTTCATCATCAGTTCAGCAGACACATTGATCTCTGATTGATTATAAGATAATTGTCCTCCAACCATCTTGTTTGTGAGTCAGACACAAGATCTCTCTCAGAGGGATAGTGTGGTTACCATGGCGACCACAGCAGACTTACTATGGTGCTGGCGTTGATGTAGTCGGAGCGTGAAGGGTTGATCTCCGCCTTCAGCTTCACCCTCGAGTGGTCATCTGAGGAACAACAGTGACATTTAACCCCGTCTGTGTCCCCACTCCTCATATTCACGAATCATTTTAGACCTGACACACTTGTTATCTGTGAGACAGCCTTAAGGTGTGAGACTGCTGGGACTCACAGGGCACGGAGTCGGGGCAGCGGTTCTTCTTGCCGTTGGCGTCGCTCTGAGCCACAGACACGGCGCTGGGCTCCGCCTGGTAAGTGCACAGAGCCTCCCACTCCTTCATCAGACGGTCCTTGTTCCTTAGGTGGTCCTCCATGTAGGCCTGAGGGACGTTGGGAAGACAACTGCTTGTTTTTATGTGATTGAGTAAACTGCAGATACTTCATATTGTATAACACTAACAGTAGAGAGCAGCTGATAAACTGCACAATGAACCCAAACACAATCACTGCAGGAAGGTTTGGAGGAATTTTGAACAGATTGTTTCCTGTAAATGTTGATCAGAGAGGAGTTTTCTTTCTTTTGTTTTAGACAATCCTGAATGTCTGCAAAGGGTAAAACTCTCTTTTCTATCTCATACATCACAACACAAAAACAAAAAGGAGAACAAATGCTGCATAAATATAATCAGAATAATTATTTTCTACTCAACCCTCTTTTCTTCTTCATCCTATGACCATACTTCCTCCCAAACACTGGTACTGACCAGGATCATGTGACCGGTGGAGATGTCCATGTTAGCCTGCGCCGGCTCCTCGCACCATGACGGCGTGCTGCTGTGGGAGCTCGGGCTGGGCTGGGCTCCGTCGCTGAACTGGGACGACACGCTGCTCACCCTCGAGTCGGTGCCACCTCCTCCTGCTGCTCCCGCTCCTCCTCCAGCTCCCCCGACGCCGGCACCTGCTCCTCCTCCTCCTCCTCCCACACCTCCTCCTCCTCCGCTTGCTCCTCCCACGGCGCCGAGGGCTGCAGCTTCCAGGCGTCCGAAGGCACCTTTGGAGGCCATGTGCTGGCGACACAGGTCCTGGTGAGCCAGTTATGCGTGTTACACTGCTTTATCACACAGTTATTTAACCTCTGGGTTTCTCAGCTCACGAAGATGTTTTATAAATATTTGAATGAGCTTTTCTTACTATTATCTTAATTATTGTGTTTTTAATGTTCTTTAAGGTCCAGACTTTTTTGAATGAGGGGGCACAAGGGGGGGCAGTGACTTACACAGGGGTGGCATGAAGTCTGTGTCTGAGCTTTCATGTCACTCCCAATTTATGCATTTCCAACACTGTTTATGGACCACAGTATGCAGACATAAGGGGATTAGCATACATTCAGATATCTTGAGGTCAGAGGTCAAGGCATCCCTTTGAAAATGGCCATGCCAGTTTTTCTGTCACCGACATGGTTGGTGCGTTACATCATCTAGTTTCATATGATACACTGTAAACAAGTTCATTTAACTAAAAGAATGTTTGATTGCATTATGTGTGAAAACCTCAACCATAACTGGTTATTGTTTCTTTGTCCTATTTAAAAGTTCTTTTCCTCGCTCACCTGGTACTCCTGGTGGCTGAAGCTGCCTCCCTCTGGTCCCAGACCCAGCTTCTTCGCTGCCAGCCGGTGGGCGTGGTGACGCAGACAGGCGATGGTCATGGTCGCCACCAGGATGCCGCCAATGCACGCCATGGCGACCAGCGTGGCGAATACCCAGCGGGAGCCGGGCTGGACTCGGGTCACCAGGGGCAAAGCCTTCCCATCATTCCTCTGTGGTTAGAGGGGAAAAGGGATTGAGATGGAGAAAAGTAGTGCTGAGGAGGAGGAGGCATCCATCTCAGCAGGAACCTGACAGGGGCGCAACCAACAGGGGGCCAGCGGCAGCTATTTTCTATCTATTCAAATCTAAATCTATTTTAATTAAAATTAAGAAATATATAATATATTTCATGTTTGGTCGCATTTATGTATGACATAGAGCATGATGTTTATTTAGTAACCGATGGTCCCATTTAGAGTAAAACAGACCATAAAGCAGGGGATGCTTTAGGGCATTGTTTCCTGTTACAGACGAGTTGAAACTGCGCAGCCAATGAGAGCAGCTCAACTCGCAGTACGTCAACGCCAAACTAAAAACATTGCAACATGCGTTACAATGTTCTGAGAAAAGCTGCTGTGGAATCGGACACTCAGGGCCAATCCCAAAAAAAGCCAGCGAGATCCTGAAGTGACGGAGATTTTACACATACATTCAGCCTCTCCACGCTCTCTTCATTTTCTCTCATCCTTTCATCTTTGTTCCCCTCTTCTCCTTGTCACCCCAAACTTTCTCTTCCCATCCTTTTCTTCCTCTTCCTCCCTCCATTCTCTCCTCTCTTTCTCTCCCTGGATGAATTGTCTCTGTTGACCTTTCAGACCTCCTCCTTCCTCTCCGTGGGCCTCAGGAATGTGAGGCGCTCTCTCCCAGTGTGTGTGTGTGTGTGTGTGTGTGTGTGTGTGTGTGTGTGTGTGTGTGTGTGTGTGCGCGGTATCTGAGAGACATTAAAGCTGGGAGTGTAGAAAGAGTCTTCACCTGCTATTATAAAGGGGCCCGATGGGGTTCAGTTTGTGAAACTGAAGGGTAAAAAAGAAAATGGATGACCAGACTACATGTGGACTATAATGTGTGACTACATTGTCATGTTTTCTTTCTTCTTTAATTTATGGTGCTCCAAGCCGCCGCCAAGACAGTTCATTTATCACTGCTCACAATTAAAGAAGAAATCTTTTTTAAAAAGTCATAAAAGAGCTGAAACACTCCTTAAAAATATCTGCAGGAGTTAATTACTGCAGACATCCTATGATATATTCTATAAGGTTGTGCATACGTTTGAACACACTGAAAATGCAGTATTATAGATAAAATATGACATTCACACACATATTGATCCTTTTAGGAATATTATACAAATACCTCAAGTAATATAAAGAGAAATGTCACTGTTATCTTGTTATTTTGTGTTCATTCTTATACTGTAGGGAGATTATAGGAACATTATACATACAACATAAGTGATATAAAGAACTTAATAAGTTCACTATAAACTGATTAAGTTATCTTTATAATATATATTTATCTTTTTTTTCATAGGATACAAGTGACCCAGCAGCTCAATTAATAAACTATAATAATGATAACAGCTAATTAGTTGTTTTCACTCACCAAATGCACGATGCAGAGAAACTTTCCTGAAGACCTGCTGCACTCACATGGTGCCGAAATATCAAGAGTTTCAATTTACACTGAATTTAAACAAACTGGACTTCCTGGACTGACTTTCAAAATAAAAGCGTACTTGTACTTTACTTGAGTATTTCCACATTTTGTTACTTTGTACTTCTACTCAGAGTCAGATTAATAATACCAAAAATAACTCAGTTTATAAATTATGATGTATTTTAATGGATTAAGGTACCCAGCCGTATATAAAGTAATTAAAATGAATCCCATGTTTAGTGATGAACACATTAATGCATCCATAATTCTAATCTTAATTCTAATATAATCTTATTTTATTATATTTATATTTATTTTTTATACTAACATGTTTACAAAAGTACAGTTATGTCTACACTTTGGTTATATATCTGAGTACTTGTAGCAGCTGTGGTAGTCATTGCAACAACAGCAGTAATCTGATCTCACTGCTCCTCCAGCGTTCACACTCGCTGCAGCCGTTCTTCGTCTCTGATTTCTCCTTCCCACAATCCTCAGGTATCAAACTCAGCACTCACCTCTCCAACGCCACCCTGCAGCACCTTCAGGCCCGTCTCAGAGTCCAGGAAGTTCTTCTCTGCAACTGCAGAAATAAAAGGTTAGAGCGTAATGACGCATGTGGCACTGTGGGTAGCAGTATCATCCAGCTGTTTTTACCGGCTTTATCTGCCACATCTGCAGCTGTCAGGTTCTTGGAGTTGGGTCTGATCCTGAAGGTGATGGCAGGTCCGACCACACTGCAGAGGAGAAAACACACAATGTAGGCACAGTTACTGGACCTCTACAGAGGGAATATGGTACTTTTTAGTCATTATACTTAAGAAAAGTATCTGAATACTTATTTATACAGAGGGAAATCTCTGATTGGTCTGTTTCTTATATTCAGTGTGTTCAAAACATGTATCCAATGTTATGGACAAAGAATTGAAACATTAAATGTGAACAAATATGATCATATTTCATTTCTACTTTATAAAGTTTATAAAGTATTTTTGTTCTCTCCAATCAATTTTAATTAATATTTCAGTGTTTCTATCACAAAATCAACTTGTAAAATAAAATATTATAATATCTTTATAATATTAACACATCTTATTGTATTTTTAGATGATCTTTTATATTTGTGAGTAAATTATTTGTGTACTTTTTAAGTGTGATTATTTTATACATGTTTTTTTACTCAGTGGATGTTTTGAGAACTTGAATAAAGAATTACAGACAAAAATAACGACTAAGAGATTTTTGCTTCAGTTTCCACTTTTGGGTCAAAGGTCAGGGGTCACTGTCAGGTGAGAAGATGAAGCGAAGCAGATTAAAAGCAGTGAATCACTTCCACATGCAGACAATCAACACACACCCGCTTTTACGACTCGCTCAGGTTCCACAAACAGCTCTGGGCCAAAGGTTTAAGTTAATCCCCTGAAATAAAAGTCAGTGATCCAGTAAACGAGTGCGGATCAGGAGGGCGGGGGGGCATCGGGCTGCTGGACTCTACAGATCTGTGAGGGTTCATGAGCGCCGCAGTCCTCGGTCCTACCTGATGTTGATGAAGGAGCCGGTGGAGAGGCCGATCCTCTCTGACAGACGCTCCAACAGTCGCACCCCGTCGTTCAGACTGAGGGGGCTGCGGCGACAAAACGCACACATTCATACACACACACGCACACATTTACACACACACACACACACACACATACACACACACACACACACACAGACACACATACAAGCACATTTCATACACACACATTTACACACACACACACACAGACACATACACACACACATACACACACATATTCATACACACACATAAACACACACACACACATACAAGCGCATTTCATACACACACATTTACACACACATTTACACACACATGAACACACATTCATACACACACATAAACACACATTCATACACACACATTCATACACACACAAACACACATTCATACACACACATAAACACACATTCATACACACATTCATACACACACATAAACACACATTTATACACACACATAAACACACATTCATTCACACACACATAAACACACATTCATACACACACATAAACACACATTCATACACACATTCATACACACACATAAACACACATTTATACACACATCATACAACACATAAACACACATTCATACACACACATAAACACACATTCATACACACATTCATACACACACATAAACACACATTTATACACACACATAAACACACATTCATACATACACATAAACACACATTCATACACACACATAAACACACATTTATACACACACATAAACACACATTCATTCACACACACAAAACACACATTCATACACACACATAAACACACATTTATACACACACATAAACACACATTCATACATACACATAAACACACATTCATACACACACATAAACACACATTTATACACACACATAAACACACATTCATACACACACACATACACACACATTCATACACACACATAAATAAACACTCACACAGGAAGTCGTCCTGATTGGTGGAACCACGAGGAGGAAACGAGCGTACTGACCTCTGATTGGTGACCACGTATCCGTACTCGTCAGTCTTGGATCCTGGTTCAGTCTTCGGTCCGTCCCGGTTGGCTGCCGCACTCGAATCTTTCTGGAGTCCTTCTGGTCTGACGGTGGAGGCCGGAGCCGCGGGGGCAGACAACTTGTATGCCATCGAACCCTCTGTGAGCTGACGGACAGAAGACACACAAATAACAGCAAATCTATCAGAAGACACAACAAAAACAAAGTTCTGTGGTGGACGACAAAATGTGAATTTATACATTTATACATTTATACACTGCAAAAAATACAAAATGAACTACTGTGTAATGTTTGTGGGAACTCGCTCACCTTCTTTCCTGTGGCAGCATTGTTTCCATAGTTATCTAAAAAGTAAACAAAAACATCAACATAAATAAAAAACGTAATAATGCAGGACAAAATTATAATATTATTATTATATCATATGATTGATTGTTTACATTTAGTTTTCTGACATTGTATGTTTAAATATGCAAATGATGCATTATCTAATCTACAGCAGCAAACAGACAAAGTGTAGTAAAGTAAACACTGTACGTGTTTGTGTGTGTACTTTCTTCATGTTATGGAAGCCAAATCTGTGAGCCCCAAATCTCAAACGGCGTTTCTGCCTGTGGTGTCTCGCCTTACACGAAGAAGCCGACTGACCTTTGGTCTGTTTGTGGCCGTAGGAGCTGTCCAGCTGCAGCTGTTTCAGGGCGGCCGGCAGATTGTCTTTCTGCTCGGGGGACAGATCCTTCAGGTCGAGGCCGTAGTGCTCGAGCAGCAGAGCCAACCTCTGCAGAGAGCGCTCTGAGAAAACACAGGTGGAAGAGCTCAGAAATCCTGATCCTGTAGGTTTTACTGGAGCTTAACTTTCCATTTTGTGAGAGTTCCTACTTGATCCTCCTCCTTCTGTATTATTAATCTGAATCTACAAAGAGACTAAAGTTACCAAACAAATGAAGTGAAACTACAATAGTCCCCTGTACGTAAAAGAAAGCAGAAGAAAATAAAAATACTTATCATAAAGATCTTATGATTTCAACTTTAGTACTTGAGACTTTTAGATATTTACTAATTGTAAAAAACTAAATTGTTTCCACCCATCCTTCCTTCTTCCCTGATGTCTTTCATTACTTATTTCTCAGTTGTCTCTCTTTGGTCTCTTTATTATTTCTTCCCTTTTGATCAACAGCTGAAATTAATTAAATTATTTAGATAGAATAAAATATGTTTGTTTCAGGTAAAAACCAGCAACAAAATGAATTTAGAGCATAAAACTTATTTTCTTTCTCTTTCTTGTTATTTCCTCTCTCACCGTCCAGTCCGGAGAGAGCGTCGTACTCCTCCTGCGCCTTCTTCTTTGCCTGCTCCTGCTGCTCCTGCTCCTGCTCCTGCTCCTGCTCCTGCTCCTGCTGCTGCTCCTGCTGCTGCTCCTGCTGCTGCTCCTGCTCCTGCTGCTGCTCCTGCTGCTGCTGCTGCTGCTTGCTGAGCTGGGCCATCTGGGAAACGTAGTCCTCGCCATAGTCCAGTGGGAAATCCAGCTCCTGGAAGAAGGAGGAGGGCAAGGAGGAGGAGGAAGATGATGAGGAGGAAGACAGTGAAGAGGGAAATCCCGCTGCTGCTGCTGCTGCTGCTACCGCCCCTCTGTTGCGGGAGAGGGACTGCACAGGGGAGGAAGAAGAGGATGAAGAAGAGGAGGAAGAAGAAGGGGAGGTGAGGTAAAAGGACACAAGGTCCTGGAGGAGCTGCCGGTCTCTATCCAGAGGGTTTCCTCGGGATCTGGAGCGAGAGGGGGCGGCGAGGAGCGGGAATGCTGGATTATCGTCCAGAGAGTTGAGGGAGCGTTCCTCCTCCTCCTGGTAGCCGTACTGCTGCTGCAACAACACACATACAACAAACAAATGTGGTTTTATGGCCACTAGGGGGCAGAATAACTCCACAACACACCTCAAAGCTACACAAAGCAAAATGATCTTCCCACTGGGGAGAATCTAATATTCACTCCACTTTTAGCTCTGGTCTGGTCTCCTCCAACAATGTGTGCATTATTTCCAATAGAAAACAATAAGAGAGAAGTCTGAAAACATAAACATATGGATCATTTGTGCAGTAGGAATGTCATTTTTTGTATTTTCTATCTTGGTAAATATTTGGTAACACCTCATATTGATCCGGTGACTCTTGGAAACTGGGGAACCACTGTACTTGCAGTCAAATACTGTATATTTTTTCTGAATATTTCAGATTTTATCAGCAGTGTCAGAGATGTGAACTTCCAACCGGCTGGCAGACAGTGAGAATTGACCTTATATTATTGTGTGACCTAGTTAATCAGTATATTATTTCAACCATGTTGGACACAGTAGCACTCAACCATCTGCTGAGATTGTTTGAAATAAACAGTCCATATGTGTGCCTGTATTCTTTTCCCACCTGGTGGTAGGTGTACGGGTCCAGCAGAGGCGTCTGCATGTGGACGGAGGATCGGGAGGGGTCGAGGATCATGTAGTCCACATACTGCTGCATCATCTCGGGGTCTGCTGGATCCTCGGGCCCCTGAACCCTCCGCTGACTGGGGCCCGACAGTCTGGACAACCTGGGGAGTAAATATTTGTTTTAAAGGTTTCTTCTCAGTTTGTGTAGTTTTGTGCAGTAAATTTTCTTACTGTCTGGGCGACTGCTCGTCAAGTTTGGAGGAGGAGCCGACTGTGGGAACTCGACTCAGCTCTCGGCTGATGATCGCCTGGGTGACGCCGTCCCTCCAGGTCAGACCTGCGCAGCCACAGGGCCACAGAAATGACTTTCACTCTTACTCGTGGTGAGCAAGAATTTAAAGCCTCCTGATGTCACAGAAAAAGAGACTCACCTTGCACCATCAGGCCTTTGAGGACTTCCTGCAGTTTGTGCAGGACTTGTACGGACACCTGGTACTGGACGGGCTCCTGGTGAGGAGGCTGGCACTGTCCAAACAGACCATCTGCACAGGAACAGACCAACACAGTCAGTGCAACACTGAAGCACAACGCCACAGCATCCACTACCTCCTACCTCTGCTGATTGAGACTCTACAAACTGTCAGTCACATCACAGACCAGACGTTTTCTGACTGGGGGGAGGGCACAAGTGGGACACTGACAGGGGGTTTGAAGTACTACACAAGTTATGCTTCTTTTTCACTAATATTTGCATTTTTAATATTAAACACTTGATAGTTTTACCTCCTCGGGCCTCATTGCTTCATTTTAAACCTAAATGTATTGGACAGGGGTGAGGGTAGGTGAGTAAGATTTATTTTTAATTTGAGCAAACTGATCCTCTAACCCACGTAAAACCCCAAAGCAGCTTAGCATCAACCAGGTGGAAACAAACTGGCTGTCCTCAAACGGGTTCAAAAGTAGTAACTGGTGCACAAATATGACATAGGGAAGACCCACGCATGAACACAAGCAAACAAACAAATGGATAATTCACATATATATGCACCAGAGACATATTCTACTTCAGTCAACCCTTTTCCTTAAAGGTCCCCCTTTCTATCATTGACTAAACTGAAACTCCTGACTTGGAAAATAATGTGCTCAAAATTCATCCAAATTGCTTGTTTTACACAAACCTCCTGCTGGTATTGTGTTCAGTTTGTTTAGTACAGTTTATCAGTTGTTCTCTACTGTTATTGTTGAATATAATATTAAATATCTATAAATGATGTCACTTAGAGGATAGAAAAGTGGTCCCTTAAAGAAAAAGGTTGGGAACCACTACTCTTATATATATATTATAAAAGATCCTATTTTTGAGATCTGATTCTGTTTTTCGAAGCAAATAGCAGCTCAGTTATTTTACACAAACCAACAGAGAGCTGACGTTCACTGAAGAAGAGCAAAAAAAGAATACACACAAGCACATTAACACACACTCAAGGGGCACACATCTACATACAATATAGTGTATGCAAACATACACACACCTACATCGTACATGTACACAAACAACATATACAGTACACACTGACAAATATGTACATAAACACATAGAGAAGCATAGCAGAGTTTGTGTGTGTGTGTGTGTGTGTGTGTGTGTGTTTGATGAGAGATGGAGGGAGACAGAGGTGATGACTCACCACGGTCCACACACACACACACACACACACACACACACACACACACACACACACACACACACACACACACACACACACACACACACACACACACACACACACGCGAGGGAAACACACGGTCGTCAGGCAAGTGATGTCACTGTTGTCATAGAGACGGCCAGGGCGCGCTGCGATTGGCAGAGAGCGGCTGACGGAGGGACACCTTGTTTACGTTGCACTCTCGCTCTTTTTCTCTTTCCTTTTTCTGTCATCCTTCTCTCATCTTTTCATCTTTCTGCCGGTGTGATGAATCTCATAGACAAACTCTATCGTTTTTCACACACTCACATTTCAGCGCAATCACACACATTTTGCTCACTATTAAAGTGTTTCAGTCAGATTACAGATGTTTCAGGCTGCAAAAAGTTTTGTTTATTTGTGCCGTGTGGAAGTTTAATTGAACACTCCAGAGGTTGGATGAAGATTACAGATGTTTGAGAACACAAAATGGGTAGTTTTTTTGTGCAGTCAGGATGTATGTCTATTTTTCAGCAAATATTCCAGATTCCAGATGTTTAAATACACAAAATAGGTTGTTTTTAATGGTTGAAGATTCCAGATGTTTAAATACACAAAATGGGTTGTTTTTTTAATGCAGTCTGAAATTTAATATATTTTAATGAAATATTCAAGATTACAGATGTTTAAGGACATGAAATGAGTTGTATTGTTTTATTGCACTCTCTCATTCACTCTTGCATTTCAGCACATGCATTTCCTCAAAGCATCATCTGACACACGTCGTGAGACCTTGCTATGATCATGTTCCCTCGATGTTCCCGTCTCTGAACACAGGAAACAAAACATCCTCAAGGCGGACACAGAAACGTACCGCCATCAATAATGCAGCTGCCTCTGAAGGCTGAGACACAGGTGCACGCTTGCGCACATTCACGCTCTTGTAATGACATCCTAACCATGTTTGCACAGACAGGAAGTACGCAGGAAACCCACTGAGGGATTATGGGTGACGGGTAGGCTGAGCCATGATGGTTGACCAGCTCCTGACACGTCACAACTTCCTGAAGCGTGCTGCTACAACTGGAGCCTGCTGGGGTTGCTCATTATTGGTCGATTTACTATTCTCATCATGTTGAGTTCATGGTACTGTAAACACAAGCTTCCTACTGGAGAAGAAAGCGTCCATGTCGGCCGGCCAGAGGAGGATATCTGAGATGTTTTAACTTTTATGAATGTGTTAAAAAAGAATATTTTATAGATTATAAGATTTATAAATGTAGGTTTAAAGGGTCAGTTCACCCAAATCACAGTCACAGTGACAATTGTCATGGTTTTAGCCTAGCACAGGTAAAACTGTAAATGTAAAACTCCAACACTCACCATCGTTGCACAGCTGATCTCTCGGACAGAGCTTCTTTTCAAACAAACAACCTGCAGAACCACAAAAACAACAACAAATACAGAAGAATAAATGCACATTCATTTAAAAAGAATCTCACCAAAACAAGAAAACAGTGGTCCAATAAACCAGCCTCCTTTAACTCAAACTTTTGCACATTTTGTGCCTGAATTTTACATCTAAATGCATTGTGTATATGTATATGAAATTAATGATTTTCTGGTAATGTTAATGAGTTATTTCCCTCCTTTTCAACCCCACTTTGTCACATTAATATATTAGGATATATTAGATATTAGGAGAAAATATCAACCTTATAAAACTAACATCAGTCTTTAAACTGACCTTAAGTTTATTATATGAAGCAAAGATAGACAGAAATGAGCTGGGAAACCCCAACCAGAGCAGTACACTGGACATCAATCTTTTGTTGCTAAGTGATGGGAATATATGAATGTGTGTGTGTGTCTGTGCGATAGATGACCTTTCCCCGGGTCCTAATCGGTTGCGAGGTAGTAAACAGCAGCAGATATGAAGACGCTCGCTCCGTTCTGTTTATTTACGCCTGTTTGCATTGGGTTCTCATTAAGGATTTATATAATAACTATTGTTGGAGTACAGAGCAAAAAGGGGGCAGGATTTAGGAAGGGTCAACAGATGTAAAAGCCCACTTCTGAGGAAAATAATGTCACAATGTAAACTGAATTTCACCTGTTTTAAGAAAAAAAGAATTACAGACAAAAATAACTTGATTAGAAGAAGACGTTTGATATAAATCTCAGTTTGTGGTGATGGTGTTTTCTCCTCTACCACAGCCCTGACTGACGCCTCAGGCCAACTCAATCTGTGTTTTTACTTCTACTTTAAATCTATAAAAAGTCAGTCAGACTATCGACTACATGACGACACAAACACAGTGCCTGTGGAGCGGCTATCAGAGAGGGAATCTCCATTAAACGAGAAAGCTGAGGCGCTGCTAAACATAGAACGGAGAGATTCTCCATCCGTCTGTCTGTCTGTCCGTCCGTCGCCCTCTCTGTCCAAACTCCACATGATGACTAATCTCTGCTCCGTCCTTTCTCCTCCGCCCACACATCCCCTCCTCCCTCCCTTCCTCCTGTGTTATCTCTCCGTCTCTGTCCTCGCCTCTCATCTCTCCTTGTTTCTACAAGAGCTCATCTTCCTGCAGACAGTCCATCACTGTCATCAGTCACACCACACTCGATCACCTCTGCTAATACACATTACCGATTTATCAGAGGAAGATGCAGCGTAATTGAGCAATTTAATGACTGTAAACACTGTTTATCCTGAGCAGTTAGTATTTAAATCCAAATGGTCCCTCAGTGTTTTACTATTGAGAAATCTGCCTCTTTAGTAAGAAAATATCAACGTGTTTCCCACAAAAATCTACTTGTCAGGTTGCGGCACAGAAAGCGAATAAATAGGCCTATATAGTCACATATAATGTTAGGTAACGTTAACCAAACAGTAGCTTATTAATCTAGCTCGCTCTACTGTAACTACTATGTAGAAACGATTTGCAGTGCAGACAAGTTAACGTATTTTTCCCGCACTGGCAGATTTCTGGTAGTTTTCCCAGTAAGTGGGAGAGTTTTGCAGTGAAGTTGATTTAGAGGCAGTTTTTAAACTCAGGGAGTCATAGAAACCGGCATTAAGCTCTCCTGTTTGATTCAATTTCACCAATAAAAACAGTAAAAAATGACTCAATTCAGGTGGTTCCAGCCAGCAGTCTTTATGTTTCTCAGGGTTTCCTCCACACAGCACCAGCTCCATTTTGTTTCCTGGGAAGGTGTGGTTCAGTCTGAGCAGAATAACAGCATAATAACGATTCCTTACACCATAACTAAAGGAACACTTCAGGTTTGTTTCACTCTACTCTCACACACAGACATTTGTCATCCTCTGCTGCAGCATCAGCTCTCTCTCAAGGCTGCAACTGCTCCCGAATAAAACAACAACCAATCGAATACAAACCCACATTCCAGCCTCCCTTCACCGGCTACCACATTGGAAGTGGTTTTAATTAGTAAAAGGTTGAAGTAGATGAGTAATTAATAATTTAAGTATTATTATTTTGTGAGGTCTAACCTATGACACATTTATTTTAATTAGCACAGTAATACCTTGTCCTGTCTGGCAAGTTAGCACTAGCACAGTATTATCTGAACCATTGTTACTTTCTTCTTTGGAAATCTACCTTGAAGAGAACTTTATCGCACCACCTTCCCTGACTTTATCTGATTCTACCTTTTATTCTGTTTGTTTTTTTTAAATCGCTCTAAGTATTGTATTGCTGTTTTTATGTTTTCTTTGCTTTTATGTGAAGCTCTTTGTAACTTTGTTATATATATATATGTGTGTGTGTTTCTTTTGAATCCTCACCTTGAGCTTTCCCGAACCTTACAGTTGCCTTTCTTTACCAAACCTTACACATTCAGGTGGCCTTTAGGCATGAGAACAACAGTCTGTCAAAACTAATACAAAACCAGGGACGATGAATATTTCTGTAGTTGTGTACGCGACAACTGATATCCTGTGTTTCAACAGTCCACTATGATCCAATATGTGTTTTACGTAGAACAGGTTACATTAAGGAAATCCGGCTGACTCATCACAAGCTCAGAAATTGAACCCCAGCCTCCATCATCATCATCATCATCATCAACATCATCATCAGTGCCTCAGTGTCTCACTGTTATCGTCCATTAACTGGCTGCCAGATTGAATCCGCTGTCATTTTCATAATGGTGCTGCTGGCATTTGTGGCTGTGTGAGTGTGAGCTCGTCCTCCCGGTCTGCGGGCTGACAAAGGATATTTAAGGTGGAATGAGTCAGCCGGTACGGAGCAGAATAAAGCCTACATGGTGTCGCTGAGCGGCAGTGGAGGCAGCGAGGTTACAACCCTCCTCGGCTCGGTTGACCTTTAAACTATAAACTTCATACTGACTCATACTGACTGGAGTGTTTTAAAGGATGAGTCTGTCAGTCTGTATTTTCCTTTTCAAATAAAAACACCAAAAGCAACAATGAACTGATCCACTAACAAGAATCGTTATACGTCATCTTCCTCTGTGCCACACAGATCCACTCACACATCAATGAGCCTTCATTACCATAACACACACACTGGAATTTATTTATACACCGTCCTACTGCCACAAATACTCACTAGAGCACCAAATGTGAATTAATCCACCGCTGAAAATAGTCCCCAACAAATGCACTAAAGCACTGGGGGGTTATGAGGCCTTCTTGATTTTAAGAGGTGTAAGAAAATGTATATACACAGTAGACCGATATCTCAGCATTTTATTATTTTTTTTGAAGGAAACTAAATGAAATTGTTACTTCTAGTTTAGATCTAAATTCTGATAAACAGCCTCGTCCTGCATCAGAAAACTACCAAAGACCTCATAGAACAATGAATCTGTCAAAAAAAATAAGCCTATTAGGTCTATGATTATTAAAAAAACAATATACTGTATATATAATACACACTGAGATTTGTATAAGGAGTGACAAAAAATGTCAGGAAAACAAATAACTACATAGAAATAATCTGCTCAAAATTCATCCGAATTGCTCGTTTTACACAAACTTCCTGCAGTTACTGAGTTCACTGTTTTGGTTGATTGTATAGTTGTTCTCTACTGGTGTTGTTATCCATTGAATACAATATGAAATATCCATAAAATATGTCACCTTAACACTTTTCCAGTGTACTGAAATACTGTTATGGTATAGAATGTATGTTGATTCCTGTTGCTATCACATTTTAAAAAAAGGTCTCTAAAAAGTTAATTCTTTTTATGAGAAGCCAACAGGATGAAGAATATTAAACGGGCACTACTTTGTCTTTTGGTCTCTGTCTTAAGCTTGTTTGGATTCGGTCTTGACTTGGACTCGACCCCAATCTGGCCCCCTGTCGACCACTTAACTGCCTCAGACTTGGATTTGTCTCGGACTTGACTTACGTGATCTTGACTACAGACATTTCGGGGGACTTTAACTCACCCACTCGGGGCTGTGAGTGATGTTTTAAGTCCTTATTGAAAAAGCTATCATCTATTCAGTCGATTAATTGATTAATTGTTTCTAAAAACTTTCAAAGTTTCTCTATTAAACTTTATTTCTTCATCAAAACAATACATAAATATTGTAAGAATGATAGGTAATGTTAAACTATGCAATAAAGTTAGAAAAAGTAGCCCTGTTAATGGTCTTTAATGTTCCATACAGTGAGCTATTATTATGAGTTCAAGGAAACTTCAGTCCTCTGAGCATACAATAAAGCTGCCTTTAAACTTCAGTTCCTGTTAAAACCCCATTATGGGATGTTATTGATAACCTCTGCAGGAATCCTTTAGGAATTCCAATGAATACTGTTTTCTTTAATTCCCTTTTCCTACAGATATTAACGGATGACGAGATCATGAGGATTTAATATTCTCTGCTGGCCGCTGTCCGTGGTGCTGAAACACTCCAGCTGGTCGCTGTCCGTGGTGCTGAAACCTCGCACAGTGTTTAATGCTGAGACAGAGACAGGAAGCCATTGTTGTAACTGTGAGCAGGCGGAGCTGAGAGGTCACTTATGAGTCATAACTGGGAATATGAGAGTGTTACTGTTATGTTTCTCTATGGATCTATAGTTAAAGAGACTTTAGATTTGTGAGAGTTTTTATGTCATTTTTTCTTGGTATCTAACTGCCTGAGATCTTACAGTTTCTGAGAGAGTATAGCCATCAGTGTGAGGATATTATTGATTGGTTTTAGCTCTGTTATGGGCTATATTATGTATAATTTAATTTGCTGGAGTGAACAGACACTTGCATTAGTTGCTGTTTTTGGTATGTGTAGCCCAAACACGTTTCATTCACACACAGTAAACATGAACTGCAGGATCTCTTCCACCCAGATCAGTATTTTATCTTCTAAAAGGGATTAACTAAAACTGTGGATGTATGACTCCGCCGAACTGTAGTCTAATAACATATTCCTCCCAGGATATTAAGATCTCATACTGACCTTATAAGGTGATCACTGACTTAATGGTGTTATTATAATATCCTATAATATCTCAGTAATCTTCCTTATGGGGATGTATTGTCTCTGTTGTACCCACGAACTCACACTCTCTGTAGTCATAAACGTTTTATATGAGATTTAGAGTATTAATATAACAGAACACAAGTATTTGCTATGTAAGTATATAATCTGTGTCTATTTCTGTTATATTTTTTAACAATCATACAGACTTAATCGACTTCTTTTTGGACAAATCCAGTGTTTTCTTGTCACTGATGCTTGGTCATTGTTCTAACTTTTTATTGGCCTCTATAATAGTGACTTATTGCAGGTGAATTATTTCTGTTTCTATTTCCGGTTGCTATAGTCATCATGAGTTTGGTCACAAACTACCCTACCCCCGGTGTTACTATTGTGAGTTTGTCTCTGCAGTGTTGATCTTCATGGTGCATTTACTTCCTCTGTAACCACCATCATATCCTCACACCTAATTTAATAACACCAGAACCACCATTCTGTAAATATTTCCTCACAGCTGCAGCACACAGACTTTCTATTACATGATCATATAAATATATATACAGGCTCAGATTCAAGCACAACATCTCTCTCTTCCTCTCTTCCTCTCTCTACTGCTGTTCTTGCTTGTGTTTGTTGTTGTCGTTGCAGACTGAACAACAGAATGATTCATTCGGGCAGCCAGACACATCCGAGCTGACCCTCGGTCAGTGCTCTTGCGTCAGTGACGCAATTTAGCGCCAGTGTAAACAGATGAGAGGCAGAGGAGCAGGAAATACAAGCAATATAAAATGAATTCTGGCAGGTTGGATTGCTCTGAAAGCAAACTGATCATAGATTTTACTGGGATGTTACACCGAAATAAACAGCTACTATAGGATTATTATAGGGATATCAAAGCTGATCCATTTCCTGCATCAACACTCGAGTTTAGGAGGACAGAGCAACTTCAAATCTACATTTCCCGCAAATCCTGCAGCATATTTTACAGAAATACGATTCTACAACACCCGTAGCCTACTAAATGTAATGAAGGAGGTGAAAACAGTAACACAAAGTGCTGTAAGGTCACTCTAAACTAAGTACAACAGGTACTATATGAACACGGCAACCGGGGCTTGTCATCGGGGAACAGGTCGTGATGAACGCAGCGAGTTCATTAAGAGGGTGGAAGTGCATCCGTCAGCGGCTCTTACCGTGTCGGGCGGCCGCGCAGAGCCGGCAGGAGGCGGTGAGGAGGAGGCACAGAGCTGCCCAGAGCTGCGGAGACCTCATGGTACATCCAGCATCCACCGGAGCGACGAGGAGGAGGAGGAGGAGGAGGAAGAGGAGGGGAGAGCGGCCGCTGCTGCTGCGTTTCTACCAGCTCTCCATGTCTGAGGAGAGGCGGCTGCTGCTGCTGCTGCTCAAGACTGATGGAGAGGAAGTGTGTGAGTGTGTGTGAGAGAGAGGGAGAGAGGAAGAGAGGAAGAGAGGGAGAGAGGGGTTGGTTGGAAAACCAGGCGCCACACTGCAAGAAATATTTAGACTCCAACTGCTAGAATGATACAACCTGACAACACATCTTAATAAACAGGAATTAACTCCAAACTTAAATGTGTGCAGTGTTTTAGGTTCATTCCAGTTTGTTCCATTGACACATTCTGACTTTATATCATTATAACAGTGTAAGCATTATCTAAATAATGTGTGGTAACATCTGGATAAAGATGCATTTAAGTGACTTTATTCAGATAAATTCTGTTCACACATTTTAAATAAGTTTGGAGAAATGCTGCTTATGAATCTTACTTCAATTAACTGAATGGAATTTAACTCAAGTTACTTTAACAATAAACAGTGTCAGAGTTCTCCAGTTCGCACTGCAAATTCTGTCCTAATAATACAATTCAAGTACTATTTTGTATTATTAATATTTAATCAAAGATATTTACACGTGTAAAAACAATGAAATGAGCTATAAATACAGGCAAACACTAATTCTCATTATTGGATTTTTCTTATTTCAATTAGAATTTGTTTTTTAAATTTCCATAATTATACAAGATATCAATTAACTAATCCATGTGACACTACAGACAAAACTTTGTGTTGTCAATAATTTTACATAATTTTAGAAATGTATTAACATTAATCTTGAATTTATCTACAGTAAATATCTGCTAAGAATTTATAGATGTGCAAATGTGTTTTAACCTTTTCATGTGAAAAAGAGTAAATTGTTTAAACAAGTGGTGGATGTAAAAGTTTAATAAAGATCAAGCTTGAAGTTTTCAAGACAAAGAAGCTTGTTTGTAGTTTGTTTTATGTGTGGTAGCTCAGAGGAATATTTATTTACCACTAAGAGGTTTCTCAACACTTCAGTCTCCACACAGTCCCAAACATTTCAGGCTGCAGAACAACATTTATTTACTGTAGATTGATTCAGTTTCTTTCGTTGTTTCAGGATGTTTTATTTCTGTCAGGCTGACAAATGTTTCCTTTACTTCCTAAGATCAAAAGCTGAGAAAACTCAAAGTAAAGTCTGCATTTCTTGCAGTGTGGAGGAGTTCCTGTCTCTGGCTGCATCATGACGTGGTTCACATGGACCAGAAGTCTCAGAGTTCCTCCTGCAGGATGAAACCTTCCACATTCCCTGACAGTCACATGTTGCTTTGTTCTGACGGACAGAAAGAAATCTGGACGACTCAGGAAAACTTTTCAATATTTTATTATTTTCTAAACAATTTCAGTTCATAAGAAAGATCAGGAAGTGCTTTGAGCTGTTTGTGATTTTCTTCTTTGGGGGATAAAATTACAGCACAGTAGAGAGCATCGTCCACACCATTTTCAACAAGGACGTGATGCTAATATTACATGAGTGCGTGCTGAGCCCTGGATGTGTTGCAGTAAAAGGAATCCTTTGTTTCCATTGGTAGCGGTTCTTCTGGCTCTAGTCGACAACCAGCGTGTTCCTCACCGTGGGGAACAACTCGAAGAAACCCTGCAGGGGGAAGCACACAGGACCAAAGATGGAGAGTAGTGTAAGGAAGAAGGTGAGAATGTTGTTCTGATGTAAACCTCGGATGTTTTAGGGGGGGCTGGATACAGCGGTTGGAGGCGGGATTCTATTCATTGTGAAAGCTGCTCGGAAAAATATAAATAGAAAACCACCCAGATCTTCTGCGTTGTGGGCCGATGGAAGAAGCACACTGGAAGGTAGTGTGCATCTCTCCTTTCTAAGACAATCTGATACGTATCCAGATACACCAGGGGAGTGTTAAAGTCTGTCGTGCTACTGCTGGACTTAATGTCTGACAGATCTTACAAAGGGACAGAATTTGGTCCAACTTTCCTTCCTTCTTATAGAATCCAAATATCTTCTGGACCAAAAATGTTAGATTTGATGGTGCACTGTACAGCTTCAGTCGACAGATTGATAACTTTAAAATCAGACCATCTACTGATTGATGGTACACTTAGATCCATCCAGCTCATATTGGTAATTCTAGGATAAAATGATTTAATACTTAATACAGGTTGTCAGAGAGGTGTTGATTCAACTCTTATGGAGTTATTTTAGAGGAGTTTTATTAATATATATCAAATATCAGCAGAATACGAGAGTGAAGAACATATACAAGTCAAATCCAGAGTTTTAGTGTTAATTTGGAGTAAAAATCTCCACAAGCTCAAAATGAGAACAACTGCTTTATAAGTGAGTTTTTTTGCTGCTGAAAGAATCCAAAGCAAACATCCCTCTACTGAGAGAAGGCATGCTTGTTTCACAGACCTTGAAGAGGGTGGTGCTCTGCAGGACGCTGGAGGTGCAGCACATCTCCCTGATGGAGTGCATGGAGAGCTGCGGAGCTCCAATGTCCACCACGGGGACGCCGAGGCGGGCGGCCAAGATGGGTCCGATGGTGGTTCCACACGGGCTGTCGTTACGGACCATCACATCCTGCAGGAGGAGGGATCAAACAGGTCAAACAGAACGAACACTGTTCAACTACTTAGAGGAAAAATCAGCCCGTCTGCCCCCTAGCGGCGGTTGGGCGGCCCTGCATGCAAACACACTAAACTGGGATTAATCAGAGATGATCTGCAGCTGTCAGAGCACTGTAATAAACAATAAACTGGAACAAAGATCTGGACTCCAGCCTCACTTCTGCTGAGCAATAACAGACAAATGAGATGAATTAATGTTTAACTGAAGCTCCTCACATGTCCCCGCAGTCATTAAACCACAGCTGACTTTATCACTCGCTGCGACGCAAACAAACCTCTCAGCTCTTTTATCTCTTGTTCTCCGTCTCAGAGGTTATGTAGAGGTTTTGTTCACAGGTGAATGTATCACTAGTCTTTTGTTTAGTACTTGTGTTGTGCTTTGTGTAGGAATGATGTGAAATGACAACTGAACCATATTATTCTGAAGAAAATTCACATCATATCACGTTAAATAAAGTTATTTAAGGTATATACTGATGTAGAAAAATATTTGATTTGTGACTCCTCTGCAGCCCTGGAAATACAAATGTGTTCTTGTCTGTCATAGTTCATGTTCATTAACTGTTTTATGTCCCTGAGTCTTTATTTCACGCATGAATTCTTGTCTTTTCCTCTCCGCATCATCCTGGAGCAGCTCGCCATGTTGCTAGGAGATCTGTGCTCGCTGCTGAGAGAATCGAGACTCACACAGAGACGAAGAGCTGCCGAGCCTCCGTCTGCAAACAATTCATCTGTAATCTTACACGCATGCACACACGCACACACACACTGTACCTGCAGAGGCACCCCGACCTTGCTGGCGACCTCTCTGACAACGGAAGCGGTGACGGCCGTAGTGGCGTAGCGCTGGTTGCTGTTGAACTTGATCACTGGGCCCTGATTGCATATATGTGAATGTTGTTGTTATTACATTCATGAGTTTCACATTGTGTGAGTGGAAAATGACTGAGTACTTGAAAAAAGTCAAATAAGGCTGCAACGGATCATTTTTCACTATTGACTCATGAACTAATCTGATGATATATAATCAAATACTGACTCAAACTAAGGTCTTAAAGTTATGAATCTAGTGTCATTGGAAACCAAAGAATGCCATCAAATAATAAGAAACAGAAAATAACATGAAGGTCTTTGTATTCGCAAAACTAAAACATATTTGGTATTTTTATGTTTTTATAAAAGTTAATTGTTTGTAAAACCACTAATTTAATACAAAATCTAACTCATCTTCTGCATAGAAGGAAAAATAAATTAAGCTTCATTTACAGTATTTACGACTGTTCAATATAATACACGTCTGTAAAGCTGCCTTCAATGTAAATGATACAAAACAGTGTTTGTGTTTAGCCCTTTTTAAATAAATCAATAAATCAATCAAAATTGACCTTGTGGAAAGCTGGTCGATGGTTCTCCTCATGCTTCTCCCTGAAGAAGAAAATCAACAGTTTGGTTAAAAATCGAAATCAACTCCAACTCTCTGATAATGATTCTTCACAGTCTGACTTTAGGTGCCTGTAGTGTCGTGTTCATTGGACAAAACATTTTTGAATAAGAAGATAGCAGATAGATATAGCGTGTGTGTGTGTGTGTGTGTGTGTGTGTGTGTGTGTACTGACTGGTAATTGGGGTGCACGGCGTGTGCCATGTCGGCGCTGATCATGAAGGAGCGCGGCGCAGCCTGTTGAAAGGCGGTGAGGTTGGAGGCGGAAGCGGCGAGGCGGCTGAGGATAAGCTCTGTCAGGTTGGACTGAGCTCCCTGAGCACTCTCTGATCCCACCTACAGGACACACACACACACACACACACACACACACACACACACACACACACACACACAGATTTGAAGATGAAACTCAGGTGCCATTTGACTGGCTATATATCTCTCAATTTTTCCACAAGCTGTCTTCACCTCTTCGTTGTCGTACAGGGTGACCATGCGGACGTTGGGGTCTTTGGCCAGAGAGTCTCCTGAGCAGGATTCCATCAGCCCCTGAGAGACAACGCAGACAGACAGGAAACATTCAGAGGACTCGCTGAGATTCAAAACCCTGTTATAGTTTGTGATTTAACTGCTGCCGAGTTCAATTCATTGGCTATTTTCTGACCAACTGTGCAGTTATTTTCTCTTTTCCCATTCTCAGGAACACAGACAAGATCAAAATAAAAAACAAAGTGTATTTCTAAAGCAGTTTGCTTTTAAAACATACAAAAGAATAGCAGCAATAAAAATACAATTAAAAGCAACATATGAGGTAGAATACAACCAAAAACACACCAATGATCAGAGATACTGTTAAAAAGAGATAAAAAGAGAAATATTGTGTAAATTCACACAGTTTTTTGAAGGGATTTGAAAGATGAACAGATTTAGCTGAATTTCCTCAGATAGGCCGTTCCACAGTCCAGGTGCTCTAATAGAGACATTCTCCTTTAGTCTTTAGCCCGGATTGTGGAACCACCTAAAGGCACTTCAGGGAGGATCTAAGGCTGTGTTCTGGCTCACAAAGAGGTAAAAAGTCAGAAATATAACTGGAGGCTGGACCTTCCTGTGCTCCAACAGTGATCAACAGGCATTTAAAGGGAGTCTTACTGGTGTGATGTGCTAAAACTGGGGAAACAGTGGATCATGTGGACAATAGATGAAGATATTCCTGTGTGCAGTCTGACCTGCAGGGCGCAGTAGCAGCTGTGGAGGTTGTCCAGACGAGGAGAGTAAATGAACTCTTCGTACACGCCTCCCAACGCCTGCAGAGGACAGCAGAAGAAGAAGAACATGATGGACAGAACAACAAGAGATGTGGAGTCGTTTATCTTCCACCAATAGTAAATATATAATATATAAGAATCTGCTGCTTCAGGGGGTTAAACTAGATTGTGAGAGGAGGTCAATGTTTTATGTTCAGACTCACTGCAGGCTGAGTGTCAGTCAGACAGAGCTCAAAGTCCAGCAGGGCTTCGGCCTCGACTCCCAGCTCTGAACACAGCACTTTCACCAGCGCCGGGTGGTGTTTCTCTGCCTGAGGAGGGACGATACGACACCATTCATTCTCAAATCCATTGTTACATCTTCTCACTTGATTTAAAGACCTTTCTTTGTTAGTGTTTATAATGTAAGCTGATAGAAACTAGGTAATGCCAGAAGTTATCCTAGAAAACAAAGCAGCCTTTTCCTACATTTGATTATCTGTTCACTTCTGGGGGCAGCCGTAAGTTAGTGCTTAGTGCAAAATCTCAGGTGTGTGCATTTTACCGTGCTGGTGGCACAGGTGGCATCTCCGGAGGATGTGGAGCCCGTCTGCAGCTCCTCCTGGACGGCGGTGGCGATGATGGGCACGCTGAGACGCAAACACACACACAAAAAAAAAATCTATCTTGTTTTTGTGTCATTCTACTTGATTTCACTAAAAAGTTTTACCTTGTTTACCGTTACATTCCCCTCTTTTATATTTGTAGCTTATAAAACGTATTAAACGGCTGTGTTGTCGTGTCACTCACAGGTGGTTCTCCTTGTTTGGGCCGAAGGAATCGTTGATGTCCCTCTGCAGGTGGATGGCCAGGTGAGGGATCCTGAGCAGAGGTCTGGACACATGAACCAGCCGGTGAACCAGTTTACTGTCGCTCTGTGGGAGGACAAACCCGTAAAGAGGATGAGGAGGCGGGAAACATCTGCTTTGATCACTAAATAATGCCAAGATTCTGTCTCGCTTGTTTTGGTGTTAAATCAGTTATCACACTGGAAGCTCAAATATCAGTGGGAGACACAGAAACAAAACAGATACATAAGATCAGAAAGCTGAAACATTTCTTGCTGCCATCGGAGAAAGAAACAATTACTAAAACTACAAGAACTTAAAATAGTATTTTTTACATCTTATTTTCATCTCAGATCTCCCAAAACTACCGACCTACTACCAGTACCTGAGATTGTACAGATTTACAGAAATAATCTTGGTACCTTGACCATAACGCGGCCGGCGATGGTCAGATCACGGTCGAACCAAGTGTTCCAGATGCCGCCGCCGTAGCACTCCACGCCGACCTGCAGACAGCCCTGCTTCGTCCTCTTGGACCTCGGCTTCACCTGAAACATGCAGACACACTACCTTATAATCAAATAAACACACGTCTCATTGGCTGAGCGCTGAGCTCTAAAACGCAGCTCCTGTGTGTCGCGTTTCATAAAACCTCTTCTCTCAGATTTCAGGACTTTCATTTTTAGATTTATGGCATCAAAGCACCACTTCAGGGCCGTTCTCCGCGTGCCTTCGTCTAATGTGAGAGAGACATGCTGCGACAGGAGGCCAAACACAACTTATAACACATTAATAATAACAGAACCACTGCCCTGCTGTTGTATGCCTCCACCTACCAGTCAAGTTGCAGTTTACGTGCCTGTCTGTCCAAACTAGTGAATACTTGGAAGGGATAAAAAAGGTATAACGCGTGTTTTTTGGCTCTCACTCTGAGGCAGGGGCTGTCTGTGTGGGCTCCGATCATTGAGAACCCGTTCCCCGGCAGGTAGCGTCCGCCCACAGCGAAGGCGATGAGGCTGGAGAAGTTCCTGGTCACAAAGTACTGAAGAAGAGAGCACAGGACGGGATGTAAATATAGATTATTTAACACTAAAGTTATTGATTTTAAGTTATTTTACTTTTTGCACCATTTTCTGGAGTCAGTTTTTCATGTGTAAAATGATTCAACATTTCCTTGTACTGTGTAAAAGCACTAGAGAGCTTAACATCCTGGTATTTTAATAAAAAGACACTCTGACCGACCTTAGCAGACGGCTTGATGTCCCACTGCTCCGTCTCCTTCAGCTCGATGAAGCCGGCCTCCAGCAGACGCCGTTTACATTCCTCAACCACTGCGGGGACGAGAACGAGAGGATGAATGAGGCTGCGTTCTTCCGTTCACTGCAGCTGGGACTACTTCTGGCTGAGAGCCAATGAATTTGATCTTGTTATCGTTTTTCATGACTTAATAGCTTTTTAACGCTTTTTACTCGGAGGCTCTCGGACTGTTCAACGCTGGATGAGGGCTTTCTCCGTTTCAACACGAGTGGACACCGGAGGAGCCTTTTTATTGATTTTTCTTTAGATGTCTTTCTTTGTATCGTTCTCACACACATCATGTTTCCAAATGTTCATCTTATATCCGACAAATAAAGTCAGACTGATTGATTAACCTTCCCTCAAAGGGCAAACGGATCAAAAGTATCTATAAATGCTGTAAAAGCAGCAAGAAAAGCAACTACTTTAGAGCTCGGCTGGAACTATCTGTTGATTGTTTGATTGATAAAACCATAAAATTTTAACTGAAATTGTGTTTTTATATTTCACAGAATACATGTTTGTGTATGCCAAGAATATATCCAAGGTTTGTTTGTATAATGGACTTAAAATAAAGCTGTCTGATGCCTCTTTGAGTCAGTAAAATCTATTTTGTTAAAATCTAATGTTGCCTTCTTTTCGACACTAGAACTGAACCACTATGAAGTGTTCGTGGCTTTCAGGCTCATTCGCAGCACTCTGCAGAGGTCATAGTGCAAAAGTCGGAGGCATTATGAAACATCTGTTTCATCTGCAGAGACTCTTTCTTATCTCAAGCTCAAAGTGTCTCCACTTAATGCTGACAGGTGCACATATGTTCTCCTTCCTATCACACACAACCTACTGCCTGGTGTCAACCCTTAATCTTAAATTATATGAACTATAAATCCACAGAGTGATTAAATTAAATTTACCTGCATAAAGGTGACAGAAACATCAGACGCACACTGAACCCCTACAGAGGTTTACCTGTGAGTTTAAGTTAAATTAAAAAACACTTTCTTTAAAACATTTTGGTTAAAATAAAGACTTACTTACATAATCTGGAAAACAAGAGCATTAATTCAAATATATACCATTAATAAGAGTCAGTTGTTTAGGTTAAAGGTTGCAGAAACTTTCCTAAATAAGTTTTATAATGTCTGGAAACATGAAGCAGACACTCACATGAACTCTTCCTCCTCTGCTCAGTGAGTGAACAGATAATAAAGTTTAAAGTTTAAAGACTTTAAAGGTTTACAGACTTTAAATGTTTACAGACTTTAAATGTTTACAGACTTTAAAGACTTTAAAGGTTTAAAGTTTAAAGTTTTACAGACTTTAAAGTTTATAGACTTTAAATGTTTAAAGTTTAAAGTTTTACAGACTTTAAAGGTTTAAAGTCTTTAAAGGTTTACAGACTTTAAAGGTTTACAGACTTTAAACTTTACAGACTTTAAAGGTTTACAGACTTTAAAGGTTTACAGACTTTAAACTTTACAGACTTTAAATGTTTACAGCTTTACAGACTTTAATGTTTAAAGACTTTAAAGTTTAAAGACTTTAAATCTTTAAAGACTTTAAAGTTTACAGACTTTAAAGACTTTAAAGTTTACAGACTTTAAAGTTTACAGACTTTAAAGTTTACAGACTTTAAAGACTTTAAATGTTTACAGACTTTAAAGACTTTAATGTTTAAAGACTTTAAAGACTTTAAAGGTTTACAGACTTTAAATGTTTAAAGACTTTAAAGTTTACAGACTTTAAAGACTTTAAAGGTTTAAAGACTTTAAAGTTTACAGACTTTAATGTTTAAAGACTTTAAAGTTTACAGACTTTACAGACTTTAAATGTTTACCGTGGTATGGAGACACTCCTCTGTTCACAAACTGCAGGAACTCTTTCGCTGCAGACTGAACAGCCTCTTTAGAGTTCTTCATGATGAAAGACTGAAGAAAGAAAAGAGAGAAAGACATTAAAGAGTCAGAGCTAACAGCTACTAGTCACCCGGAGGAGAGGTTCCAACTTCGGACACTAACTGCGACATTTCAGCCTTTCTTTCTTTTAATATTCGATAGCGGGAAAATATGAACAAACAAGGCAATAAACGGCGATATGGAAGTCGCACAGAGTCAAACTGTGCGCACACTTTATAAATAAAATTAACTTTATCGCGTAGAAACCAGACCTGTCCGATAAAGGACGCACCGCTACTTAGCTAACCTGCACGGCACGACTCGGGCGTGCTTCTTCTTCGTCGCTCCCCTTCGTCTGCTGGCCAAAGTCAAAGCAGCTCTCAGAGAGGGAGCAACGCCTCCACATACCGCGGCCATAATAACCCCTTTATGACACTTACCTGCATTAACTGCACTTTAAACTCCGACAAGACGAAACAGCAACAACAGGAAGATACAGATCAGCCGACAGCAGCCAGAGAAAGAGACAGTCGCTGTTTTCAGACACAGCGCCACAGCGACACCCAGCGGCCAGGCGGTGTAACTACACACAGATTTTAAAATGATTGCTTTAATGTTTTTATGAATGTATGTTCAACATGCTATTTCCTGGATCAATAGAGTCTATGTGTGAATCTGAGATTATAGTCAGCTCTTAGGGCCATAGAGCTGCAATGCATTAGGGGAAGAAATGTTGCTGTGTTTCAACAGAGGTTAAAGAAACGTAAAGGAAGCTTGTCTCTCTCAACCAGGGGAAACTGGAGGAGCCGGAGACAGTTGATTGACGGTCTCTCTCTCCTGTTATGTTTCTTCCCACCAGTTTCTCTCTCTTACTGTGTCTTCCTCCATTTCCTATAATAGCCATAATGCAATAATATACAGTATATAATGCTCTAAATAACAGATTACAACTTGATTCTGATAAAGTTCAGACACAGAAGACACAACAAACACCGCCTATTAACTCCTTTCATCCCTCTGAAAGCTTTTCTTTAAAGTAACAAAGACATCCGATCTAATAACAGACAGAAAAACATTTTTTAAAACACTATAAATAAATAAAAAATAAAACATCTGTAAGTTTACAGGGTTTTTCAGGGTTAACTGACTCTGAATCTGCTTTAATCAGGGTCAAAATACAGTTTTTATCTGTGAAAACAACAATAATTACTGTAATTTCACAGATAATGGCTTTTATTACAGTTCTATAACTTTTAAAATTCCGATTAAAATAAGAAGAATCAAATAATAACATAATAACTGTATGTAATGTTGACATTTTCCTGATAGGGTGATGAATGTTGAATTAAGGCCATATTATGCTTTTATTTTGACTCACCTCTCCCTCTCTCTCTCTCTCTCTCTCTCTCTCTCTCTCTCTCTCTCTCTCCCTCCCTGTCTCTTTCTGACTCACTCATGTTAGTTTACTCTCACCAGACACCCCCCCCCCCCACACCCCCTTGCAGCCATATATCACTCTATCACCGCAGGGACCGGCCTTATATAGTCCTGAACGATGAGGGAGGAGGGAGGAGGGAGGAGGGGGAGATTGAGAGGAGGAGAGTCAGAAAACGATGAAGAGATGTTTATATCAGCTGTCAGCTCACGGCGTCTCCCCTGCTCTTGAGGAAGCCCAGGGGGATGAAAACACACACACACATCATCTATTAATAGACGTGAGAGCAACAGCCTCTGCTGCACTGTTAAACATAATTTTATCATACAGGAATTTGTCCGAATACTGTTGCTGTTGTGCTGTATTTATAATACTTTAATGGTTGCAGTACAATACCAGGACTAGGGTCTAACTATATGGGAACCATGAACTTTTAGTTTTTCCTCCTAGCACCTGCAGAGACAACCATCTCTTGTTTCATGAATCACAGTCAGAGTCTGTAAGGTAAAAACTAGGGCTGCACAATATGCTAATATTGCATTACATTACATATTTCTAATGAAAAAAATAATTAAAATCATGATGATGTGACATTTGTTGGGGTCTGTACCGAACAAACATGTTGTCTTACATCTAAAGAACAAGATTTGTAGGTCAGGGCAACACATTAATAAAATACATAAGTTAACATTGGAGTCACTTATTCACATGAATCAATTCAAATATTAATTGTTGAAGCAACTCAGTTGTTTTAAGTGAACTTAAATGTGTTTAGTATTTTAAATACAGGCGATATAATTCCAGTTTGTCCCATTGACTAATTTTCTTGAAGTTGACTTTATATCATTATAAAACTAGAAGCATTATAATGCTGTATAGCTTAGGATTTGTTCATTTTATGTTTTTATTTCAGTTTATTAATCATCATTAGCCCATGAATGCATTCAAATAATTCCTAATGATTGCCCAAAGATTTAATGTTAGAGACACAAGACAATTAATTGGCTACCATTTTAATGATCAATTGATTATAAATAACGTCGTTTACGTTGTTTTGATGTAATAATTTGCTTTAGTGGAAGAAAACTGAGTAAATTCAACTTAACTGCTTTAAGTGACTTTATTCAGATAAATTATGTTACTGAGTAACTGAATTGAATTAAATTAACTTAATTTACCCAAGTTACCTTCACAATAGAAATACTTACTTCTACTCAAATCAAATATCTCACAAGCTTGATAGTTGACAGTTAATAAACTGTTTGAGTTGAACTAACTTGTCACACATTACAGCTTCTGTGGTTTGGATATTGCACTTAGTTCACTGTACAGTTCATTCTCAGTGTGTGTGTGTGCACTGGTGGATCTCACTGAATAAGTCGCATACTGGACCAGGATTGACTTCCTGAACTATTTTTGATGTCACAAATCATGCTCGTAGGTCCCGCCCCTTAAAATCCGATGTTCAGTGAGCACAGAGAAACTTTCCACTTTCAGCAGATGAATGTGAAAACATCCTCCTAGAGTCAAACTCTGCACAGACATCATTCAAACATCACACTGTAGGGACAAGAAGAAGAAACACTGAGTTCTGACTGTGGAGGACTGCAGACTTTAAAGTGAAAACATTTTCTACATGACTCCAAAGTGTCTGCTGGCAGAAGGAAACCTCTCTTTAAATCCATTTCACTGCCACACACTCTAATGATATCATCATTAATGGCACATATTGTTTGGGAATGTGGGCTTTCTCCTGCTCTGGGAGCGTCTGCAGGCACATGCTGTACCTCTCCGTCTCTGGGATAGTTTTCCTTTTTAAGGCAGGTTAGTCAAAGCTCTTCCCCCACGAGTGCCGTCATTAACAACCTGCGCCGCTTCGCCATGTGAGGACGTCGCACAGTTTTGAAAGCCGCCGTCTCTCCTTGCATCCTCACATCGTTATGCCGTGAGATCACAGACACAGAGGGAGAGGATTTTCTCATGAGGCCGTGTGATTTAACAAGTCTTCTACACTAAATGAGCAGATAGGTCGTTTATCGTCACCTCCTGAAACAACCTCACTCATCTAACGTCTCTGTGGTTAAGATTTGGTTACAAAAACGTCTTGGTTATTGTTAAGGAAAGATTGTGGTCGTGGTAGGAAACAGGACTATAACCCACTTTGCTGATCACTCCATCCACCCTGACGTTAGCGCTGCGTGAAATAAGCTGCCCCCCTCATTCATTTCAGTGAGACACTGTTGCTAAGGCAGAAAAGCAAAAGAAGCCAAGCAAAAACCAGCAAATGAAGCCAACGCGGAATTAACTAAAACTGCAGTTCCTCTAACGGCCACTAGAGGCTGGCTCCAACAGTGAGTCAATCTCCATAAGGGCCCATATTTAAATGTACAAAAAAAACTGAGCTTTCAGAAACCTGTGTGTCATAGAGACTACGGTCGTAGTCATAACAGTTTATGGTCCAGACACAGAGACTTTTGCTGCCATTCACAACTTACTGATTTGCACTTTACTTATTTTGTGGTGTTCCTTGCGATTGTGGAGACTGTATAGATAAAATAAACCTGAAGCAACACAGGCCATTTTTGGTCTGTGGCAAATAACATTACTTCTGTCTTTGTGATTCTGGTTATTTTACCTTATTAAAGTTACAAGTTGTCCTGTTTTCTTCCATCGTTATCCAGCTTTACCTGAAGGGTTAACATCTAATGTGTATGGGACATTAATCTGTGTAAGTCAGAGTGACAGTGGTGATTTGATGCTAAATAAATTAAAAGGAAACATGAGAAAGTGGCAGAGAGAGAAAGAGAAAGAGGGAGTGAGAGATAAAGAATGAAGGGGTGGAGGGAGAAGGTGAGGGGGAGGAAGGGAGAGAGAGAATATGGAGAAGAGGAGGGAGAGAGGGTGGGAAGGTGACAGAAAGAGGCAGATGAAGAAAAAACAAAGGGAGAAAAGAGAGAGAAGATAGAGAGAGACCTAGAGAGACACAGGGAGGGCAGTTTAGAGGGAGGACGGGGTAAAAATGAGGGAGGGGTAACTACAAATAGCCAAGGGCAGCAAGTTTTTCCTCAGTGCTCCCCTCTGCTGCAGCCCTCACCAGGCTCTCCTCGTCCTCCAACATGGCCTCCTACAGCTCCTCAGCCCAATCCGCCTCCTCCTACCGCCGCCACTTCGGCCACGGCACCTACGCCTCGCCCTCCCTCAACCGCTCGCTGCTGGGCCATGGTGCTGGCGGTGGGGCTCATGTCTCCTCCAGGGTCTACGAGGTGACCCGGAGCAGCGCAACACCAACCTACCGAGTCTCCTCCGGCTACTACGGGAAGCCCCTGGCGGCCTCCCGGGCTTCAGTCGGGCGCTCTTACGCCGGCATGGGCGAGACGCTGGACTTCAGCCTGGCCGACGCCCTCAACCAGGAGTTCTTGACCACACGGACCAATGAGAAGGTAGAGCTGCAGCACCTGAACGACCGCTTCGCCAGCTACATCGAGAAGGTCCGCTTCCTGGAGCAGCAGAACCAGGTGCTGGCGGTGGAGGTGGAGCGACTGCGTGGGCGCGAGCCGACGCGCATCGCCGACCTGTACGAGGAGGAGATGAGCGAGCTGAGGAGGCAGGTGGAGATCCTGACCAATCAGAGGTCACGTGTCGAGGTGGAGCGGGACAACCTAGCCGACGACCTGGACAAGCTCAAACTCAGGTGGGCGGGGCGAGACGGCGTGTGTGTCTCTTTAAGAAGATGTGTGTGTGTGTGTGTGTGTGTGTGTGTGTGTGTGTGTGTGTGTGTGTGTGTGTGTGTGTGTGACGCTCTGCTGACTTACAGGAAGGAGTGTGTAGATGGGGAGGTGGGTGAGGATGTGTGTGCAACATCATGTCTGCGCCATTTAATCGCCCGTGTGGGACTCTCGTTATCTGCTGTTTGTTGTGGTTACAGGAAGTATCTTTAAACCCTCGTGAGTGGGGTTGTTCTTAAAGGACCAGACATGATTTTACAATATTTTACATCACAGTAAAGACGAGGGATTAAGATGCACTCTAAAAACAAATGTCCTCTACAATGAAATGTATTTTTAATTACCACTTACTAAATAATTGGTAGCGTAAACACAAGTTTTTAAGTTCGTCGGAATATATAGGTATATCCAAATCAATAAATTAGAAGTTTTATCCTGCAACCATGCCTTTATTTAAGTGGGGACAATAGGGGCACTGAATTACTAAGAGTGAACACACACATGTTGGGGGGCTGCTGTTGGCTATTTCCTCATTTGAGGTTGAGATAGTCACAAGCTCTTAAGTTTTGCTTTGTGTGACACATAATGCCTGATTGTCTTTTAAAGAAGTCCTATCAGAAGTCCATTGCAGTCAATTGTGCTAGACATATTAGCATTAATTCGTTTTTCCAAGTTCTATTTCTTTTAACAAGATTCCTGACTTCAACTACATATGTGAGGTGATAAAATGCTGTTTTTGTTGTTGTTTTGCCTCTACGCAGAGGATCATTATAACTACTCAACACATAAACTTCAGATTTTATGCAAAGAGCACAACAGACATCACATTTAACGTATTTCTGTTAAAACAAGAAGCTTGGAGGTGTTGGAAGCAACGATGGTGAAGTCACGTCCTATACCAGGAAATACTCACAATATTGCAAATACTTTAACAAAACAAATAAGAGCATGAGTAGGGTATAGAACAACTTTAATATTTTTGTAAAAAGTTTAAATGATCCATTATCCTGTTTACGGTGCATTGAAATGCAACAGAATTGGGCTAGTGAAGAATCTTGTGAAGAATTGCATTTAAAATAGGCTGATGATGATAAAGCTTACGCCGACTGCAGCTATAAATACAGCTGCGTGCCACGGCTTAAATTTAGACCTGACAATGAGCTTCACTTTGGACCAGGCACACAATGATTCCTGCATTAATCAGTCGAGGCTGAAGCTATAAAAAGAGGGTTTCATTTCATGATTGACATCCAGGCGTATGGGTCGGATTGCATATGTCGATGATCGACTCTTTCTCAGCTCTGATTGGTTGCTTTTGTTTGGGCTCAATGGATTCTTGCAAATGCCATTATAGGAGCACTGGGAGCAGTTGGAGGATTTTCTCACAGATTATCCGTCTCGTACTTCTGTCAGGATATAGTGAAAGTTTAAAAAAATATATAAGTTACCAACTGCAGCTTTAATGACAGTACTTGAGTAAATGTACTTCATTCTACCACAAATCCAAAGTAAGATAATAACACAAACTGTCAAACATATTGGCTTCATATTCTCTGTTTAACTATTAAAATGATTGACTATTGTGTGTGTCACTGCCCCAGTCTGACCAAAGTTAGAGCTCATCACACACACACACACACACACACACACACCATGTTTACACAGCCCTCTTCTATAAAAGGAGAGGAAAGAGCTTCCACATATCTGAAGGATCTCTAATGATCTGTCCTTTCTCTGTCTGTAGTTTACATCTCAAGTGCCGCTTTTATACAGATTCAGAGAGAAGACAGCGCTACTGCAACTTTAAATCATCACTGGAAGCTCTTTTACATACAGGGGTCTACGAGTCTTCTCTTTCTGTTCTGGCTTCAATAAAACAAGTTAGAGGATTCGTTCTTTTTTGGTGCATTTTGATTCAAAGAAGGTTTTCCGGCTTAAATAAATAAAATGAGCGTCTGTTCACTGCGAGAGAGGATCACAGTAAGATCTGGTATTACGTGAGCTTTTATTACAACCATAAATGTGTTGTTGACTTTTTGTCTTTTGCAGTTCTGTTCAGGTGTTTAACAGAATAATTTTCCAAACATACAAATGTTTGAAAAAAACATACACACAGTGGGTATTTTTTAAGATAATAGCTATTTTTAGTCTCGGTATATTTAAATTTGACCAAAAATAAATAAATGACGCAGAAGTTTCCAGAAAAAATGAATTTGGTAGTAATTATAAGGAAATTAGAGACTCCACTAAAAAAGATTAGAAGAAAATAAATTTTAACAGCTTAAACTATGAAAATGACCAAATAAAGTAAAGACATTGTGAGACTTTCTTTATGGTGTCTGGGGTGGCCTCAGCTAGAGCCCTGATGGTAATCAATGAATCAATAATGTGAATTTATTCCTCCCTCAGACTCCAGGAAGAGATCCTCCAAAAAGAGGACGCAGAAAACAACCTGGCTGCTTTCAGGGCGGTGAGTGCTCCTGTCAAAGTGTTCAACTATTATTCTGTAGAACATGTAAGACGTATAAATGATGAGGACATAAAGGATATATTTCTAGAGTTTAAAATAATAAATGAGTGAATTTAAATGTGTGCAGTATTTTAACTTAAGGTGATATAATTCCAGTTTGTTCCAAGTTGACTTTATATCATTAGAACACTGTAAGCATTATAATGCTGTATAGTTTTTATTTCAGTTTATTAATCATCATTAGCCCATGTATGCATCCAACTAATTCTTCATAATCAGTTAAAGTGTAAAGATTTGATGTTTGTCACATAAAAAAAACAGATAATTAATTGACTACCATTTTGATGATCAATTAATCATAAATGGTTTTTATAGTACGACAGTTGTTTTGACGTAATAATTTGCTTTAGTGGAAGAAAACTAAGAAAATTCAACTTAAGTGGAAACATTTGTATTTAAGTGACTTTATTCAGATAAATTCTGTTCACACATTTAAGTTTGAAGACATGCTGCATATGAGTCTTACTTCAATTAACTGAATGGAATTAAATTAACTTAAGTTAAGTTTGTTTAACAATAAATACTTTGAGAACTAGAAGAGTTACTTCTTATTCAAATCCAATATCTTTCATGCGAGCCATTTCCTCAAACAGTTTAAGTTGAAGTAACTCGTTATATATATATTACAAACTGATTTTTTTACCAGTTCATAAGTTGATTTACCAAACTGTTGCAGGATGTGGACGCTGCCACTCTGGCCCGTCTGGACCTGGAGAGACGCATCGAGACGCTTCAGGAGGAGATCGCCTTCCTGAAGAAGATCCACGAAGAGGTTCTCTCTCGCTCTCTCCCTTCTTCTTCTGTTTCTGTCTCTTTGTTTGTTTCTCAATGCTTCATAAAATAGAAACCCAGCTTCAAGGTTCTCTAGAACATCATGGTCACAGATGGATACTGAGCGAATAATTATTTAGTCATTTTAGGGCACAAATGATTGATTTGAAATAGGGGTGAAAAAAATATGACAGTCTATTTCAGTGGTTCCCAAGGGGCCCCTTTCATATCGCTGAGTAAACTGACGACCCCTGACTAAGTGACATATTTTATAGATATTTCATGTTATTTTCAGTACACGAAACTTCAGTTTCAGTAGAAAACAGCTGATAAACTGTACAATGAACCCAAACAGTGAACACAATAACTGCTGGAAGTTTGTGTAAAACGAGCAGTTTGAATGAATGTTGAGCAGATTATTTTATTTGGATATAAATAATTTGATTATTTTGAATCATTTTTAACAATTAATTTGACTTAATAGGCTTCTTTTCTGACACATTCATATTTTCAGGATGAGGCTGTCTTGTGTCAAAGTTTAGGTATTAAATAATATCTTAAAAATAACAGTGACCCAAATACTGAGATATTGGCCTAGTGTGTATATTTTTAAATGTTTACTACACCCCTTCAAATCAAGAAAGCCTTATAGAAATTATCAGATTGGGATCCCTGGGACCGTATTTTATCTCATTTGATACATGTTTCAAATTCTGCACAGAGAAACTTCAAAGCAAACAGTTGTCTCAAGATTATTAAGGATGAAACTAAATTTCAAAGAGTTGGATTCGACTCCTTCCTGTCTGTTTGTTTGTATTCTGTGTGACTGTGCTGGCCAATCCGTCTGTCTGTCTCTTAGCATCTGTTGTTACATCTGTGTGTGTGTGTGTGTGTGTGTGTGTGTGTGTGTGTGTGTGTGTGTGTGTGTGTGTGTGTGAGTGAGATGACAGAGGATTGGGGAAGTATAGAGTTTCACACACAAACACACACAAAGCCTGTTTTTTGGCAGCAAACCACCAAATCTCCCACAGCAGATGTACGGCTACCGACAGCGGACGTCCACGTCTCTGAACAGCAGACACTTGTAAGCTTAGATGTGAGTGAGTGTGTTGGGGTTAGGCATTTAGTTGTGATGATCACAGGCGTTTCTAGATGGGGGAGTCTGAGGTGGCAATGGCTGGTCACCCCTGAAATCTGATTGGCCACCCCATTATCCATCCCTCCATCCACTTCCCACTGCCTTTCAGAGGCTGTAGTGGGCTCTGTTTAAAAGCTAGAGTGAATATACTGGTATCACATGAAACCATGGAGTAGCATCAAAGACACCCTCCCACTCTCACCTGACCTCCCTCCTCCTCCTCCTCCTCCTCCTCCTCCTCCTCCTCTTCCTGCAGGAGATCCGCGAGCTGCAGTCGCAGATGCAGGAGACTCAGGTGCAGATCCAGATGGACATGTCCAAGCCGGACCTGACGGCAGCGCTGAGAGACATTAGAGCCCAGTACGAGGGCATCGCCGCCAAGAACATCGCCGAGGCTGAGGACTGGTACAAGTCAAAGGTGAGACGGTCCGAGAGACTGTTATCAGTACAGGGTGGGTTTTAAAGGTTGATGTAAAATAATTTCAGTTACTGACAGTGCAAAGATACCTGAATGTGTTAGCCAGCTGACTTCCATTAATGTTAAATATCAGAAACGGTAAAATAAATAGAAACACAATGATTTCTTTCTCCTGCGAAGAAATCTGGGTTCTTTCGAATTTTGTAACTTCAGGAAAAAGTGAGCCTGAACGTCATCGACATAAATAAAGATGGGAGACGTGACAGCTGACTGCAGTGTAGGTCATAAGGCTCGCTGTGTTCATGCTGGCAGATGGGAAAAAATAAACGCCACACATCAAATACACTGTTTGGCTTCACAGTTGATTAGAAATAATTGGTTAATATTCCCTGTCTCAAGTCATTAACTCTGTTCTTTGACCTTTGTCTCCTCAGGTGTCCGACCTGAACCAGGCAGTGAGTAAGAACAATGAGGCGCTGAAGCAGGCCCGGCAGGAGACCATGGAGTTCAGACACCAGATCCAGTCCTACACCTGCGAGATTGACTCGCTCAAAGGCACCGTACGTCTCACACACGTAAATATTTCCCCTTCCAGCCGTACCTCGTGCTCTGTTTCACACCTGACTCGTCTCTTTGGAACATCCAGAATGAGTCCCTGATGAGGCAGATGAGAGACATGGAGGACCGCCACGGCGTCGAGGCCGGTCGCTTCCAGGATAACATCGCCCGGCTGGAGGCGGAAATCGCTAACATGAAGGACGAGATGGCGCGCCACCTCCGCGAGTACCAGGATCTGCTCAATGTCAAGATGGCGCTGGATGTGGAGATCGCCACCTACAGGAAGCTGCTGGAAGGGGAGGAGAGCAGGTGATGTTGGAGTCCAGTTGATTAACTGAAACTATAGAGATTGAGTCCAAAGCTGCAGACGGATTTTTGTCTTTATTCAGAACAATTCTGTCTATAAAACGGGTTTTTATATTAAATTCTGTTGGTAGAAGGTGAAGAAAGTTTGTCCATAATGCTTCAAGTTATAATTGAGTTACAATCACATTTTAAAGGAGAAAAATAAAAAATTAATATTTTATCCAAATCAAGTTAAATGAGTTTATAATAGATATAAAACATATTTTGCATCATGTCTTTGCAGGATTACCCTGCCTGTGCAGAGCTACTCCACCCTGAGCTTCCGAGGTACGAACATATCTGCTGTTTCCTGAATGCACCACTAGAGGATGCACGACTCTCTAACCAGCACAGGGTCTGCACTTAATGCAGTTCACCTGCAGCTGGAGCTTTATACCATCCATCGTCATTTAAATACCAATTTTATGATTCCTTAAGAAGCATCATATAATAACATTTGTTTTTAATATAATTATAGATAAACTGATATGGTCTTATTTTCTGTGTTCAATACAATAAATAAAGATTACCATGGGTCTCAAACATGCAACTGGATTTTCAAATCCTTTGCCATACAATATTATATTTTTAAAATGATAAAAGTATAACTTTCATTAATTTAACTGCATACTGTATTACATTATTTTGCCCAGAATCTGTTTTAAAACAGATTATCAGCTTCTGTCATGGTGATGATTTGATTTTCTTGCTGTGTTTAAACAGAGACCAGCCCCGAGCACCAGCAGCGCGCCTCTGAGATGCATTCAAAGAAAACCGTCCTCATCAAGACCATTGAAACCCGCGATGGAGAGGTAAAACTCAGAGCAGCAACTCAATTTTCCACCATCAAGAATAATAAATACTAGCTTCCTTTTCTTTCTTCTAATCTACAAAACAACCTCATGAAGAAAATCTGTAATAAAAAAAAAATGAAAAAAAAAAAAAAGATTTAGGGTTCAGTGTGGATTTTAAACCACTCCAGTTATCACATATTGACTAATTTAATCTTTCTGGTCCTAACTAATGGGTTTATATTGTACACAGTAACAATATTAGGTACACAATAAGGGCAGCACAGGCATTTATTAGCCCACAAAGCAATGTGCTGACTCCCACAGTGTCTTTATCTCTCTTTAAGTGTATTTTTATAACCAGAGAGGCATAAGTGACCTAACACTGCACACTGAACTATTTGGGGCTAAAAGTGCACTTAAAAGAAAAAAATATATTTTTAATAAAATCTTGCCTATTAAGTACTCTCACCCACATGTTCAGAGATTGAATTTTGAATTTAATGAACAAAGTCAGGACAAAGTATGGTAATTTTCTGTTTTGGCTCGCAATGTAAAGTTGGTCAAAAGTCTGGTTCTCAGCCCTCGATATCTTTGAGCATCCCCTAACTGACTGCCGTGTTTCTGCCCTCCAGGTTGTCAGCGAGTCGACGCAGCACCAGCAAGACATCATGTAACCGCGTGTGAAGGAAGAAAAGAAACACATCTGTCCCTCCCTGAGTGGGTAAAGAAACAAAGAAAGAAAAGATGTGCAAACACAACTCGTAAAAGTAAAAGTAAAAAGACTTTACAAACTCATGATTGCGGCCTGTACTGTTCTTGTTTTAAAGTTACTGTGATAAAAGAAAGGTGGCATTTATCATTAACTTTATCAGGGTTTATTAACAGCATAGCAAGAAATCTCCATCTAACAGAATCATTTCTGTGTTGAATTATTGCCTAAAAACCTTTTATTGTCTTTGAAGAAGTTAAAAAAAATCCTATATTTTAACTGTCCTCAATAGAAATCAACTTGTTTCTGTAGTGGAATCATAAACAGGAAACAATAACAGATAAAAATGACTCGATAAGATGAAGATTTTTTAAACTAATTACAGCATTTCTGCACCCGAAAGAGGACACAGACGCAATTAATCAACCTCCTGAATAAAATACTCTGTTGGTGCAAACGCTTCCTGCTCCTCAGTTGAAGTTAAATGTCACAGAAAATCTTTTCACATCGACCGAGCACATGCTCTTCTTCTGGGACTCATTTTCTGCCACAAAAAGTGTACAGACGGATCCAAATCCACAATCGAACATGCATTTTTCTTGCATAATGGTTCTTATTCTGTTTTTTTTCCATTTACAGCAGCCTATGTACTTTTTGCCAAGGTCCAATCGGGAGCATTAAAGAGAATGAGGTGAACCGTGTTTGTGCTTATCAATAAAGGAATGCATAAAGGACAGATAAAAAGGAGGAGATGGAGGACGAGATTAAAGGTGTCTGGAGATGAAGATAGGAGGAAAGAGGTTGTGCGAGGTTGAAAATATGAGAGAGAGAGAGAGTGAGGAGGGAATCAGGAGAGATAATCCTTGTTACTTTCAAACATTATTTGCTAATAAAAGTGATTTCATGTTACAGCTGATTGATGTCTTTATGTCCCTGAGTTAAAAGATGACCTGCACACATTGTATACAGGCCCATAGAAACACATGCTTTAATAACCATAGTCCGAATTATTTTTTTTATAAAAAGCTACTGGCCTACAGGGATGACATTGCACTCTCCTTTACAGCCTTTTATACATCTGTTTAACTATAAAATGCACATCCTGGTGAAAATGCGATGTGTGAATGTTTAATTATCTCTAAAACATTGCTGAAAAACCTCAAAATACAAATACAAAGAACCACCTCAGTTCAGCAAGCCTGAAGGTACTGGCAGCAGTGAACCAATCAGAAAGTAATGCTTTATTTATCTTATTCACTGATTTCAGTGCCTGTTCCAGTGACATCGCAGACTGACAGGTTACTGCATTTTTTTCAGGCTTCCCCTGCAGCCCTGCTACGCACTACTCCCATTAAAAATGAATGTGATGAATTGGCACTTAGGAGGGTGACCAGGTGTCCCACTTTGTGTGGGACTGCACAGCATTTCTATCAGATATATTGAGATGATGGGTCACATTTTTATTGCTTCTAGTTTTCGAAAGTCAAATGACTGCAGGACAGTCGCTGTGAAGGAGGCAGGGAAGGCTGTCATCACAGGAATGTGTTCGATGTCAGTTCAACTGCACAAACATGGGTGAGGTGCAGATTAACCTGCTATGCTACCCCCAACAGGGAACAACTGAGAGGCACGGCAAAGCCACAAGCTATGCAGCTTTAGGCGCAAACTAAATGCAACAAGGAAAACTAGTTCTAACTGGGGGAAACCACATGAAACCAAAAACCTGTGAACCTTTAGCCTCCTTTTATGTGTAATGTTTAACTAGGCTGTGGCCCATTGAACACACTTGTACCTTTATCTTACTATGATTGTTTGTATTGAAGATGGCCAAAACATCATCATCTGGATAAAAGAGAAATGCATTTGGAGCCACAGTGTGCAACATGTTTTTCCTACTCTCAAGTCTGCTTTCGGTGATCAGCACTAGTAGGAAACATTTTGAATGTTTTGTGAGCATTATTTTTTGCCACTTCCACCATTTTAATAGGCCTAAATCAGTTACATATGTGTTTCTAATTCCCTTCTACACCATACATGCGTTTAAAAATGTGCGTGTGTTCAGCAGAGGAGGCAAAAATACACACATTCTTTACAAGTTGCCTCAGATAAAAATAGAACTTACTCAAATAAAAGTAGAACTATAAAAGAATAAAGTAGTATAAGGTAAACTTCTACCCGTTGTTTCTGTGCAAAGCTAACTTCAAACAGGATTAAGTCTCCTTTTGTCTGTTACATCGTTTTCCTCATGTCACGTCTGTCATGAGTGGTATGCAACGGTCTTGTAGTTGGGAAGGTAATGTAATGCAGTATATGCTGGGGGCGAGAGTACAACTTGAAGCGATGGAGGTTTAGTAGAACCGGCAAGAACCTAAATCTACTTTCACCCGTGGTTGTATGCTGGCTGAATGCACTTAATGTTCGATGCTCTGTATAAAAGCGTCAGTTGAATAAATGTAATGTAATGTGACCTGTTTGTACCTTGTGGTGCAGTTGAAGCTGTAAACACTCTAGAAGGATACAGCTTCTTTTCATTTGTTTGTAAAGGATTATTAAACTCACATGAATTGTGGAGATTCATATTTTCCTTTGGATTATTGAATGTTTTGCTGTTTTGAGATTGTGTAACTCAGGCACACTCTCACAGCTGTTACAAATGGTTGCTGTCATGCCTGGAGGCATGCAGGGAGGTGTCTGTGAGTTTCTGACAGGATATAAGTAAAATCGCAGCCTCGCAGATCATCAGACTAGACGCTCCAATCAGAAGTGAAGAAGACTCGCACACAACTCTGATCTGCACAACTTCACCAGGTGAAGATAAACTGGGAGGAAAGAGACAAAGGGGAAATGTTTAGACTTTTACTGAACTCCAGTCTGAGAGATAACGCTCAATAACCGTAAACCATTTTGAGCTGGTTCAATTTCAAAATGGGAATTTTTTTTTTAAGAAAGAGTAGAGACTGAATTAAATACCAACCTTCATCATGGTTCACATTTTTTTCATTATTGTTAAAACAAATAACGATGAGTTATCTTAAAGTTTCCATCACATATGTTTTGGTGAGTTGAATGAATGTACTGGCAGACCTCCCAACATGCTCCCTACATTGTTTGAGTTAAAACTTACCTTCTTTTTCATTGTCTGAAAACAATTTTTTAAAAAAACAGTAAACTAAAATATGTTTCTGAAACCATTTGAGGAGAGACATAGTCAACGCAGTTACAGAATCTGGATCCATATCCGATCAGCACTGTTTGACAGTTTGACAGTTTGACTCGAGTTTGGTGCGTTGTCCTGGACGGACTCACTGAGAATGAGCTGTCAATCACAAGGTAGCCCCGCCCTACAGCATACCCTGCTTTATTGTAGCCAGTGGAGCTACATGGATAGGTCGTCCATGTCCTCCAACATGGCCGCTCTTACAACAGCATGGGCGAGACGCTGGACATCAGCAAGGCCGAAGCCCTCAACCAGGAGTTCCTGACCACGAGGACCAATGAGAAAGCCGAGCTGAAGCACCTGAACGACCGCTTCGCCAGCTGCATCGAGAAGGTCAGCTTCCTGGAGCAACAGAACCAGGGGCTAGAGGAGGAGCTGGAGCAACATCAAAGACCTGTACGAGGAGGAGAGGAGCGAGCTGAAGAGGCAGTTGGAGAGCCTGAACGATCAGATGTCACGCATTGAGGTGGAGCGGGAGAGTGAAGTGGAAAAGCTCAAACACAGGTGGGTGTTCATCATGCTCATAGGCCCCGCCCCTTCAAAATCAAACCCTGAACGAGCACAGAGAAACTTTCCACATTCACAGAGGATCTTTATAACTACTCAACATTTCAGATTTAATGCAAAAAGCACAACTGACATGACATTTAACATATTTTTTGTTGGAGTTGTATTAAAGGAAAGAGCTTCCACATATCTGAAGGGCCTCTAATGATCTCTCTTTTCTCTCTCTGTGGTTTACATCTCAAGTGCCACTTTTATACAGATTCAGATTGAAGACAGCGTTAAGCTCCTTTACAGGGACTAAAGAGTTTGCACTGAGAATAAAATATAAATTGAGCTTCTATCTCCTTTTTAAGGATGTTCTGCAGCATTAAAGGTGCAGCCACTTTGATCTTTTCATCGTTCTTTTTTGGTGCATTTTGATTCAAAGAAGGTTTTCCGGCTTAAATAAATAAAATGAGCGTCTGTTCACTGCGAGAGAGGATCACAGTAAGATCTGGTATTACGTGAGCTTTTATTACAACCATAAATGTGTTGTGGACTTTTGTCTAATGCAGTTCTGTTCAGATGTTTAACCAAATAATTGTTAATAATGATGTGAATGTGATCAATGTGGAGTAGTCAGACCTATCTCCACAGTGCTGGGTTGGAGCTTGTTGTGGTCGATACAGTCATGTGATACAGAGAAGACGTATGTTAGAATATACTGTAGTGTGAAGAGTGTTTAGGATTACCTTGCCTGAGCAGAGCTACTCCACCTCGAGCCCTCCAGGTACAAACATACCTGCTGTTTCCTGAATGCACCACTAGAGGATGCACGACTCTCTAACCAGCACAGGGTCTGGAGTGTGCACTTACCCACAATGCAGTTCACCTGCAGCTGGAGCTTTATACCATCCATCGTCATTTAAATGTCAATTTTATGATTCCTTAAGTAGAACATCAGCACATTTTTAATAACTGTATAATTGAGGACATTTTCTGAGATTGTCTTAGAGAACTATCAAATGAGACGTTTATCTATTCTACATATGGTCTTATTTTCTGTGTCCAACACATCAAAATATATATAATCAATAAAGATTACCGTGGGGCTCAAACATGCAACTGGATTTTTTAATCCTTTGCCATACAATATTATATTTAATGGGGATTTTAAAAAGGATAAAAGTACAAGTTTAATTAAAATTACTGCACGCTGTATCAATTTTATTTTTGGCCAGAATCTATTTTAAATTTATTTTTAAATGTCCTTGTTGTGCAGAGACCAGCCCCTCTCCTCTAGGACGAGACACCCAGATGAGGTAAAACTGACAGAGAAGCAACAACATTTTCCACCATCAAGAATAATAAATACTGTCTTCCTTTTCTCTCTTCTAATCTACAAAACAAAAGACAACCTCATGAAAAAAACTATTTTACAGGGTAATTTGTGACCTCAGCAAAATAGCATTTGGAGGCAGTTTAATTTATTTCAGGGGACATTCGTGATGCCTCCAAGTAAACACACATATACACGTGCAGCGACTGGTTGAGCCAGATAATGCCAACCAAACATCTCGTCCCACCCGCGGCGGATTCCTGGGAAAACATACATCCCAGGCGTGTTGAGACAAGTCGTCGTTGCCCTTTTCTTCAACTGTATCGCTTTATCTTGTATCTCCGTCTTCATCTGCAGCCCCGTTGGCTCTGCTGAAGAACGACTGTTTTCCACCTCTTGCAATGAAGAAACCTTTTAAAATGTCATAAAACTCTTCTTAAGTTATTTCTGTCCATATGTGAGTCCTAAAAGTCTTATTCACTTAAAACAAATGAAAACCTTGGGGGGAACAGTACCATGGACAGACATGGTGGTAGTGTGACAAATGCTCTTTTAAAGAGCATTTCTATGGAAGCCCATTTTCGACGTGAAAATATAATGAGAAATAGTAGTCGAAAGTATTTTGACTAAGCATCTCAGAATATCTATCATCTATCTCTATCTATCTATCTATCTATCTATCTATCTATCGACAAACTCATACTTACTTAACTTATAACAATCTTTTTTGCGTCGCATTGGCTGAAATGGGCTTCCACATATTTCCCTAATTCTGTATTTATGAAAGTTTGCACATCTAGATTGTAGTTTTGAAGATTAAATTGACATTTGAATTCACATTTAAAGCAATAGTCTAAGTCTTCCAAGATCATGTCTGCCCCTTCACTTTGTTTCAGTTGCTTTATGTTTACTGACTTTAAACACATCTTCTAATTACAATGAAACATTTTCCTGTAGTAGTGAATAGGAAAGCTTCCAATAGGGAAAAATGAGATAGTTGCTAGGGGCTTTTTATAAATTAAGTTGCTTAGAGAGTCTAAAAAGTCACCAAGCCGGCCACACTGGGCGCAACCAAGTTCGGGGGGTCACATACTTAATGTTTCACTCAAAAAAGGAGGAAATATTTCACATATTTCGACTGGTTAAGAACATGTTGGGAAAGTCAGGACAAAGTAGGTCACTTTTTGTTTTGGCTCTCAATGTAAAGTTGGTCAAAAGTCTGGTTCTCAGCCCTCGATATCTTTGATGTTCTCCTGCCGTGTTTCTGCCCTTCCAGTTCCCAGGATGAAGACGATGCAGGACGAGGAAGACGAGGAAGACGACTTGTTTCAATGATATGAAAGAAGAAAAGAAACACATCTGTCCCTCCCTGAGTCGGGGTGATTGATTACGGCCTGTACTGTTTTTGTTTTAAAGTTACTGTGATATGTGAATTTAAAGCAGGGTGGTGGTTATCATTACCTTTATCAGGGTTTATTTAGCTGTGCTTTCTGGTAAAACAAAAAAATCTATCCATCTAACAGAATCATTTCTGTGTTGAATAGATGCCTAAAAACCTTTTTTGTCTTTGAAGAAGTAAAAAAAAATCTTATATTTTAACTGTTCTCAATAGAAACTTTGTTTATGCAGTGGAATTTTTATTTTTTTAAATAATTACAGCATTCTTCTTCACATCGACCGAGCAAATGCTCTGCTTCTGGGACCACAAAAAGTGTACAGATGGATCCAAATCCACATCGAACATCCACATTTTTCTTGCATAATGGTTCTTATTCTGGTTTCTTCCATATACAGCAGCCTATGTACTGTTCGCCAAGGTCCAATCGGGAGCATTAAAGAGAATGAGGTGAACTGTGTTTGTGCTTATCAATAAAGGAACGCATAAAGGACAGACAAAAAGGAGGAGATGTAGGACGAGATTAAAGGTGTCTGGAGATGAAGATAGGAGGAAAGAGTTTGTGAGAGAGAGAGAGAGAGAGAGAGAGAGAGAGAGAGAGAGAGAGAGAGAGAGAGAGAGAGAGAGAGAGAGAGATAATCCCTTATGACTTTCAAACATTATTTGCTAAAACAAATAAGGTGGATTTCTGGTCTGATTGATGTCTGTATGTCCTTGAGCTAAAAGATGACTCACACACATTGATCGTATACAGGCCCATAGGAACACATGCTTTAATAATCATAGTCATAATTCAATTATTTCTTTTTAAAAAAAGCATGGAGTTACTGGCCTACAGTGATGACATTGCACTCTCCTTTACAGAACGGCTCGCGAAATAAATAAATCAGCAAATAAATACATCCCACTGAAAAAAAAGAATATGTCTCGATTAAATTAGATTCCTAAGAAATGAAAAAGAAGTGAATGAAACTGGTAATAATAATGAAAAATGTTAGTAAGTGCTGTGTTTTATGTACAAATTTCACATCGATGCACATGAAGAGGGAACCACGCAGGGCGGATCGGGGGAACGGAGGGGTGAGATCATGCATTTCAGTTTCCCCACAGTTGAATAAAAACGTACAACACAACCATCCCCGGCCCCACGTTTGCTTTTCCCTTAAAAGAAAAAGGTAAAGACGATAAAGTATTCACATTTTCACTGGTGACAAAAATGTCATGTCCTAAATAAAGAAAATCAATGCACATGAGGGAAGGAGTTGTTGGTCTAAGTACAAGTTGGTTTGGCCACTAGTCCACTTTTTCTAATTCTCAGGGCCGTATTCACACTGGCATCTCAGCGATCAGTCGATTGTTAAAGGGAAACATTGATTGTAAACCAGCTTTGTATCATTACAATGACGGTAGTAAATGCAAATGAACGATGTTTAACCTCCCTACATGTTGCCCCTGGTTCACATCATCTGGCGGACTTAAGCCAGCTCGGCAGTTGTCGTGGACGTATGGCTGTTGTTTGGACTACAGATTGTACTTCCGCATTTTTTGTATGCCCGCCTTCACACACAGATTTGCCAGTGAATGAGCGACCTGCTCTGGGTGCAGGCAACATGGAGGGAAGTTAAAAACGTACCCTCATGGTTGAGGCACCTTTCATTAGTCGGATAGTTGCAGAAAAACAATGTTAAACTGTTTGTGAGCGAAAGTATCAGAGGATTGTTGCAACATGGACCTTTTTCCTTGTAACACAGTAAGTCACTTACCAGTGCACTGTTGCATATGCTAACTTTACTTGCTGCTGCCACTAGTAGGGGCGTTCCAGGAGGAGAATCTGAATCAAGACCATTATCCTTACCTCTTCCACATCGCATTGCCCTTTAGAGGCTGTAGCAAGCTTCATTTTAGAGCTAAAGGGAGGACAATATCATGTCTCTGAATCACATTGTAAGGAAATATAAGCTATAATAAAACTAGATATTGCACATAGTTTTCAAGGAGGAGGAAAGAAATGTTTTTGGACACATTTGTACTACTTATGGAATAAAAATGTTAAATGTTAAATAACCCCTTGGGGGTTCAACTGTTTTAACTTCAGGTTTTAAAATAATTTTTGGTTTCCACTTGAAAAAATCTTTTTCCATATGTGTGAAATCTCAGATGAGGTGCCAGTGTAAATGTGGCTTTCTTGCTGTCAGCTAAAAGCAAATCCTCCTAACATATCCAGGCATCAGTGAAGACAACAACCCTGCTTATCGTAGCTCCATGGCTACCCTCTTGAAAAATCCTTCTGTGATCACATTTAATGCAAAAACAAGCCATCCATTGGAGATCTGCCAGTAACCCCCCTCCCGTTGCTGAATGGTACAGCCCACGGAGGAGCAAGGCACCCGTTAAAAACAGATTCCCCTGGCCATCGGAGAGCAGTTTGACGCTTGAAGTTTATTGTCCAGCACCAAGGTTGATAAAGGTCCCCCCCCCCCTTTAAAAACAACATTAAAGATGTATCTCCTCATTTCAAGGACGGTTTTTGTAGTCCAGACGGCACAGAAAGCAAAAGATGCCGGTTTGCATTGAAGGGCCCTCACTGCCCTTTATAGATGATCTTTGTTGGACTTTTAAGATGCCTATAGGCTGAGGAACTAGTTGCTCGACAACAGCGGTAGAAACAGCACGCTGAACGTGGGTGAAGCTGTATTTAGATTTTTCATACAATGCCTGTGTTTGAACCTGAGGCGGGTGTGCACTAAAACTGTGATCCCTGATTGGTTTGACTTGAGATGGCAACATACAGGCCGGGGCCAGGTACAGCGGGTTGCTTCAGGTTTCCACGTCGACCGTTACGGTTGTAGCTGCGGTTTGTGTTGGTGCAAGTGCATGCATGCATTTGTGCATCTGAATCTACTGAAAGAGGTCAACCAAACCTCTGCACCACACTGATGGCTTCAGCAAGTAGCCACGAGGAGGGCGGAGCTTGATGATCAAAAATTTACTTAGTAAAGGGTTAAACATATTTTGCATTTTGGGTAAATCCAGCCCTAAATATATTTTCATCCTCTTAGGGGTGTGACTAAACCCAGATAATGTTTTAACCCAGAATCTTTGCATTTAAACCCAGTGGTGTTTTTTTTCTAGCACAGGTGTGATTACACCCAGGTGGGGGAGTGATTGTAGAGTCATGTATCTCCCTGGATAAGGGGTGTGTTCAGGCGTATGGGAGGTGGGGGAGCGGTCAGACCCGTAGTGAAGGTCCGGCAGCTCCAGTGAGGGGCGTTGTGGATCCACAGTCATAGCCCACATCCACCACTGCGTGGGGTCCCCCGACCAGCCGGCTCGGGAAGGGCTGCGCCTGCACCTGCCGGTCTCGGAAACTCTGGATGTAGCTCTGGATAGAACAGAGAAAGGCTTTGGTTGTAAGATTAAGGAAATGCATTAACAGAAATAGTTAAGTGAGACATTAACTAAATTACAAGGACCAAAAAAGGTACTTTCTGTCTTCTTCAAGACAAAAATTGTCATCGTCTACATAAACATTTCACTGCCTTTATGGATCGGTCACACAGTGGAAGAATCATTATTAAAAACTGTATTGGTTTGTGTTTATAATTTTAATTTTGGATTTTTCATCACCAAAAATCCTCTCAACAACAAATTCCATCGACCTTGGTCATGGGAGCATTAATAAGTAAATGATTGAAAATCTATCAAAAAATTGGTGGTGGAGGCATACAGAAATGTTGAGAGAATATGCACTAGAATTTCAAAAACAATTAAAAAAAAAAAAAAAAAGACCAAACACAATCAATTGTGAACACAACAACAAATAACAGAATACAAATACAGCAAATTCAAAAATATATGACAGAAAGTAAGATCAAGGTTCCTCACCGGCGAGAGGACGTCTGTGTCGTAGCGGCGGATAGGGTTGGGTTTGCGGCGGTAGGCGGGCTCAGCTTGAAGCTGCTTGGCCTGCTGGTGATGGTGGGAGGAGGAGCCGTGCTGCTGCTTCTTCTTCTTCTTGCGGTAGCGGTCGTCCCGTTGACGAATCCGCATCACCTGCATCCTTCTCTGCTGCCGGCTGATGATTACTGTGGAGGACAGAGGTAGGTCGATTAGGAGCAGCTAATGGCCTTGTTTTGAAGCTATGCTAGTTGCTTTGTAGATGTCTTAGTAAAGATTTGGGTGGAATAAGTGCCTCTGTAAGGAAATGAATGGAAAGGTAAGGAATAGTTTAAACCTCAGCATTAAGAAACAACAAGAGTGGTACAAAGTTGAGGGGCTCCATGAAGGCGCCCTGAGGTCCTTTGCAGCAAGTTCATGAAAGTAGACTTAAATACATAAACTTTTAAAGTTTCTGAGAGATCCAGTGCCTTCCTCGTGGAGATTTCAGTAAACTCAGGTTACAACTGGGCCAAATCTGGTTAAAGATGTTAAGAAAGTCCTGAAAATGTAATTTTTGTTAAAATAATTGTCATGGGTAATGTATATGTCTAAAAAATAGTTTCAATAAAATTTTATTGTAGGCAAGTTGTGGAAATATTCAAACAGCAATCATGTGACACTGTTGATGGGAAATATAAATTGAAGGACTTCTATGCCCCTCGCATACTACTTTAGTCAGCCTGAGGCGAGCTAACATTGGAAGATCTGAACTTTTTGCTGTTGATTTGTGATTAAATTGGCTCTCATCCTATAGTCTTTATGCTAATTTACAGGTATTTTATTCTGCATCATGGTGTGCAGACATAGTTTTAACAGCAAATGGAGTCAAACAAGAAAAAATAATGGTTTGTAGTTTACCACAAAAAAAAGTCACAACCAGTTTTTCTCACCCTTGGTATGGGAGTATCCTTCAGCGGTCACCTTCCACTGGACCATGACACCCAGTAGGGTGAGGGCAGGCCACACCCCGAGCACCACCCACGTCAACCAGCACACAGGCTTGCCAGGTGCTGCTTTTATTCGCTCGTACATGTACAGCACAAGGGCAAAGAGCTCCACAAAGTAGTCCAGCGCCACAGTGATGACTGCTGCACCAAACATCGCTGTGGACACCGTGGTAAAGAGGCGCTGCCACTGTAGGGTGAGTACGGCGAACAGCATGCCCAGGCCAAGCAGCACGCCCAGGGGCACCCAGACGGAGCGCGGCGGGCTGTCGGAAAGCTCCTCCATTCCTACCAGGGTGGCCACAGCCACCAGCAGGCCCAGCAGCAGGCCTACCATAAAGAGGCCCACGCTGCGAACCAGCATGGTGACCAGGCCGCAGAGCGTGCCGATGCCAAGGCCGATGCCCACGGAGGCCTCCACGCTCAGCTGGGTGTCCAGAACGCGCTCCTTGTAGCAGAGCATGAAGATGACGACGGAGCCAAACATCAGGCCCGTCAGGAACATCACCGCTTTGAAGCAGCGATAGCCTGAAATAAGAGGACACCATTAACTTTTTTACCAAATAACTTAATGAGTAAATCAATCACACAGAATAGAAACTACTGTAGCAATGAACTCTGGTCCAACTTTGAAGCATTTTGCACTTCCAAGTAAATTTTCTAACTCACCAAAGAAGCAGTAAATGATGCCGAAGAGGCAGCACATGGAGCAGACGACAGAGGGAACCACCTTGTAGCGGCCAGCGACCTCCTCGCAGCCATCCACTCGCTCGGGGCTCAGCTCCTGGTCAGGCTGGACCAACAGCGTCTCCAGGGTGGTCGTCATGGTGAACAGGAGGAGGAAGGGGGGAGAGAAGAGGGGTAAAAGAGGAGGATAGGTGATTACGTGGGAGGCGGGGGACAGGGGAGGTTAGGGAGCACCAACCAGCCGCATGGTTTCACCTGTGGATAGAGGACAGGAGAGAGAAGAAGAAAGGGTTAGACAAAGCAAGAAAGGAGATTTGGAGGAGCAGATGAAAGGAGGTGTAGGGGGAAAATGATCAAGCTACAGCCAAGAACACGTGTTAATATCAAGATAGGAAGGTAATATAACCGGTGTATTCAAGAACAGTCCAACAAGCAATGACCTGAACTGTTATGAAAAATAAAGCTCAGCAAATGTTCACCATTAGTGATCATCTACTGTATCTGAACCAAGTTTTATAATCTCTCAGGAAAAGGAAGTGAAGCCACACCCTTTGTTGAGTCAAAAGACCAGGACTAGTTGAGACCGAGTCCGAAAGTGAGACAGAGACACCTGGGAAGCCAGGCATACCGTTAAAAGTGATTGCTAAGTATGGTTACCAGGCGGCCAATTTCAATGCCTGTTCTAGATAGATTTTGAATTAAACCAATATCTGTTTTATGAAGTTTTTTTGGTTTTGTTTTGAAGGAAGAAGTTACTTCAGAAAAAGAAACATGGCTGGAGAACAACCAATGAGAGACCAATGGCCAAGTCCAAGAAAAGTCAGTGCAAAAGCCAACACGTCCAAGACAAGAGAAAACAACGTCTGGAGACTGGACTTGAGTACTATAGCACTGCCAATGGTTGCCTGGATGGTTAAAAATCGGTCATAAAATCTAAATCAGACTTGTCAGGTCTGTGTGATTAAAATTGAATATGTTAAACCATGACAAATCAACAGCATGATCTAAACGATCAACAACACTGCCAGCAGCCAAAGCCTGTGTTACCCTGTTAATAAAGTGGCTTTTAAATCTACAGCAGTAGATTGTAAAACAGATTTTGTTTTGCATCCACACATACACAAAAGCACACACACACACAGTTTGGCATCCCCCTGATGGCGGAAACAGCGGATAATAATAGCTCAGATAACAGCGGGTGTTTGAGCTGGGCGGACCAGGGCAATCAAAGCCTCCCTCTCTCCCTGTGTTTTATCAGGAGCCATTTAAGGGGAACAAGAACTAACGTCCTTGAGGCCACTCGAGCACAAAGCTAGCACTTTGACAAACACACACTCTAACAGCTCCTTTCTTAGTCCCGAAACGCTGCAACGACATGATGAACCTGGGACGCCTGCAGGGATACGAGATACACCTCACCATCTCCCTACGGTCTATCTAAAATATAAGAGAAATATCAAATAGATGCCCTAAAGTGGGGTTCTTTATAGTCCTAAAGGACCAGTGAGTAGACTTTAGTGGCATCTAGCGGTGTAGTTGCTGATTGTGACGTCCTTGTCTCACCCTCCAAGTACGTAGGAGAAAATACGGTGGCTGTGAAACTCTCCAAAAACACAAAAGGCCTTGTGTAGAGTGCTTGGTTTGCTGGAATGTACAAGGACCAGTGTTTCAGATTTAGTGGCATCTAGCGGTGAAGTTGCATCTTATGTTATCTATCTGTAATTTCTGTCTATGTGACCATCTATCCATCTATCTATAGCCTGTTTCGGAGTGACCTCATTATTTTTGTTCAACAAAATTGATTAATATCGTACTGTAATTTGCAAATCTCTCCACACTTCCTTCCTTGAAAGTTGCCTGAGCTCTCACATACAAGCCCCGCCTTTCCTTTTGCATCCTTCCCTGCAACCTCATCTGTATTCCAGTAATGCTTTGTTAACAGCGCTTGGTAAATACATTTGCCTTGACTTTCTCCCTCTTTCAGTCTAACCTTCTTTGTTTTTTCTGTATTTTCCCAACGTCTGGCTGTGTAACCTGTCAGGGACCTGCAGCGGCGCAGTGATTCCTGACATCCTGGCTGAATCTCACCTTGTTTCCTGCTGCCTTCATCATTCAAATCTCTTTCTGTTTCCCCCCCTGTCCTCCTTCACATCCTTCCTTCACTCAGTACAGCCTTCACTTCTGCTTCACTCAACTGCATAGTATTACATATAGCAATGTAGGTACACTACTAAACTAATCTACAATATATGGGAACAAAAAAATATTTTTTACCCAGAAAACACTAATGTATGGGTGATGCATAAACTTTGACACTTTTTTAAAGTATATCTTTTTGATATGTGGTGTTGCACAGGTGGTAAACTATTAATTGAAGCTGGACATGGACATACACATAATATACAGTAATATATATACAATAGGTCTCCTTTGACCCTACAAGTGTATTTGGTAGTAATCGAATACACTATAATTAAATTGCAGTGCTTAAGGGACGCATAAGGAGAAAACGTTAGAAGTGCAAAATCGGACGCCAACTCTGTCTTTCAACCCTTCGCCCTTTAACCTCCTTCCCATGCCTCCTCCGTCCTCCCCCTTTGGCTGTTTTCATTCTCTCCATCTCTGGGTGAGTTCAGTCCGACCGTGGAAGGTTTCTAGGTCAGAGGTGCTTATGCAACTCTAGTATGAGCAACTTTGCTTTGATATTCATGAGCTCCCCCATCCCTCTCTCCTCTTTTGTTTCCTTATGGCTCACTTCCTTCTCACTCTTCCTTCAGTGCCTCTCCTCCTTTGCCTTACTTTACCTTATCTGTCCAACTCTTAATCATCTACCTCTTGCTGCTCACTTAACTGGGATGCCACACCTCCTCTTCATCTTCCTTTTCTTGTAACTTACTTTCCTCCCTAAGGGCTGAGTCATGTAGAGGTGGGTAATAATTTGTGTGTCATGTATGGAGGTTGAAACTGGTCTGGCATGTTTGACAATGTACAAGGAGTGTTGAGCAAAGTGCTAAATCCTTAATATATCTAGCTGCTGCAGCTCTGTGTTTGACCTTTAACTGCTGACCTCTCCATGTGTAATTTGCTTGTGTATTATATTAAGTAACTCCAAATTTCCAAGTGTTAAAGGTCCAGTGTGTAACATTTAGGAGGATCTATTGGCAGAAATGGAATATAATATTCCAAGGTATGTTTTCATTAGTGTTAATTGGTGTTTCACGGCCACCATAGTTTGCCCGACACACTTCACAGCCCGTTCTTATTCCCAGATCACCACTAAATCATACACACTGCTCCTGTACAATGTGAATTCAAGCAAATATATATATTGTTTCGAGCAACTCAGACAATAGAAATAAGGCGAAATTACCAACTCAATATTTCTGAAGGTGAATGTGATTTTGTGTTTGCTGCTGTGTGTGGAGCACTGAGTAAACTGCAGTATGTGTGTGTGAGACAGAAGCATTTGCATTTGAATAGAGCCATTTTAGAAGTAGTCAGTAGGAAGAGGCTGATGAGTAGTGCAATAAACCCCCAAAAATGTCTTTAGAATAAACTCACCGTACTCAGTTACACACACGGAACACACATATTCTTTATACATTTTCATTCCCATTTTCATCCAAACATGTCATATTAATAATCATCTTTTGGTGGAGGATTAGCAGGTTGCTGCAGAGTGACCCTGTGTGTGTGTGTGTGTGTGTGTGTGTGTGTGTGTGTGTGTGTGTGTGTGTGTGTGTGTGTGTGTGTGTAGAAGCATTAAGCCGTTTTGGACGTGCAGTTTTTATGTTTGCAGACGGATCATCCTCGAGGGGGGAAAAAAAGCACAGAGAGAAAATAAACGACAGAGGAGTTTCTTCTTCTGCTGTCCGAATCGGCAGCAACAACAACAACAACAACATGGTTCTCCTCCTCCCGCTCTGCTTCCTGTCTGTTGCCGTGACGACGGAGGGATGCTGACGGACAGCCGGCGGTTGCCGCTGGTCCGAAGCCTGGCGAATGAAAGAGCAGCTTCAACTCCCATAGCAACAGCGTGAGAGCCAATCAGTGGCCGCGTCTGTTCCCTCTAAATGTGTTCATATACGCCAGTGTGTGTGTGTGTGTGTGTGTGTGTGTGTGTGTGTTATAAAAGCAGAAACCCTCCTTTGAATTATAAGTAAATATCCTAAAGTCTGATTTAACAACGATAGTCATAATCAATTGATTATCTCTTATTGATATATATATATAGATGTGAATAATAGGGTTCCCACTCTTTTTAAGAAATCATTTTCCAGTAGTTTTTCTTAAAAATACAGAACAACACTTGCTCACAATGGTGGCCTGGTTGAGGGGCTAAAATTAGGGATGCATGATAATTATCAGTTGATAATGGGAAATTTATATTATTACATATTATCTTGATAATTAATTACAGCCAATAAATTCTCAGTTGATTATAACAATGATTTATTTTGAATTCTTCTGCAAAGCGACTTCATGCTTTATGCTCTATGACAGACAAAGTGTGTTTGACTTTGACTTTTTTAAACTTACTAGAAAACAGACCTGTTTGTTGTTGTGAACAATAGTGATGTTTGGATCAGAGCTATGGAATATCAAATCATCTATTTTTGCTCACTACATCTCAGCCTTAACTTACCATCAAGTGTGCATTAACTCAAGGTTATGAGCTTCTTTTTAAAACACAAAAATGTGAAATGATTGGTTATCGTATGGGTACGGTAATTATCGGTTATCAGCTGAAAAATATCCATATCCCTAACGAAATGCCAAATTTAGTCGGCATGCAGCTGATAATCTGAATTTGGTGTAAAGAATCTCCTCGTCTCCCTGTGATAAAAAGTGGCACAGTGTGCAGGCAGATGGATCAGCTGTGTTAAGAGACAATGAAGTGGAAAAACAAATAAACCAAAAAACCTCTCCGCCCTCATTGCCTCACTAATGACAAAATCCACAATCAAAGATCAATGTCCGGTTTACACAGAGAGAAAGAAAGAAAGAAAGTGCAGTTTAACAAACTGTTTGTGGATCAGTGAGTAAGACCTAGACACACTGACACAGATGTGCAGCCCTTTCCAGTGCTGACATCATCTGTCTGAACTCGGCGGCTGAAAAAGAGACGAGGCCTTTTCATGAATAAACAAAACGCTGTCTATTAATACAAAGAGCACACAGACTGAACCACATGCTGGTCCACACTACAGCTCAGCTCCTTTTTTTTAAAGAATCATTAAACAATCAACAACATG